GTGGAGGAGGAGGAGGAGGTGGTGGTGGTGGTGGGGGTAAACTGACCAGTCTTTGTTCCCTGCAGACTCAAGAATGTCTTGGAGCGCCTTCACCACTCCCTCCTCTGCCCTCCCAAAGGACATCCAGCGTTGACCTGCAGTCGCACACAGTGGCAGTCCTGCCCGCAATGCTGTCCTGGGTCAAAGAACAAGTGAACGAGCGTTGGCATAGGATTTCTTCTATCCAGCAGCAATGCCTCCTCTGTCGATGTTCGGCATGCCTCCCCTGCTCCCCATGCCCCTATCTCGTCTTCACCTTCGTCTTCACCTTCGTCTTACCTTCGTCTTCGTCTCTTCACTCAACTCTTCCCCCCCCTCCCCTTTCCGCTCCTGCTCCTGCTCCTGCTCCTGCCCCCATTCATCTTCCTCAGTACAAGGTTCTGCATTGATCGACTTCATGCCGCTTTTTCTGCATCTTCTCTCCCCGTCGCTCTTCTCACCTTGCGCGCCCAAGGCTGATTTTGAGCATGGCCTCGTCCTCGGTAGAATTCTTTTTCGGGCCTGCCTCAGATACAATTTGAAGGACATTGATAATACATATACCAAAATATGATGCATAAACTTACTGTCTTGCGAGACATTGCCGAATGTGCCCGGGGGCAAATGCGCGCCAAATATTTTCAGGCGCAAAATGAGCGAGAGAGGGGAGGGAGAGGGGAGGGAGAGGGGAGGGAGAGGGGAGGGAGAGGGGAGCAAGGAGAGGAGAGAGGCGATTGAGTTGCCTGAGAGATAGGATGAACACAGACAGGAAGAGACAAGTGAAATTATCGGACCGGAGGCAGCAACGAAAAGCAGCAATGATAATCTGTCGTCGATATCCCACAGTTGAGGTGACTGGGATTTTCCATCGTTGAAACGTTGCTGCTGCATCCCCCGTCTCCTTCTCCTCTTCTTTTGCACAGATGACATCTCTAGAGCTCGCGCAGTCCAACTACGAGCAGGCATTCATGCTGCTAGACGAGGACCAGCGTCGAGCTACGGTTGCGGATATTGAGGGCCCTTGCCTCGTCGTGGCAGGACCTGGATCAGGGAAGACTCGTGTCCTGACACTGCGCATAGCGATGATGATCGTCAAGCATAAGATACCGCCTCATTCCATCCTTGCGTTGACGTTCACCAGGAAGGCATGTCAGGAGATGCAGGACAGGGTAGCGAAATTGTGCCATGGTCGAGATTGCGGTCTGCTGATACAGACGTTCCATTCTTATTGCCTGGCATGCGTGAAAGAATTCCATGCTGAGCTCGGGTTTCGTTTCGAGCCCATGGTCCTGGACTCCTCAGCTCAGATCGATCTTGTGAAAGAATGTTTCGGCAAGCTGAATAGCTTCCAAGCTCAGCAGATCAAGACATGGCGAGCAGACAACCGGATCGATTCAGACTATGGCGATGAAGAGCTCAATCAGGTGGTGAATGCTGGGCCGTCCAACCAGGACAAGGGCACCCACCAGGCAGCGCTCTACTTTGTTGAATGGATGAGAAGGACAAAGTCGTCAGGAAGCGTACCGAAGCCGCAGTTTGCACTGGAGTCAGAAGTTTTTGGTCACTATGAGAGAGAGAAGAAAAGAAGAAACTGTGTTGACTTTGATGATCTGATTCCGCTTGCGACCAGGTTGAGCATATCTCATGTTGACATGTTCTGATCGGGTGTTGACAGTCTGCTGGACGCTGAGCGAACGCGAAAAATCATCCAGGCAAAGTCGAGATACGTATTGATAGACGAATTTCAAGATGTTTCTCACAATCAGATTCAACTTGTCAAAGTTTTGATGCAAGGGAAGCCATCGAGCATCACTGCCTTCGGAGATCCGAACCAGTCGATTTACAACTTTCTCCATGGTAAGGTGCAGGATAACTTTGGAATCTTTCTGAAAACGTGGCCATCAACCAAAGTCACGAGACTTGAGAGAAATTTTCGCTCATCTAGATATATAGTTGAAGCCAGCGCTTCCTTGATTTCCAAAAATCCTACGCAAGGCACTGAATATGGCATTAAGCCTTTCACCACCAACGATATTGGCGACAGAATTGTGATCACGAGCCATACAACTGAAGAAAAGGAAATCACCTGGGTGACCAATGAAATAGAATACTGGAGACGTGCCGGAGTTCCACTTTCACAGATGGCAATCTTGTACCGGTATGCTGTGTTTTTGTGTAGTAATGCTTTATCTGATGTTACACAGTTTGAGATCGATCGGCAAGTTATTCGAGAATGCACTCAAGAAGAGGAATATTCCGGTGGTCAATGTCTCACCTGACGATGAGAATGTCTATCGAAAGGCGCTGTCGATGGACCTGCTTGCGTACCTCAAAGCTGCTCTCTTTGAAAATGACGATGCGATGCGAAGGATTATCAACAAGCCAAAACGAGGCCTCGGTGAATCAGCTGTCGGCAAGATCATCGCAACTGCACAGAGACATAAATGTAAGTTTTTGCAGGCGTGTAGAATTCTCTGTAACAGCAACTACGATTCGCTTCCGCAAAAACAAACGAAGGGCCTTTCTGACTTTTTGCACGTGATCCAATCAATCCAAGAGGATATCAAAAATGAGACAGAAAGCATTGTGCTTGAAAACTTGCAGCGACACATCTTTGGACGTCCATCAAAGCATGATAGTGAGCTTGGAAAAATCATCAAACACATGCAAAAAGATGTTCTGCTGGAGTCAGATGATTTTGGACTGGGTTCCAAAAGTCGAACTTCGGCTGGCAACACAACTTCGTCCAAGCTTGCTTCCTTCGTCTACATGGTCAGTAATTCGCAAATCAAAGCTGCGAGGCAGAAAGAAGTCGTAACTCTCACAACCATACATCAATCCAAAGGTCTTGAGTTCTCTCACGTATGGTTGGTGAGGTTTTCAGACAGTATTTGCCCACTGATACAGCGAATCGATGATGATAATCATGATGATGATATCGACAAGGAAACTCAATGGCGAACTATGTCACTAGAAGAGGAACGACGGCTTGCGTTTGTCGCGTTTTCACGAGCAAAGAGCATGCTTCAAGTTTCCTGGTTGGTCTCTTGCCATGTTTGATCCTGTTGTGAGATTGATGGCAGGGTATCGACGGACTCTGAAACCGGCCTCAGCCAAGAGCCCTCCAGATATCTTCAAGAGATTCCAGAATCTTACAAACAAGGCGGAAGGGAAATGATATCAGCCAGGAATGGAGCAAAGCCTCTTCCCATTCGAGTTGCCCCTCTGCCTGATGATTCAAAGTGCTCGAGCTCTTCAGATGCGAGATGCGCGACCTCGTCGAGCTCAGTGCCAAACTCCTTTCCCATCAAGTCAGAGCCATCCATCAGATCAGATATTCCCATCCAATCAGAGGCTCCAACGTCTTGTCCGAGCTCGATGACAAATGGTAAGACCCCTCATGCCGCACAGGAGAAAGCAGGCAACTGGAGTTGGCGACCAGACGACTTGCCATCTCGACGATGGTCGGGAGGGTCCATGTCAGATTCTTCGTCAACCCTGTTGGATGACCTTGACCCTGGTGATCCTGACTGCGCGACTTCATGCCGGGCGGGGACAAGGAACTTCAACTTCAGCCATGAGAATCAGCTGGATGAAGTGTCAGTAGCATCTCCTTCGGATTGGAGAAACTCTTCCTCGGCCAACTTGCCGCCTGCATATGCCCGGCAAGGGTTGAGAGAACTTCAAGTGTCGACTCCTCCTACTGTTAGGCTCAAGGAGAGTCACACCGTTCAGCGAGCGATTGACTCGATCCCGTCCCTGTTTGGCAAGCGAAGAGATCCAGAGCCTTGCGCTGACTCTCCCAGAGACGCAGATCGTTCAAACCCTTCGTCTGGCTCACGTCGAAAGAAGTTGCTTGGCTTTAGGTCGGTAGCTGTGCAGTTCTTGTCATGACGATGCTGATTGTTGCAAAACCAGTTGGGGCAGGGGCTGCGGATGAGGCTGTTTGAAGTCTTCTAGACCCTTGTCTTAGTCTTGCTCAAGTTTCATGATCTCCCTAAGTCCTCGTCTCCTCTGTGTAACTTGTATCTCCTCCCAATGAAACTCAAATCCTGACAATGTTCATCGGGTTATTGTGGTGCCTTCCACTGATGGTTCCTTTCACGTCGAACTATTAGACAAGCTTCTCCCTCTATGATCTTGACTTCACGGCAGAAGGGTTGGTATCAGGGTCAGTGCAGGCCGAGCAAGTTCTTCGTCGAAGAACTTGCATGACAAGTGCCGCACATGCAAGATGAGTTGGGACAGTGCTCTTGCGCTTTGAGCACATGTAGAGGAAGGTAGATGTGGACGGTAGATGTGGACGAGGAGAAAACGAGGTAATGTGTATGAGGAGGAAAGGAGGAGAAAACGCAAAACAACCGGAAACTTGTGGGTCAACAAAATTCTTCAAGTTCTTCTCATCTACTTGGGCAAAACCGAGTTGGGGTCGTAGGGGTAGGTGCTGGAGTTCTCGAGCTCCTTGAGCTTCTGCTCCTGCTTCTTCTGGTTGTAAGCCCTGCAAAGGAGGACAAAGGCGAGAAACAAGGAGGAGGAGGAGGAGGAGGAGGAGGAGGAATGTTAGTGTCCGGCTGCAACATTGGACATGCGGGAAGCACCTGATAGTCGCCTCGGAGGCTCCCTCCTTGGGCCTTCCCCAGTTGTCAACCTCGAGGGAGGGCTCCCACTGGGGGACAAGGCCGTCCTTGAGGATGCCCTCGCCGAAGAAGATAGAGTCTCCGAAGACGTTGATGCCCTCGATCGACTTGGGGGGAGCAGAAGGGAGGCCAGCGCCGCCAGCAGCAGCCTGCAGGGCATGTCCTCAGAAATGAGGAGGGCAAGGGGGAGATGATGGGGAAGAGAAGTGGACGATGGTGGAAATGGCGCGATGGTATACCTTGGGGGCGGCACGAGGGGCAGGAGCAGCGCGAGGGGCAGGAGCAGCAGCCGCCGGGGGAGTGCTCACGCGCTGAAAGCAAGTAAGCAAGGGGAAATCTGATGTCACAGAAGGATGCAAGGGAAGGAGGAGGAGCAGGAGGAGGAGGAGCGAGCGAGCGACAGGAAGCATCGTCACCTGAGTTCCAGGGAAGGAGGGAAGGCTGATGGCCTGAGTGCGACCGAAGAATCCTCCCGACTTGGGGACGGGCTGAGAGAACGTGAGGGGTGGAGGAGGAGAACCACAACGTCCTACCTGGGTGCCAAGGCCAACCTTGGACTGGACAGCAGGCTGGTAGAACGCGAGTCAGCTTCTTCTCGTTGCCCTCCACCTTGTCTCCTTACCTGTCTGGCAGCAGCAGCCTTGGCAGCGGCAGCAGCGGCCTGCTGCTGCTGGCGAGCCTTAGCCTGCAGGAGGCGTCAATGACCCGCCCATCCTCATCTTGCCTTCTCCACCTGGGCGGCAGCGGCGGCGGCAGCCTCAGCTCTGGCAGCAGCAGCAGCCTGAGCCTGTACAGGATGAGCGACAAGCGCAAGAGAGAAGCCAATGCTTCACCTTCTTCGCAGCCTCCTCAGCGGCAGCCTTGGCCCTGCACGAAGAGCGTCAACTGACCTGCACCCTCTGCCAGCCTTTCTTACTTGGCAGCAGCAGCGCTGAAGGGAGAAGGAGCAGCCGCGCGGGGGGCAGGGGCCGCGCGGGGAGCCGGGGCAGCACGGGGGGCAGGGGCCGCACGGGGAGCCGGGGCAGCACGGGGGGCAGGCTGTTAAACCGAAAGTAAGCATGAGGAAGAGGATGGGGAGGGTCAACCTTAGGAGCAGCCCTCACAACAGGCTTGGGCGCAGGCTTGGCGACGGCCTTGGGGGCAGAGGAGCTCTTGCCAGAGGCAGCAGCTCTGAGGGCCTGAAGGCAAAGGGATAAGCAAATGCAGAGAAGGCTAAGGAAAGGTGAAGCAAAGAGAAGGAAGGGAGATGAAGTAAACAGGAAGGACTTGGCAGCAGGATAGCAGGTTGAGAGCAGAACGTCCTTCGCAGGGCAAGGTATCTCAGGACAAGGGGGAGGAGGGTGTAGTTTCCGTAACGCGCGACTGCACTCACCGCAAGCTCGGCGGCATCGATGTTGACAGTCTTCTCAGAGAAAGAGACGCTCTGGGACAGAGCAATCAGCGGTGGAAAGAGTGGAGGAAGAAGCAGGAGGAGGCGACAGGATATCGTGCAGAGTATGAGAGAATTAGAGAGAGGAAGGGAGAGAGACAGGGAGAGGGAGCGAGACGGGGGAGGGGGGAGGGAAAGGAAAGAAGCTTCACCTTGCCGCTTCTCTTGGAGATCTCAAGCAGGGACATACCGAAGTTGTCATCATCAACAAGGAGTCCTGGCAGGAGAGAAAAGTCAGAGGTATCATCCATGAAGCAAAGCACATAGATTCTCCACAGTCATTCCACCCTCCTCCTGTACACTCCATCCTGTCCCCCGACCGTGCCCAACCATCTGTCCCAACTGCGTCCCCTCTAAACAGCTGCCTCCTTTCCCTCTCACCTGACTTGCGGGCGAGGTCGTCACGGCGTCTGCCGAGGGCAGTCTCCTCGATCTCAGGGATGTCCGAGAGGATGAGAAGCTTCGCAACCAGTCAGCCGTCCCCCTTTCCAGCATCTCCCGCCTTCACCTGATCCTCCTCATCGTAGACAGCAGTCTTGTCGAGAGCTCCTCCAAGACTCTTGTAGCTACAGACCGACAGTCAAGACCCCGTGCTTCCTCCTCCTTCTCAACACACAGGGAAGAGACGACGGTGTCACGGGCCGGATCCATAGAATCGCGGTCAAGATCCTTCACAGGGTATCGTCAGGTGGAGCAGGCGAGGTCACGAAGGCCACTCACGCTTCTTGGGCGCCAGGCGATGAGGATGGGAGGCTTCCAGAGGAAGGACAGCACATACTCGAGACCCTCGCCTGACCCATCGACGTCAACATGCAGCGCATCATCATATCTCCTCCCTCAGCCGCAGCGATCAGTTTGACCACCCGATCATCCCCACCATGCTCGTGAACCAAAAACACCTCCAACTCCCCCCTTCCTTCTCTCTCCCCACCCCAATCTCGGCATCATCATCATCATCATCATCATCATCATCATCGTCTCACGGAATGAGGGTCCATCGTAGGCCGGGGCAGCCTTGGCCACAGCTCCGATGCCAGGAGCCTCCTCGCTAACTTGGGAGACACCGAACCAGGAGGGGGTGTCGCACCCGGCCTGCTTGTAGGCAGCAGACCAGACGGGGAGGGCAAAGAGAACCTGCGAACCCTCGTCAGCCGCATGTAAAGGAGAACCCCCGAGGCTGACCCAGAGTCCGATCACGGAGCCGAAGTGGGAGATGGGAGCAGTGAACCCCTGTGGCTCGCCAGTGATCTCGTCCACGAAGGGGACGGTGTTGAGAGCAGAGAGGAGGTTCTGAGCTCCCTCGATCTCCGCGGACATGCGGAGACCGCCGGCGGCCGGTCGTGAGCGGCAGACGGCGCCGGCACGAGCCAATCTTCCGCATGATGCAGGAAGAGCAGTGGGGGCAAAAGCCTCCACAACCTGCGAGACAGAAACTCTCAGTAACCTATAAGACCATGAGGAAGATGCCGATGGCACGAGGAGCACCACGACACCTCGAACCTCGCCCCGCCTCCCCCTCCACCTGCTCGTTCCTTTCCCCCTTGTCTACACACTCTCCTTCAGGACCACTACCAGTTGATCCCCCAGCACAGCAACTCTCCTATTCTCTCAGCATCTTGATGTATGGATTCCTCCCCCTCTCCTCCTCTCCTTCCTCCTCCTTACCGCCGGGATAAGCGCGAGCGCTGCAGTTCGCGTGAGCATGGCAGCGGCGGGGGTCGGCTTGAGTGTGCCTCTACCCCCAAACTCACGTGCCGAGACTCCTATGAGGTACCCACCCACTACCCTGATTATTTCAGTCAACATAATCTATTGATTTACTCAAGTCAAGAGGTTTCTCATAGGTGATCGAATCATTTTCAGTTTGTTAAGTAAATATTTGTAATCACCCACCCCCTGTATGTACCCCCTTCGATAATCCTCGGTCACTCAGAAACTCATCACTTTTTGAGGATCGGGACAACCCAAACGCAAACACCACCCACCCCCTCAGAAGCTGCCACCTACCACCTACCCGCCGTTCGAACAAAACCACCACTACCCCCATGATCTTCAATATGCCCCAGTTGTTGAAAATTCAAGGACCCCCTGGAGAAATTGGTTCACCCCTGCTTTTCACCAGTACCCACCCTACAAAACAAATTTTACAGTACCCTACCCATCTCACTCTCTGAATTTTTCACTACAATCTTAGCATGTCCTCTCACCCAAGTAGTACCCCACCCCATCCTCTTTTACCATGGAATCTACGTACCCACAGTCCCCTCCCACCGACTACCCCACGTATACTCTAATAGTACCCACCATCCATGCTTCTAATGATCATTTCAGTCCACCCCTCCTACCCTCCACCATCTCTTATATCTCTGCCCCTACCCCTTCCTAGCACCCCCTGGGCAGGAGGACAACCTCTTGACCGTACCCTAGAGATAGGGAATCGTTTCGACCTACGACCCCTTCTTCAATACCCTCACCCCATATTTTTTCTATATGGACCCCCGTCTTAGCAGAACGGTAACCCGCCTGAAAGGAAAAAAATTCTCCCACCGACCACCCCCCAGTGATTCACCCCACCCCTTCGACATCGAACCCCCCTGTTCTCTCATGGGGGAATGGAGGTGGGTGAAGATGGTAGACCATGACTCATCAATTCTGAGGCGGGTCTGATGGTACGCCTCCGGGGGGTATCGAACGGGTTCACTGGGGGGTAGGGGTATCAAGATGCTCGAAGTGGGGGGTGAAAATCAAGGAGTTTGGGGGGTGGGGGTACTTGTGCTCTTTTTTTTTTTTAGGGCAGGCAGGACGCGCGTGCAGTAGCAGCATGGGCTTCGAGACAGTCTGGTACGCCCGCAAGGGGCCAAGGACGGACGGCAAGGTCGCCGATGGCAAGGGGAAGGTGATCAGCGGCAAGGGAACCAGAGCATGCAGGTGAGCTGATCAGAACTGGGTGGAAATACGGGAAGGAGAGGAGGAAGTGGGTGAAGAGAGAGGTTGGGAAGGGACGCGTGTGTTAAGATGCATGCTGTTGGCTTGATGTGTGCGAATGTAGTGTTTAAATGATTGCTGGACGTTTTCTTTGCTGTAAGGAGGTTGTTTTTCCCATTCTCTCCCTCTTGTCGTTGCTTTCTTTTTGTACAAATGTTTGTCATGCCTGTCAGGTTCACACAAATGGTGTCAATCTCTGCGCGCGCTCTTGCAATTTGAGTGATGGTGGCTGTGGCTTTGAACGTCTCTTATCCTCAAACATCATTTTCTATTATAGTTATCGCTCGTTTATTTTCTCGCTCAATCTCCCACATAACAAGTCTCTGTTGACTTACAGCACTTTCTTGTTGTGTGAAAGAAAGTCCTCTCACCCTCTCGTCGCACGTCTGTTTCCAGCATCCACTTTGACTACAATTCTGAATGTTGATATTTCGTTTGCTCGCTCTCGTTCATTTGATCTCCGATCATGTTGTTCGATCGATGTTGTAGCATTTCACCAACTTCAATAGCGGTTGATTACTCAGATGACTCATTGCTGACGCGTGCTGTGCAGATGCTCCGGCAACCAGCACGGTATCATCAGAAAGTACGACATTAACATGACCCGCCGTGACTTCCGCGAGAAGGCTGAGACCATGGGATGGAGAAAGGTGAGATGGGCATTCGCGTGATGAAACAAGTGTTTGACTTCGGTTTCTTTGCAGTACCGGTAAATGTCTGGGCTAGTAAGTTTGGTAGATAATAAACTTTGAAAAGCCATTTTGGTGTGTAGTTGGTTTGTGTTGGCGTCCTCGTATATGGGGGTTGCTATTTATTCCTGCCAAAAACCTTGATCGTCTTGGATATCCTTGACTGGGGTTGGCACACACGTTAGAACGTGCACTTGTCACAATGAATTCGCACGAACCTCTAACGGAATGTGTGTATGGAAGATCTCTTTCCTGAGCATGTAGTGATGAGAAGTCAAAAAACCCTCCACTTGCTCCTGAGAAAGTTGTCAAATCTCGACATCACCTCTTGAGAGTGCACACACCTCTAGATTTGCAAACATGACAATGTGCGAGGGCAGAACACGAGCTGTTCGATCGCCATCGAAAGCACATTCCAAGAACGTCTGTGGCGACTGAAAGAACCTTGCAGCCGCTTTCAAGGACACGACTCGTCTTCACTTCCATTGCACCTGTCTGCCTCGTCCAGCTCCGGCGAGGTGAGACACGAGCGGTCCAACGGATCACTGCGAGCATCTCGTACACATGGCGGAGAAGCGTGAAGCATCCTACCTGGGGCGGTGGGGAGGAGGAGAGCAGTCGAGAAACGTGAGGGAGATGTTCCTGTGCAGAACGCTGTTGCGCGTGTCAATTGGGTCCCAAATCGAGCCCGCTCGTCATGAAATTGAGCATCATCAATCATCATCACCGCACAAGCACCAGCACCATCTTGAGCAGATGAGAGTGACTGACCTGTAGAAAGGAGTCGAGTGGCATGGCATCAGGAACAGAACGCTAGTCACGTCGTCATGCCTCAGCCACCTCACGACGTCCACCTGCTCCAGCAGCAGAACATCATCGCAAAAGAGGCTGAAGAAAGAGGCTAAGGTAAAACACCCACCACTCCTCTCTGATGCACTAGGGACAAGTAGAGGGCCGGGGCCAGGTTGGTCGCCAGCAAGCCGACGGATGCGAGGAGCCATAGTCTCTGCGCCTCCTGTCAGACTCTCGACGGGGAGACGCCATGCCGTCAACTAACGGGCGACTTGCTCAGCTCGTGGAGCCCTGCACCGGCAAAACACATGCAGACAGGAACGATCGGGAGCAGAAACCTGAACTCCTTATGAGCTAGCAAACTGACCCAAGTCAACATGTCATTGAACACAGAAAGACGACGACGGGAGTACAACCTGTGCATGACTGTTGTGACGATTACACATTCCAGGAGCTCACGATGAAAACGTTTTCTCATGCCGTAGAAAACCAGAGGAATCGAAGTCATCAGAAGCGTCGGGATGCCCTGCAATCATCGGAGAGGAAACAGAACGTGAATTTTCTTACTCAGTGATGCCCGTCTTTGAGCTCACCTCTGAAAAATACCACCACCAAACGTGTGAGCCATAGATGGATCCTCCACCTTGGACAGCATTGAAATAGAAAAAGTTCCAAGCTGAAAGTACAAATCTCCCATAGAAGTATGAGTCTATTCCTATGATCACTGCAGCTGCGATCAGGAAGCTTGTGATCGAACCAACCAGGTGTCTGTGCACCTCTCTTCTTGCAGCAGCAGCACGCAAGGCGACAGCTCCTCTACACAACAGCGGCAGCAGCATGGCGACGCTTGTCGGCCGGATCAAGAAGCAGACAGCCATGAGCCAACTCAGCGCAACCATCGACCCCGCGGGTTTATCTTTGAGACCTGACCATGGCCAAAGTGCAAGGATTGAGGTGATCAAACAGGCTTCGACTGAGTTGACCAGCGAGCGTGACATGCAGTAGAAGAAGAAGCACGACGAGACCTGGCAGAGGATCGCGTTGAAGGCAACCTCGACTCCGAACAGCTTGCGAGCTAGCTCTACCATGGCCAGATCCGTCAAGATGGCTATGGATCCCGACCAGAGCTTGGGAATGAGCTCTAATACATCACCGTTGTCTAGAGACAGAGCCCTTGCGATGTCGTAGAGCAGCGACATCACGAATGGCATCGCGTAGCTTCGTATCCCCTGCCTCCACTCCCATGTGAGGTATCCATACCCGTATGCCATCCTGTGCGCAACCTCTGGCGCCTGCCAGTACTCGTCCGGGACGAAGTATGTCTGCTGGCACAGGCAGGCGAGCAGCCTGTACGCACATAGGAAGAGGACGAGAAGGCGCCGACGTCTTCCTAGGATGAACGAGTGAACCAGATCCTTCCGAGGAAACATCCGCCTGTGGGCTACAACAAGAGAGGATAGTAGGATGAGACATGAGCAAGTAGCAGGCAAGCTTCAACTTCCTTCATCCCACCGTCTTCCTCCTTTCGCCGTCCCAGACTTCGCTCGCCATCCTTCATGCCTTCCTGGGATCGGAGCTGCGTCCTCCCGTCATCAGCCCCCCGTCGTAAACTTCGGGCCCAGTGGGGCTCCGGGCCTGCCAATCCGACTTGCCAAGTTGAACTCAGTCACTATAACGCAATGCTGACTCACCCGCTAACAGTGAAGCGCGCCCGGCGCCGCCCTGCGAGGCATGCGAGAGTCCGGCGGACTCCTGAATAGCCTGGAAGTTTCAACTTTGGCTGGACGTGCTGAGCCGCATGATGGCACGGTACCACCGCACGGTGACGCGATGACTTAGCGGCATTCAAGTATGATTACATGATGCCCTCGGAGCCTGGAGGCTCGCCGATCCCGGCGGTGACCGGATCTTCCTTCCGGTGAGGCGAGTGTAAAACAGTGAAAGTCGGCCGCGGGCCGGGTCGGGTGATGGTCGCCGACCGTACGGTGGGCCGGTGCCGTGCCCGGGCGGCGCTTGACTCAGTGAAGTTCACCCGGCATGATCACGGGACCACGGTACTGCCGAGGACAATCACTCAGGAGGCTTGACCCCCAAGGACTTCCAGTCGGACGGAAATCTCCTGACTCTACTAGGCTGGCCTAGGCTAGGCTAGTATCCCTTTGAAAAAACCTCCTCTTTTCGTGATAGTCGTACTATCTTTAACTTAACATTGAGTAAAGCCTTAAGACCAGCGGCAGCAGATATGCGCCAAACGTTCCGTTGTGAGTCGCAGCCTTTAGTCCTTGAGATGTACCTCCGCTACTTGAAGCGAACTGAAGATACGTCTCAAGCCTGTTCACACTGTCAGTACCCGACTGACTAGCACGCACATGTCGCATACCGTCACGGTGAGAGGACGAGCTGGCTCTACTAAGGGAGCCCGTGCCAGGCCTGTCGAGCTGACCCTGGCCAAGCTTGAGCTGTTGTATGAGCTCCGTCAAGAGGAGGCCGCCAACTGCCTGGTATGAATGCTGGCCTCCCCTTGCTTGGTCTCCCGTAGTAGCTCGATGTCCTTGCTCGATGTTGTTGCTTGATCGTCTTGCTCGATCTCCTTGCTGACTTGCGCCTTGCTCGTGCAGGGTATCTCGCTCACGAGCCTCAAAAGCGCCTGCCGACGTCTCGGGCTGACGCGATGGCCATACACAAGATCGATCCGCTCCTCCTCCTCCTTCCTCCAGCAGACGGCGCAGGTGGCAGCAACTTATGACAGAAGCAACGGACCTCGAGCAACAACACCAACACCTCATCACGATGCTCCTGCCTCCTCTCCGATGCTGACTGGCTGCCCCCATGAACTCGCCCAGGCTCCAGACGCTCATCACGCCCATGGCGCTTCGGTCCAGCCAGAGGAGCACTCTTTGACCGCCAGAGTGACGCTGGAGGAGTTGAGGATTCTGGGAGAGTGGGACGAGGAGCATAGCCAGCTGCTTGTCAACAACGAGTGGATCGACTACATTCTCAGCTCCGGCGAGTCAACAGACGTCGACATGAGCCCTGGAGGGGCAAGCTCGAGCTCTCGATCAGAGCGGACGTTGGATGGACCTGCAACGTGATCCACCGCAGGAGAGAGGCAGCGGTTCACACTTGGTGCTCAGCAAGCAGGACTGCTGGCTGCGATGCGCTCGCTCACAGAGTCCGGCCATCGAGCAGGACGACGAGGCAGCAGCTGATGCCGCGGCAGGAGGAGCTTGAGGGCGGAGGTTTCGGCGAGATAGTGACGGGGGGTGGGGGGGATAAAGCAAGGGGGTGCTGGCAAGTAAACGACTCGAATCACGAGAGAGGTCCGAGGCTGTCAGCCATGAATCGGAAGTCCACCAGCTCTGTAGTTGGCCATGATGGTGCATTCCAGTCACGTGGAAGGTAATCCCTAGCATCACCCGGTAACCGTGTGAGACGAAATCACTTGGATGGATAAGATCGCTAAGTTTTAGGCAGCGTCAAGGACAGTTTCGCTAATTTACATGAGAGCAGGGAAAGTCTGTCGGAGAGCATCGCGGCACACAAACATCTTGCCGAATCCCTGCTGAGACCTCAGCTGTCACGTCAAGGTTGAAAGGCAACTCGACCTCTTCCTCCCTTGGCTGCTGAAAGCTTTGCGCAAATTTCCGTACGATACCTGCCGATGGCTTGTTAAGAGCTGCAAGCGTGCACTAAGAAAGGCTACCCAGGCTCTTCTTGTTCGGGCCGAGAGTCGGGTGGCCCCGTCGCGACATGACGCGATCACAGCAGACGTCAGGGTGAGCTTGAAACAGCATAACCTGTTCTAGGGTGTCATTTCGCTGATCAAGCGCAGACAGTGTGGGCTCCATGTGACACTTCACCGCGATTTGTTGCCTTGAGAGTCCTCGTTGCTTCCCTAGTCGAATCCAGTGCGCTCGTTGATATTCATCTATCTGCATCGATGTCAAACTCCGGCCTCTAGCCGATGTTTCCAACGGATCAGCAATCCAAGAATACATTCGTCCTGTCGATCGCTACTCTCCTCTTATCCCCAAGGGCTGCTGCTGCTGCATCAATGCATGCTTCGCGGCTTCCAAGCGTGTCCTGCGAGATGATAACCCATCCGTTCTGCCTCAATCTGTCCGCCAATGTAGTCTTGCCGGACCCTGGGATGCCACAGAAGACCAAGAGCATGATTCTTTCTACAGGCTGGGCCACCTGGACCTCTGCTGATGCCCCTCCATCTGCGTGTTGAGGTCTTGCTTCAGCGCCTCTTTCAGCAGGAGCTTCAGATATAGTGGTTTCAACAGTGCTGCATGACAGCTTGCTGAAATTCTTTTCAAGATCTTCCATGACCTGCAGACAAGCTCTTCAGAAGTTAAACAGCACAATCGTAGAAGCAGAACACAAGTCAAATGTCTGTTAGCCCATGAGCTCACATTCTAGACTGTTCATGTAATTTCCACCAACAACAGTTTTCAACATTCCTTATTTGTACATGTTTACATGCAAATGGAGCAGCTTCGTTAATATCAATTTACACCAACTTGTTGGTCACACACTTGTCTTTGATCGTGCACCTTTTACTAGCATGAGTGCCTCATCGCGCCAACGATAAAAACGAGGATTCAATTGGCAAGATGCTGGAAATATCCAAGAGTGCAGGAGTAACAAAAGGAAGGCGAGTTGAAAGGTGATTGTGATGCCTGTACAGAGAGGAGCGACAAGTCAAGGAGAGGAGAGGAGGACAACATGCTCTCTTCAAGATGAGGAGAGGAGGACAACATGCTCTCTTCAAGATGAGGAGAGGAGGACAACATGCTCTCTTCAAGATGAGGAGAGGAGGAGAACATGGTCTCGCTATTCTCAGCTCCTGCCATGGTGTCTTTGTCAGAGTCTACATGCATGGTTGATGAATGCGAACGAGGCCATTATTTTTGTCGGAGGGTTGCAGTGGTACTCCAGGGTGGGTGGGGTATGACTTGGACCCCTGGGTTTGATATCTGATTCCAGAAACGTGGGTGATGGATATTAAATATAGTTGGGTCTTAGCATGGTAGGGTACTTAACCCCCACCCATCTTTGAAGTATTGTTCGGGTTCCTGGGGGTGCTCTCTTTGCTGGGAACACCAGATGTGAGGCGGGCCAGTCTGCTCAATCCCGGAGTCCGATCGCTCCGACGTAGCGGGCCGCCGGGCCGGGCCCACTGCCAGGGCGCCCACTGGCGGCCAGCCCGGCCCTGATACCGGCGGGGCCCTGGTGAGCCTCAAGTTCTCACTGTCCGATCACCGTGCCGTACCGTACGGTACTTGAAGGGCCCCGAGTCACGGCGGTTCCCGGAGTCCACTCGGACTCTCAGTGACTCTCGCGACTCACTGCGGCACAGAACTTGGCAATAAGCAGCAGATGCCGAGCGCCACCGAACATTTCAATCAACTTCTCCACATGCTAGTCCCGACCTCACTGACACCCTTCAAGGCTTCCTCCCCCCCCCCCCCCCCAACCACCACTTCTCCCTCGACCTTCGTTCCCTCCCTGCCTCCCTCCCCTCCACCAAGAGGTGACTCGCTCAGAGCACTTCAGGTTGTCATGCTGCTCCTACAAGCAGTAGCCCGTAGCTTTCTTCCCCTTCATACGCGGCAGAGTGGGAGCCTGCTGGAACACCGCTGAGGAGGAAGGAGTGAGACTGACATACGGAGAGGGAGGAGGAGGACGAGGCTTACACGCGGGGCGAGGGATCAGAGGCGCTCCAGTCTGAGGCCGGACGGCAGCAGAGAGAGGACGGGCACTAAGACCGCTCCACTGCTGCACGAGGACCTGGCCGAGCATGTCTGCAGCAGGGTCAGAAGCCCCTCTCCTCTAGCTCCAGCAACCTTCGTCCTTGCTCTTCACAGCCAGGGAAAGCGCGTTCCTGCCCGAGCTCGAGGACGCGAAAGCTCCTGCCCAGAGGGTCTGAGGTTGAGAGGAGAAGGCAATGGTGGGATGGCAGGTGCCAGTGAAGCGAAGGTCAAGCAGGGGGAAGGAGATGCTGGAGAGGAGATCGAAGTCGGAGGAGTAGGAAGAGGAAGGCAAGGAAATGGAGGACACAGAGGGTCATTACCTGCATTCATCAGGTACGAAGCAAGCTCACTGTCCCCGTCCTCCACAGCGATCATGAGTGCGGTATACCCCCTTGAGTCTTGCGCCTGAGGTGAAATGAGGAGGAGGAGGAGAGTCGAGCTAGCGTTTCACGTCAATCAGCAGGCGAGGAGCGAAGAGAATCCGTGAGATGGCATGGAAGGAGCCGAGGAACGTTGCGACGTGCAGCGGCGAACGACCCTTCTTGTCCTTGGCATTGATGTCTGCAGAGAAGTTGACGAGCAGATCGATCACCTGGAAACAAGAAGGTGAGGAGAGGGAAAGAGACGAAGTGAGGAGGCAGGAAGGGGAGGGGGGAGGAGGCAGAGGTGGATGGGATTGGAGAGGGGCACAGGGGGGTCAGCGAGACCTTGGTCTGTTCCGGTTGCCGAAAGACAGCGAGGTGGAGAGCAGATAAACCGTGAGCATCCTGCGCGTTCGGGTTGACATCGGTGGAGAGGATGGCCTCAACAGTCTCAGCGGATCCCTCAAGAGCTGCATGGTGCAGAAGCGTCCAGTCTTGATGCTGCTCCTCCTCCTTCACAAGCTTGGGAGGGGAGCCAGAGGACAAGAGCGAGCGCCAGTCGGAAGCAGCGACCTCCTTGCTCTTCACTCGCTTGTTGAGCTCAGCAACACAGAACTGAAACAGCTGGGCGTTTGAAGAGCGAGCAGCGTAGACGATGGGCGTCTGACCGTTGGCATCCTTGAGCTGCAGCATCGGCCAGGCCTTGTGAGCGAGCATGCTCTCTACCATGTCGTTCCTGCCCGACAGGACGGCGATGTGCAGCAAGTTCCTCCCTCCGGCGTCTTGTCGAGGGTAGACCTGCATGATGTCCAAGTCGTCGGCGAGGCGATCACGATGCCACTGCGAAGAGAAGCTGCGTAGGAAGAGATAAGTGGGAGAGGAGCAAGACACAGGGCTCTCTCAATGGAGAGCTAACGAACATCACCTGCTCTGCAAGGGATGGCGGTGAGGCTGGACGAGCGTGGAAGAAGCCAAGACCCCTTCCTCCTCCCCGTGTCTCATCCTGGCGTACGACGACGAGGGCCTGCAGCTCCTTAGCTGCAGTGCATGAGGGGCTTGCAAGCTCGCGGGAGTCTGTAGCTCTAGCTTCTTGCCCTTCGAGGGCTTCAGGGCGAGGAGGAGGAAGAGCAGCGTCTCCCACTGGCCGCAGCAGCATGCGATCTCGATCGCAGTCCACCCTAGACTCTTCCTCCCCTTGGAAGACTCCTTCTCCTCCTCCTCCTCCTCCTCCTCATATCTCCTCCTCCTCCTCCTCCTCGTAGGTTGTTCGCCCTTCTTGGTACTCGGCTCCGCATTGAGAGGGCTGATGGGTGAGTCAACTGACAGGATCTGAGCCCCGGCGTCCAGCAGCATCTTCACACAGGCGATGTTGCCGACCATGGCGGCGCTGTGGAGTGGCCGCATGCGCATCTTCAATCGAGAAATGAAGCGACTCATGCGCAGGTAGGGAGACATGGATGGAGGAGCCGCGTGGAGGAGGAAGACGGGGCCCTCGGGGAGTTCGACATTAGCCTTGGCGTCAAGGAGGAGCCTGCAGCAGTCGAGGCCTGCAAGAGGAGTGAGGTCATAGGACAGGAGGAGGGAGAGAGCGCAGGTCTTAGAGTGAACGAAGGAAGAGTCCAACAGCAAGCAGCTACGAAGTAGGGGGCAGCGGGAGGGAAGAAGGATCCCAGGAGCAGGGATACAGGAAGAGGAGGAAAGAGGAAGGTTTGGGAGAGAGTGAGAGCAGAGTGTTGGGGATGCGTCACCCTGAGGTCCGTTCAGTCTGCAGGCCTCTCCGAGGAGAGACACCCCCTCCTTCATCAGGATGTTGACGTCATGCCCGGCCGCAAACAAGGACGACCGGAGAGCATGCTTGTCGCCATGCCGGACAGCTCTGATCCATCATAGGTCAGCCACCCTGCGCTCTTCTCTCCTCTCCTCTCTCAACGCACGAGAGGATCGACAAGTGCTTGTGCAGCGACATGGCCTGAACCTGCGCGCGGGTCCAGGCAGAGATTCCCTTGGAAGCCTGCGCGGAGTCATGGGGGAGCATGGAAATCTCTTTCAGCTCATCGCACAATCTGACGGGCTGCATCCACGAACTGCTTGCGATGAGCTTCGGTCACAGGGACCAGATCCTTGAGCTCGAGCTGCAACTTGGAGGGAGGAAACGGCATGGCGCTGCCGACGGTCGGACGACAAGTCTTTGGGTCGACATCCACCTGCATTGTGAAGGATCAGGACGAGGCAATGGCTGCATGCTCTCACCTCGCACATGATCCGGACATCGACTTTTCCCCTCCTCTGCTCATGGTAGATCGTGTCAGACAGATCTTTGCGCGTCTCTCGCTTGTTGATCAAGACGTATGTCCGAACGATGGTTCCTCGCACCGTTGTCGCCTCCACCTCTTTCGTTGCGTTCTTTCTCGCCAGCTCCTTGATCTCTTCCAATGTCTTCACCCTCACGCTCCTATCCTTTGGCCGTATGAGATCTGCGTAAGGATCTTTCTGTACAGTCCGCGCGGCGTCCAGCAGCGTCTTGTCGAAGAGGACTCTCTCCCCGCTACGCAACGCCTCCCTAACAAGCTTCACATCCTCGTTGTTCTCTACTGAGTCGTAGAGACCATCGGATGTCAGCACAAGCAGCGGCCGTCGAGACCCTGCCCTTCCCTCCAGCAGGAAACAATCGCCGAGGTTTCCGGCCTTGAGGAACGCCCCTGACTTCCACAACTTTGGGTCCAACATCACCGCTGTTTCATGCACCTGATACGGATGCCTGCCTACTGATGACGATGATGCTACGGTTGTTGATGTTGATGTTGATGTTGATGATGACGCGACTTGTTGTTACTGCTGATGTTTTTGCGTTCGTCACGTCCTTTCTTCACCTTGTATACTCTTGCTCCTCCGACCGCCATGGTCGACCGTTGAAACCCGGGAAACTAAAAGAGCTAATCTACTTTTTCTGCCCCGGCCCAGCGGCGACGGCCGCCGGGCCGCGGCAGGACAGTAGCACAGTTAACTAAATAATTCATCAACGTCGGTTACAATCGTAACGGCAGAGCGGAAGCAGCGATGGCGGGGCAGGTGAAGGAACTCGAGCGGTTCATGCGGACGACCAAGGAGCTGCGGGGGCTGGTGGGGGAGCTGGTGGGGGAGAGGCTGAAGACAGGCAAGTCCAGCCCGGGCCTGAAGGAGGCGGCAAAGATGTGCGTGGTGAAGATGGCCGAGGTGCGGAAGGCGAACAGAGACGCGCACGAGGCTGCGGACAGCATGCTGTGCGCGGCCGAGGCGGAGAGGAATAAGACGGATCAAGTCAGCCAGCAGGTAAGGTCCTTCTGCATGCCGAGGAGAGCATGCAGTTCATCCGCCCCCTTCCCTTTTTTGCCGTGTTTTGTTCATGGCGTCGGTGTGGAACACAGTTGGGGGGTGCAGGATCCCTGTAGGGAAGGGGGTGTCAAACCTGTGTTTGATGGCATGCTGTGGGTATCAAGAGATCTCTTGTCTGACATGCATGCCAGCTTCAAAACTTGCAATACCAGAAGATTCACCTCAGCAGAGAGCTGCAGTTATGCTTGAACTACAAGGGCCACGTTGGTAGGACACCTGCCCCTCTCCACCTGCTTTCCAGTCTGACTTGGATCTACAGTTGATGACTTGATTCCTGAAGAAGAGTATGAGAGTATGACAACCCCAGAGGAGCGTGGAGGCCCGCGCGGGTACTCCCCTCGCTCGCTGTTGGGGAGCGTTTTTGACACGGATACCAGATCGCACGAGTATGAGCTGAATCGTCTGAACAAGGAGCACAAGCAGAGAGAAGCGATGATCAAGTCCTTGAAACAGCAAGGTTGATCTCTCGTGCCACAAACCTTGAATGCAACTAACGTGCCACTTGCAAGAACTCCGCAAGCAGCTGTACGAGGGCAAGCTCACATCACAGAGGAAGTTTCTCGACGGGCTGCAAGGTTATCTGAAATCCAGTTGAATCTCGTATTGTGATACTGATCTATGACTCAGCTCATCTCGATGCCATCTACAATGCAGCGGAGCCCGTGAGGAAGGAGTTCTCAAAGTCTGCTCCTCTCCCCTCCCTGCATTCGGAGTTGGCAGCCACTGCGTCTTTGCTCCCTAGCCCCCTTTACTCGATCTACTATCAGGTAGCTCTAGCACCTTGTGTCCTTCCATGACCTGTGACGTGCTTGTTTGCAAGGCTCACTCGTACGAAGTCGCTTTCGGAGAAGACGTGGCAGTGAGCATCGAGGGCGACATAACGGAGGCACAAACTTTCATGAAAGCACAAGTGAGACAAGTCTCGTCTGAGAGTGAATGCTTTCTTTTGACCATGCGTGCAGGCAACTGCTGTCCCTCCGACACCTGGAGCAGACGCAAAGAAAAGAAGGTCATTCCGCCTTGATGCGAGGCGTCAGCGGCTGACACCAATTTGTTGCAGGAAGAGGAAGAACAAGGACATGGAGGAAGATGAAGAGGAATCTTTGACAAAGCCGCATCCATTGTTCTTGAAGCTTAAGATCCCTCCGCAACCCGAAGATCCACCATCGACTGCTCCAACGATCACTCTCACCTTCTCCTACTTGACAAAACTACAGGTTGCGAACCTTAATTTCCCCCTTTTGTATGATGGCGTCTTCAGCGTTATGCTCTTGTCTACCCCGAACCTAGAATCCCTATCTCCTCACGTTGTCACAACAGATCGTAGTCGTCCAGCACGAGCTCAGCTCTAAGGAGAAAGAGCCTTCTTTTCTTCAAGATCTCTTCCCGAATGATGTAACTCTATCAGACTGTTTTCCTTCTTGGCTTACACAGCTTTCAGTCGGGAATTTTTTCTCCCCTGGTGGCAAACGACTATTTGTACATTAACATAAATACTCGACGCCCTCGCGCGTTCAACGACACCAACAGTCCTGGACGTCCTTACAAGTGGGCGCAGGCAAGACTCGGACCCTGTTTCGTTCTATCCTCTGCTGACTGATGACCATCTCGTCCTCCTCCAGACCGTGGGCTGCATGACCTTCCCTGCAAGAGACTCGGGAGACGCGAGCAACATCAAGGCGCCAATGGCAAGACAGAGCTGAGCTGCTGGCGATCTCTCCTGACTAGATTTCACAGCTCCGAGACTCAGGGATCACATTCTCCAAGCTCGTGAAAGCCTTGCGCGAGCGATGTTTGGTGTGGACTCAGGTGCGTCAGACGAAGCAGAAGCCGCCATGATCACACCAGAGCGACAGGTGAAACAGATGATGCAAGAACTTTCCAAGATGAACACCAAGGAGCTGCCAAAAGTTCCTGGTTGCGAAGCTCTTACTGGTTCAGGGGCTGTACTGCATGGCTGGAAGGAGGTCTGTGCGGAAGTAGCCCTGTCCTTGCAGTCATGCGTCTCATCCAGGTGACATCCGAGTTCTTGGAGAACTTTGCGGAGAACGATGAGGTGCGGGCTCGTTCCTGAAGCGGGGGAGGTGTAGAGGCTGACTGGGTCGGCAGGAGGAGAAGGAGCCCGAGAAGATGGTGCTCGAGGGGGTCAACGAAGAAGGAGAAGTGATGCCGTCTCAGGTGAGGAGCGGGTGGAAGGATGAGTTGGACTCTAGAAATGACGCTTGTTCTTCAGGCTGACGCAGCAGAAGATGTAGGGGCAGACAGTTGAAATGATCACTTCAATTCCTGATGATTGTGATGCAGGAGGTCTACCACACAACCGAAAAGGAGGACCGCAACATCTCCCGCAAGGTCTCTCGCTCCTCCCTCTAGTCCTCGTCGCTCATCGTTGCGCAGGAGCACAGATTTTTCCAGCTCACTGTCAAGAAGGGCGAGTGGCAGGCGCTGGTGAGAGGAGCGCGCCTGCCATGCTGATCGGATGACGGTTCTGCAGGCGGAGATCGAGCTGCCCCGCGGCTATCCCAAGAAAGCGCCATCCTTTACCTTGAAGATGCTTCAGGAAGGGGCGAGGAAGACTGTGAGATGACCAGCCATCGCTCCTTCTTCTCCTCACTCGCTTTGTTCCCAGGCACCCTCCTTCTCTCTCACTAGCGTGGATCCGAACGCGCTTGCTGTTGTCGATGCTGCTAGGTGGGTTGACATTTCTTGCCGGGCACAGTCTGAATGTCTCGTTCAAGGAAAAATGGCGAAGCGACGGACAACGCTCTGCGGAGCATCGAAGAGGAGCTCAACACTCATGCAGCTGCTGAAGCTGCGGCTGCTGGCTGCCCTGGTGAGACGAGCTTGCCTGCAGTGTGTGTGAGAAAGGTAACACGATGTTTCAGCTTCTCGCCTCCTCATCTACCAACTATGGACGCTCAAGCATTGCTTCGCCATCTACATCGACGTGGTGACCGGTCAGCCTCTGCACGCTCTCCGAGAGCATCGGGGGCGCGACCGCAGGCTTCCCTTCCTCTACAACCCCGACACGCACTCGCTGGACCAGAGGGCATGAAGGAAGCAGGGGCACAAGTTGTAGCTTGGGGGGAGGGGGGGAAGGGGGGATGAGCTCGACTGTCTTTAAAACCTCAAATAAAGAAATGTGTACGAGACATACAATATTCTTACTACTGTAAAGGAAATAAATTACATACTAGCTACTAAACTACCTCCTATATTCGCAATATTGTTACTTAAATTGTTTTAGTTTTGTACTTTTGTTCAGGATAGGCCCTTTCTTAAAATAGGTATCTAAACAATGGTATTAATTAAAACAATTCATAGTACAGAAAATTCTGCCAGTACTGTATGTTGATTGTATTGTTTCATTCTGTTCCGTTCAATCAGCAGAATTATGGTACAGTTTGAAAAACAATTTTAACCTTCGCCGCATTTCCGCGATGCTTCGCCGCCTCCTTCAGCGAACAAGCGCCGTGCGCTTGGCTGCCTCCTCCTTCTCCTCCTCCTCCTCCTCCTCCTCCTCCTTCTCTCGTAGCTTCTCTACTCATCTCACTCCTTCTGCTGCATGCGCGAAGTGCATCGTCCCAGCAACTGCCATCGCTCGCCAGAAGTTGAACTGTGCTGTCCAGCGCGGTAAGCACTCAGATGGCTACGTGTATGCCATTTCCGGCATCGACCCGCAGCTCTGGAAGGGCAGGACAGTCAGGGTGATGAAAGAGACCAGACCTGTGCACATGAACGGACCTGGATTGCACTATGGATGGAGATTGGTGTAAGATTTCACTGCCATTTGCGTTGATGCATCTTTGTGCAACCGCCCTCCCTTTTGCTCTTCATTATTCGTGAACTCAACGACTGATTCATACTTTTGTTTCCATCGGGGAACCTTCTTCTGTGTCTCATCCTCAACAATCTGCCTCTCACCACCCAAACTCGTCATCCTCCCGTCCTTGTGTTCGCCGCTGGCGCATGGCAGATAGTTGACGAGAATGGTCGTGCCCAGGTTTGACGTCAAGGAGAAATGGGCGAACCCCCTCATGGGCTGGACCTCAGGACGAGATCCTCTTGCTCAGCTCGTGTACCAGCTCAAGTTCGACACCAAGTGCGTGCTGAGGTCCATTGGTTGAACTGCCTCTCAACGTGTTTGCAGGGAACAAGCGGTCCGGTACTGCGAGGAGCACAATGTCGACTACACAGTCGAGGAAGAGACTGTCATGACCGAGGACATGATTGAGCAGAAGTCCTACGCTGACAACTTCCAGTGAGGTCTGCTCGTGGGGTTGCTGGAGCTGACAAGGGCGCAGGTGGGATGGAGACGATGAGACGGATGCCACGGGCCACAGCATGTGGGCCACCCGCCGGCTTGGATGCAAGTGAGCGACGCCGATGTAGATCTACGACAGAGACATCGCTCCCTGCTGTCTTCTCAGCTCCGTTCTTGATTTGTATGTGAGGTCATGTTGGTGCAAGCCGCATGAACTTGTCTTTAAAGAATACTCCTTCCCCTGCATATACACCATCCAAGCATGCGGCACGTCTGTGAATATCCTTAGAGGATAGGACTTCAGGCCTTGTTGTCATGATGCTCCTTCTCTTTGGATTTCCAATATTCGTAGTTGCGGTCGATTCCTGCAGTGCATCAGCACGAGGGGAGAGGGAGAGGGGCGAGGCTCACGTTCGAGCAAGACTTTGCTCTCGGGGAAGCAAGCACACCAGGTGTCGAAGAGCGGGCGGACAACAAAGTCTACGAACCCAGGCTGAGACTTGGTCACTCCGGGTTTCTCTCGGTCCATGAGGAAGGAGATCTGCTCAACAAGTCAGCACACCCATCGCTCCTGATCTGCACGCTCTGCCTTCATCTCCCGCTGCTTCTCGACGTCTCCCTGTCGCCACATCTCCTCTTCCAGTCGCTCCGACCACTGGATGTGAACCTCGTGGTCCGCGTACAGATGCCCAATGTCCGCAACTTTGATGGCGCCCTGAGCAGGAGAAGTCAGAGATGCTCCGAGGACAGGCGGGCGGCAAGCACCTGCAAGATGAGGGTCTTGAGCGCATCGGGCGGGTCACTCCCGATGTCATCATCAGGGTTTTCGAGTCGTTTCTGCAGATCTGATTTGAGTTTCGAGACAATCGCCTGCCACACGCTTGAGGGGTGTAAAAGACCGGCCAGCGTCACCATGTGCTCGCCCATGTCAGTGGCCATGACCATGTCGATGACCAGCTTTCTCAGGTGCGCCTGTTGAGCTTGCGGCATTTGGTGGAGGAAATTACACTCTGGTTGCCGGAGGATTCGGAAACTGGAGGGGATTTGACATGAGCATCAAGATTCAACGGAGCCATGGGTCAAACCTAGAAGAGAGGTGATGACTTTCATTGGGCGACTTGTCGTTGCTGTCTATCGCCCAGTCATCTTGCGTCTTGACCAGGAAGTCATTGTTGAATCCTGCCATCGGGCTCAGAGGAAACGCTCAACGACTCCCTCCTTGTCCTCACCTCGATGCTCGAAGTCATGGATGCAACTTGCCAGAAGTCCAGCAAGTATCTCAAGTTTGCCTACAAATTTTCCTACGCCGCCTTTCACAAGCTACACCAACGGTCATTTCCGCACGGAGATTGAGGCAGAAAGTGGAACTGACCAGGCAATGCATTGACTGAACGACGTCAGCAACGTGTGTCGCATTGTGATAAGGGTTGTCTGAGTGTCCACTCTCGATCGTCCGGAGGAAGTTGACAAATTTCACTTGGTCAAGGTGGAATTCTTCGATCAGGTTGTGCTTCATGAAAACGTGCCAGCAGAGAACCTGACGAGAAAGAATGTGACAACACTGCAAACAAGAAGCTGTTCACTTACTTGCAACGGAAGCCCATCAGCTTCGCGCTCGAGGTCAAACACCTGAAATACAGTCATCAGGAGAAGAATCCCTTATTTCAAAGTGAATACGTTGAAGTCCCAATCGTCAGCCCTTTCAAGACATGCACGAAGTCCCTGGAGCTGCATAGGCTTCGAGCTCAACCCCGCTGAGTTGGCTGAGACAGTGCTCTCCAAGGACCTCGGAGTTCCATCGCCTTCAAAACAAATCAAGATATGAGAACAAAAGAATGTTTGCATACCGTCGCCTTCACCGTCAGATCTTGCATCTGACATAGTACCTTCGCGTCCTTTGTGTCACATCGAGAACAACGTAGAGAGGCCAGATTGAACAATGGAAATGTCACAAGCTAGGCAGAAAAGCGTATTGAACAAAATAAATGCGGAGATATTCGCTACGATCATGAAATCAAGGGCAGCGGCTGCTATCCCATACCTCCATCATATAGGAAGTTCCAGTCTTCTCCCAGCAGCACCATCAGAGAGCCGGCCACATCACTGTCAACGTTGCATTCAACTCATCATACAAGTCTCTTGATCGGCAATCACCTGTCGTGCTGCTTGACAATATGCTGCCGGGTGTGCTCTGACATCTCAAGGCGCCCGAGCTCACATTCAACTTTGCGCAAGTTGGTCACATCCTGGTGTGAAATCATAATGATAGGTTCTCCTGCACGAGCCAACAGTTACGAAGGCAAAAGACTCTCGATCGGAGCAATCCACCAGTGAAGGGGTCCTTCTGCCGTTGCGCGAAGATACGACAGTACCATAGTTCGCTCGTCCCATCCTCATTTTCACGCTTGATCGGTAGGTCAACCTACCAAACATCGGCTCAGACGCGGACCTGACAAGCTTCAGCTCGCACACCTCATAGCTGGAACCTTCTTCGGACAAAGCCTCCATCATGTTCTCATACGCTGTTCTCCGCTCTGTGCGTTCGATACTGAACGAGCCCGAGCTCGAGATTGCAGGAACTTGGTCATTCAGGCCCCGCCTCTCACGCTCACTCATCCCAAATATGTCACTTTGAAGCCAGATCGTCTTGCCGAACACGCCAACCGCGGCTGGATTGCACGTGATCAAGTGCCCATCGAACGTGAAGAAGCACAAGGGGTAGGGCGAGCACTCAAGGAGTGACGTCATGTACTTGGTGTTTTCTTCGAGCTGCCGTCGGATGTCCAGCGGCCATCTGACGGTCATGACACACTCAATGGTCTCTCCTGCTTGTCCGTCCTTCGCGATCCTCTTCACAGACGCAGGTCCGTAGATGGCTTCCACAGAGATGTTCTCTTTCCCAGCAGGAACAATGTCTTTTTCGATCAACTGGAAAAGCCCGAGTGAGTGCAGTTCATCTTTTCTCGAGATAAATCACCATCTGACGTTCAACTTGTACTTTTTGATATCTGGCTTTCCATCTCTCCTTCTCTTCAGCATCAAGCCTTGACAAGACATCCTGCTCAACACCGCTCAGCAACCAAGACTCTACCTAGGAGCTGAATCACCTGTGACACGAAAGCATCAAAGCTCACGCCAACAGTGCTCAAGTAGCTGGCGTTGGCCCATATATTCTTAGGAGGTTCACTGTAATCAGTGATAGTGACGCAAAGAGGGACGGCATCGAGCGCCTTGAGGTGGCAGTCTTCGAGGATAAGAGTCTCGGTTTCAAGCGACGGCATCTTACAACAGGAAGCAGTGCATGAATATGTCCAACTCAAGGTTTTGCTTGGATTGCTGAGCTTATCCTACAGCTCAAGCAAAGATCATCAATTGAGAACCTCCTTCACCGACCCCCTGTGATATGCGCTCCCTTGACTGCTAGAAGTCTACGAAGTGCTTCCTCTCGAGCTCCAATTGGCAGTCTCACAGCTAGAGGAATCGGGGGGTCGACCTTCAGTGTGCCGCTTGATCAACGAGGTCTCCGTGAAGCAAGAATCAAGGAATGAAGGAATATGACGGACCCTCTACTGAGATGAGGCGGAGAATGAAACTAGCCACCTTCTCCTGCAGGTATGACTCTTCGGCAAGGAGAGTATCCTCCTCCACCTGCTCTCCCCTCGTCTCCCTGCTGTACGGGTCCTCCACCTCTTCTACTTCACTGTCCTGACGACGCGGACTGGCCCCAACCTTTTTTCCTGCTGCACAAGGTTCTAGGGCCTCCTAGCGGGAGGTATGATGGTCCTAGAGAGGTCATAGTTCTCTTCAATTGGTCCTACTTACCCTAGGGTACATTGAGGTCGGTCCTAGCAAATCTCACAAGGATTTTTAAGGTAGCTCACCGTAGGAGGGGGGTCATAGCAAGGTCATATGAACATTCTTATCACATACAACCTGGTCCTACATAATGTGGGCAACATGAGATCGTTACAATCCGTTACACTGTCTCCCCGTGGTGAAGGTTTCGCCTTCTTTGGATCTCGAGGTGTGCGGCCGACAAGAAGGGGTGCTAACTAGGAGGGTAGGGGGGGTAGGGGTGAAAGGGGTAGTAAACAAGGATACGAGATCGAGTCATACTGTGCGTGTAAATTAGGAGGGTGGGGTAATTCAAGCTCTCCACTAGGGGTAGGGGTGCATGGTGAAGGATGGGTCCACCTACCCCTCTGCGATTGAGCACACAAAGAGCATTTAAAGGAACAGGTTGGTGGTTGAGGGGTAGTATTCCTTCCTGATAGGGGTGTGGAGATCACTGGAGAGGGACAGGGGTGGATGGACTCGGCCGCGTTTTCATGTGGGGGTGGGTGGGGTGTCACGTTCAAAATTGTTTTTAACATAAAAATGATATAATCGATGGAGTTACCTCCAACTGTACTTGACTTGAGTAAACTATAAAACGTATTTAATTTTAAAACATTTTGGGCTCCAAAGAGTCAGCTGGCTGACCGTTTTGTGTCAGCCGTTTTCTCAACGGTTTTGACCCGTCACTCCCCTTAGGGGGCACTTCTCAGTGACTTCACCGGACAGGCCCGGTGGGCCCCGGGCGCCGCCACCGAAACATCGGGGCATGCCGTCACCGTGCAGCGCTATCATGGCAGTACTGCTTCCCAGTCCGAAAGACGTGATGGCATGATGGGAGCTGAAGGAGGGAGGGAGGACCAGTGAAGAACCTGTCTCTGTCAAGTTGTAGAGACCTGAGGATCCATCGCCCTGAGTTGCCCTTGTCGAAGCTACACGTCGAGTCAGTCAGGATGGCTTCGGGCGCCCTTGCTAGACGAGTTCGGAGGGTGAGCAGGAAGCTAAGGAACTATGTCTTCTTTATTCTGATTCTTGCCGTCTCCTCCTCGTTCTCCTTGCTCCACTTCTTCTTCCGCAAGATGTCGACTCAGAGACATGTCCACATCGATATCAGCAGCCTCGACGAGGATTCGTACGACGGCGATCAAAACAAGCATGTCATCTCGTTTGATGCCATCAGCCTTCCCGACTGCGCGCTTTCGAATCAAACGCTGATACGCAAAAGGATCTCTGCCCTGGAAAGATCCATCCAACCAACCGTCAAAGGAGAAGGAGCGGGCGCCAGAGCTCACAGCAAGATGATAGATATGATGAGGAGCAACGAGTTTGCTTCGAACCCTGAGCATCTCCTGCAGAATGAAGTCGAGAATCTCAGGGCGATCCTAAGGTAGCCCCCATGTTGCTTCATGCCTCTGTTCTCATCGTCTTAGGTGTGAATCTGTGTGGTTGCAGGTCCTGCCAGATATATTTCGGATCCAAGGGCTGGGTCGGGTGAAGGCATGCATGGCAATCGGTCAGATGAGCATGAGAGAGCAGACAAGGGTGTGATGGATCAGGACTGTACACCTTGGACTAGAAAAGTGTTGAGATATGGATGGATTGCTGTCAAACAACTTTCTCGTATCAAAGCTCACACAGGATTACTTGTTACGTAAACTCCAAGTTGAATCATATTAGCCAGCCTCGTTCATTATCATTCTGAAGAAGACCGTGTTTGTGCCTTGCTCTGTTTACAAGGATAAAGCATACAACAGGGAGAAAACACAATCTTAAAGCAGATCGCTGATCGTTGAGCAACGGATGTAGGAGGAAAGGTTACAGTCAAGAAGACGAGTCTAGATTGACACTGGCTCCTTGGTTTGGGCAAAATTGATCTTCTTAGCCTCATCAACAAAGGCGGCAACCTGTGTGGTTTGCCGTTAGTGCTGAAGAAGCGGGATGAGATGTGCAAGCTCACAGCAGATTCTGGGGTCGGCTGGATGACTCCATGACCCAGGTTGAGGATATGAGGGACCCCTCGTGCCTTGTGGACACAGTCTCTGACAGCCTCGCGAATCTGTGAAGGAGGAAGAATCAGCAGGAGCAACTCCAAGCCATGCCAAGCAACCTTGGACTCTTTCCCCATGAGGATGAGGGGATCGACGTTGCCGGAGATGGGCTTGTCTCCCAGCGTCTTTCTTGCAGTCGCCATGTCAATCTGTGGATTAGAACATCAGTAAAGCTTCAAGTCGCTGTGCTCGTGTGCAATGCCTTCCAGTCGACGCAGATCATGTCGGCCTAGTTGTTCATTATCAATATTTTGGTCTTGAAAGGAACAACATTTCCTCACCTTCATGTCGCGCTGAAGTTCAAGGTATGATGATCCTCCATTGGCGAAGTAGATGATGGGAACGTTGGGGTGCTGTAAACTGGCAATCAGCCAACGATTTCTAGTTCCACCAATTTCGCATGCCTTCTGCTTGATGAGAGAGATAGCCTTGTCCGCGTAGGGCTTCCCGAAGATCAGGAAGTCCTCAGGGCTGAGGTGATGGGCCCAGGACTCAAAGACTTGAAGAACTTGTGCGCCGCAATCGATCTTGTCACTCTTAGTCAGCATGTCGGAGCACGTTTTACAGCTAGACCTGATGGATGGCATACGCAGCAATGTTCTCAGCAATGTGGTCCAAGAAGGCATGCAAGATCTCAGGCTGATTGTACATCATCTTCTTGGTCTGAGTTTTCTGTTAGAGATTCTGAAACTTGACACAACTCTAAGGCACCTGGAAACAGTTCTTGTCCGCCTTGCCTTCCACCGAGTACGCCGCCAAGGTGAAAGGAGAGCCAACAAACCCTAGCAGCGTGGTCTTTCCATCCGTCTCCTACACACAGCTGGTCAGTCCCTCTTCACCCTACTCGATGCTGACCTTTCTCAGGGACTGGAGGATCTCTCGGAGGAAGGGCACACTGGCGTCAGGGTCGTCGATTGGCTTCAAGCTCTTGATCTGATCCATGGAGCGGATTGGGTCGAAGATGACAGGACCAGATCCCTTGACGACATCGAACTCGATGCCCATGGAAGGAAGCGGCGTGAGGATGTCAGAGAACATGATGACGCCATCTGTGCCGAAGGCCTTCCACGGCTGCAAGGAGAGCTCGATGGCAATCTCTGGCGTCTCTGATCGCTGTCTGAAGGGATACTTGTCACTGTACTCTCTGAACGCCTTCATGTATCGCCCTGCCTGCCTCATGAGCCACACTGGCGCGCGGTTTGCCTCCTCCCCACGAGCAACTCTTAAAAGGATGTCGTGATCCGAGGCCTGCATCTTCAGCTTAAGGCCTGCCCTGGAGGCCTTCTGGGAGGAGGCGATCTGTCTCATCAGCAAGGATGAGGACGAGGAAGGAGCAAAGGCCTCAGCCTGGAGGGCGCAGACGGACAGCAGCGCCGCTGCAGTCCAGGCGGCCGCCATGGCAGGGACCTTACAACTTATAGCCGCAAGCGACTCTAACCAGGTAATTAGGTTCTTTGAAACCCGGAATCCAATTAGCTGAGCGAATTACCGGCTGACTACCGGCGGGCCCGGCCGGCGGGCCTCACTGCCCGGCCCGGCCGGGCCAGTGGGGCCGCGCCGCGCCGCAGACTCGGACCATCGCCGTGACGGTCACACGAGTCCGGCGGTGCCAGCCGCTGATGCCGCAGTACTATGATTAGCGGCTTCAAGTTGCCGAGGCTGGCCCGGGCCCGGGCGGTCACCGGAGTCCGTCACTGAGTCAGTGCCGGGCCCGGCCCGGCGGCCGGCCCGGCAACGGACCGTCTCCCGGCCCGGCCCGGCCGGGCCGCCGCCGCCCGAGGACACGGCACGGTATCCGAGTCCGACTGCCAGTGACTCCCGTCACGGCGTGGCCGCACCCGGAGTCACGGTCCGATCCGACGGCGCCCGGCCCGGCCGCCGGGCCGGCCCCGCTTCAATCAGCGGCAGTGCAGTCCGTCACGTGACGGTCGCGGGCAGTGCTTTGAAGCCTAAGTTGAGAGTCACGGGGCGGCGGCCCGGTCCGAGGCTCCGAGTCCCGCGGCCCGGCGGCCGCGGGGTGACTGCGAGTGCCAGTCACGAGTCGCCGCCGGGGCAACTTGGCCCCGCGCGCCCGGGGCCGGGCCCCCCGGCGGCGGCCCGGCGCCGCCCGGCCGGGCGCCTACTAGGCTAGTCACTGAGTCACGGTACGGTACGGTAACTCGGTAAAGACAGGGCGACCCGCCTGACCCACTGCCAGGGACCACCCCACCCTCTCTCAGTGCCGAGAAAGTTGACCCGCCTCACGCTACCGTGGTGTCACTATAAACTAATCCCGGAGATCAAGTCCACCCCCACCCCCGCCCCCTTGCGATTGGCCGTCGGTTTTTGACATGCGGCGGCAAGCCGCTGGCCCACAGGGAGTTGCGGCAGGGGAGAGGAGGAGGGAGAGGAGGAAATGAGAAGCCTGAGAGGAGGGAGAAGATAGAAGTAGGAAGACTCACAGCAGAATGAGGGGAGGGAGGAGAGACTGAGAAGTGACGGTGAGAGAGAATTTTCAGTGATGTTGAAGTTGGAGCCCCGGGATCATGCAATGAAGAAGAGAATGGATGTTAGAGGTTCAAGGAGAGAGGATAGATAGCTGCTGATAAGCGAAATGTCGGAGGAGTGAAGGACAAAGGGAGAGGGGGGGGGGGTTAGTATGAGACTCAGAGCGCAAGGCACTCAGTGACTGCTGAGGGAGCCACGATACAGCAGGCAGGAGTTTAGTTTATCTCGAGGGTCTGAATATGCCTAGAAAGATGTATAGTATACACACATGCACGTTCCACTGCAGTATAGAAAAATCTGTCGCTCTTCTCTGCCTGCATTCACACAAACGGAGGCTCAATGGTTGGTTCTGAGGGAAGGCTGAGTACAAACCTTGAAACTGTTGAACTGTTACTTTGCCATCTCAAGATGCTGGACGGTTTCAGGGAAGGATGCATCAGCAGACCTTGATGCTTAGTTGAAGAAGAACACAGCTTGATTGAAGGACATAACTTCCGAATATCACGTCTAACTCTATCGAAGATGACTCTGTTGCTGACGCATAGCATTCTCAGGATTGTCAAGTGCTGAACACAAACAAGCAGTTGTGGGCTGCCAAATCTCTGCCAGAGTGAGCTGTGGCAATTGTCGGAGGAAATGCAAAGAGTCGGGATGAACGGTAAGGATTGATTTCACCATTTCCCCAACAAACAAGGCTGAATTCAAAATTTAGCTTTTGCCTTTGTGCTGTACTTGTCACTCCCGGGAGCAAGCGCGTACATGTCACGGTAGTCCACAGTCGGAGGTGCCAAGTTGTTGGGCTCACTATCTGAGGTCAGGTATTCCTGCAACACGACTGCAGACCTGTTCAAGAGGCAGGGTCTGACGTCAGAAACCTTCTTGTGTGCCCCCTACGTCAACTACACAGGTCAAACCACTTGACATCCTCCCGCTCATGATCGCCTGACCCTTGGACTTGCAGTGGCGTGCGACCTCGATGACGACCCTGCTCTTGGCTTCAACCCTGTGAGCCTGAAGACCTGATCCGGCCCAGTCGTGACCTCAGTCGCAGAGCTGCAACAACACGTTCGCCGTCCAGGTTTATGCCAACTTTGAGAGGGCCCTCAGTGTCTACAGGTTCGCACTACTGTCACAGTCGCTGCAGTCATGACAACCTTGTTCTGCCCTTCAGCTGCAGAGACTACAGCAGGATCTGGACTTGTGACAACTGCACTGTAAGGAGAATCACGACGGCCAGGTCATGGGGCTCACTGCAGCTGGCAGGTGGCGTACAAGAGATGGCTCTGTTCGGCGTTGTTCCGAAAGTGATGACATCGCTCTTTCACATGCTACGTGCAACAAACCTCTGAATTGTTTTCCACTTCTTCGAATTCTTTCTGGCCTCAGGTGCAATCAAGACTACGAGTGCCCCGAAAACTTTACAAGTGAAACATTAATGCAAGATTTCGGGTCGTTGGCTGACGCGGACTCTGCAGGAACAAACGCAAGGGCTATCCCCGACTGCGTCATGAAGACTTGCCAGGTAGCTTCCTGCCCCGCAGAGCAGCCGCTGGAGGCATCTTGTGTGCTTCACCTCCTCTTCTCACGCAGCCCCCGCCAGGATGTCTGCTACGACGTGGTCCGGAAGTGCCCCGTCCATCTCGAGTTCCGGTGCCCTCCGGTCAAAGGTAGCCAACACTTGGAGGAGTGGGGGGAGGAGGAGGAAGTCGCTAAAGTGTGAGACAGATCTTCGAGAGTACGACATCCGGACCTGCAACAACTTGGAGAGGCCGTCGACAGACAACGTGAATGCTCTTTCCTCTGCCTCCAGTCCCGCATGCCCCAGATGCTAGTTGTTGTGGCCCTTTCATGGGAAAGAAGATTTTTCTCCTCCTCCTCCTCCTCCTCCTCCTCCTCCTCCTCCTCAAATCCTCTATCCTCCATTCTCCTCCTCCTCCTCCTCCAATACTCTTTCCTCCTCCTCCTCCTCCAATACTCTGTCCTCCTCCTCCTCCTCCAATACTCTGTCCTCCTCCTCAGCCTCCCTCAGCCGCTGACGGGATTCACGCAGGGGCGAATGCTTCGGGCTCACAATTTTTTATACGTTGTTTGCGCTGCCCTTACTCTGATTTTGTCTAGAGCCGTCAAGGTTGATATCTAGACGCTCATGAAGACCTGTTCCATGGATTTTGACATTGACAACCTGTTGCGCTCGTTGCTGACGAATGCATCTATTCATGCCTTGGTTTTACTTTAGTTTGCTGTTTGTTATTGTAAAAGATTAATACAACCGATCTTGACCCGAGGGCTACATGATACTGAACTTTTTCCCGTTGCTCTCGATGATGTCGCGCGGTTGTCCATAGAAGAGGTTTATGTACAGCTTTGATTGGTTCCCCTGCTCATTGTACATGGGTCGACCGCCGGCATCTTGCAGGTCGAACCATCCACTGATCTCATCCCCCGCCGAGACCGATCGAACGATCGCCTGACCGCAGAAGACAAAGGGAGAGTTGCTCGAGGTCAGACGGATAGAAACGATCAACGTCACTGCTTGCCCGTCCAGGCTCGTGCTGACCATATCGCATCCAGCGAGGGGAATGTCTGTACTCTCGCCATCCCGCGACGATCTAGGGCGGTAGGCTGACTTTATGCTCACTATCTGATGCCATTGAACGCTGTTGGAGTCGTTGGGGATGTCGACCAGGTGGGTCTGAGGTTTCAGCGCCTGATTCCGACTGATCGGCGACATGGCTCCGTTTTGTAGGCCAGCATCCATCGAGTTGGGGGAGTTTGAGTGAGGAGGAGAAGGGATCATGTCGCCTGGGACGTGTCCGGCGTCCTCCTCCCCCTGGATTGTCAGGATACTCGCGGAAATCTTGGAGTGTCCTCTACCTGCCAGGAGAGCAAGTCAGCCGTGCAACTCAAGTCAAGGCCAGGAGAGCACCTGCCAACAAGTTTCGAGCCTCGAAGAGCTCGACCAGGATCTTCCAGTCAGGGGTGGGAGAAGGAGCGTGCTGCCCTTCATTGTTGTGCTCCAGGTTGAGCTTATTGGAGCTGCGATGGGAGGGAGAGGTGAGGGGCAGAATTGCTAGCGGCTTGTAACGGGAGATGGTCAGCTCGGAGATGAAAGCGTCGAGAGACTCTGGCGGCACCGCAGACTTGGTGTTGGCCAGCTTATGATGTTGATCATCGTGGCAAGACGTCGGATCCTCCTGCCTCTTCTGAAACCCCTCTGGCAGGGCCTTCTCCTGCTCCTTCTCTGGTATTCTCTCCCGCGCCAAACAAACGCAGATAGTTCGTGACGATTCACCTGGAGTCAGCATCAGCTGCCCCTTCTCTCCTCTACTGCACAGACCTCGTCGGAACCCCAAGTTCACAGTCGTCTGGCTCAATCCCGTCACCTTGGCACTAACCAACTGCAAGGGCAGCCCCATAATGCTCTGCCCATCCACCATCACGAGGACATCTCCAGGCTGTATTGCCCTGCATCTATCTGCTGGTCCTGCAAGCAAGTCACGAGAAAGGAGCGCGCTATCACAAGCCCAAGGCAGCAGTGATGCAAATCCTTCGAAGATCATCGGAGAATTCTATCGACATCATGGAGAACATGCACAAAAATACAAACAGACACACATCACAGCTCGAGCACGAGCTCATCTCTTCATGAGGGGCTTCCATCGCAAGTTACTGTCACTTACCTCCAGGCTTGAGGGATTTGACTCGCATGCTACCATTTTCATCGATATGAAAGTTTATCCCAACTCCGCACGGCCCACCGCTGTGGACATCCTTGTGCCTGGGGTCGCACATGCATTGTTCTTCTGCGCATGAAAGCTCGTTCCCCATCTCCGCTCGCTCTGACGGCTAGCTCATCCTCCGTGTGGGGTGCATAAGAGATGGACTCCGGCGCTTGGAGGGCCTGGGGTAAACGAGGGACCCACCCCACAGAAGACGATACTTTCTCCTAGGAGAATGGTTTGATCATGGGGGTGTTTGGAAGGCTCTCAGTGACTGGAAGGGTGTCTCGTACTGATTTTTAACTTAACTTTGAGTAAAAGGAAGGGTGTATTGTGCTCCACTAGGGGGAAAGATGGGGTGGGTGGTACCACACAGTATCACTCTGGGAACAACCTGACCGGCAGCCATCGGAGGTTTCCGAAGCCCCGACACTCGTTACCGCCGCCTGCATGCCCGGCCGTGGAAGGAGTAGGGGGAGGGTGGGGTGGGGGTCCTGACCGGCAGTCCCGTAGTAACATATAAAAAGTTGCTTCCGCATTGGCTGGAACCCCCGGGGGGGCCAGGAGAAAGGGGGTGGGTAGATCATTGAGCGCCGCTGATTTGTAGGCGTAGGGTCCCTACCGGTACCCTTGAGATGGCTCGGCCTCCACTATCGGACCCCTTGTTCACCCACCGTCAGTGGGGCCGGCGACTACCCCACCCCTACCTGGTTGCCCTTGAGGGCGCTGCCTGCTCACTGCGAGTTAACCGTTGACCCCTCCCTGTTACTACCGAATCGGATGAGTAAAATTATGTACCACTGTACCGAATCGGAGCGGTGTCGGGCTCGCCTCGTTACTACTAAGTGAAATTAAGTTAAAGCCGGGCGGGGCACCATCGTGAAATGGCAACGGAAACGCGGAGGACAGCGCATCTTCATGGCGTCATGGCAGATGATGAAGAAGAAGCGATGGATGCTTGAAAGGAGGGAGAAGAGCCTCTGACACACGAGAGGAGCAGGACCTGCAGGCAGCTCGGACGGTCCTCTAGGTCAGGGGGAGGCTAAAAGTTGTTCAAGCTGCAGCCGGCAGGGAGCAGGAAAGGGGGAGTGGGGGAGCAAGGATGGAAAGAGCTGACGTGAGTCAGTCAGAGCGACCTGGAACAAGAGGGAAGGGCGGGAAGGAAAAGCCCTCGGGCACAGAGCCAAGGCCGAACAGGCTCTCTAAGAAGAAGAATACGATAGGAATTGCACAAGTAGATGAAGAAGCGAAAAGTGCGGCAGGCAGAGAGCGGGGACTGAGGTGGAGGCCTCTGCTGGTGGGGGGGGACAACCTCTACAGGTTGGATGAGAGCTGCGTGGGGCGAACGTGGGAGCACGATCAGATCATCGTTGCTGAGGTGACCAAGTTGCTGTGGCTGAGTCTGGAGCCCGTTCAGAAGGAGCTTGACACCAGCTACATCCTGAAGCACGAGTTCCAGCAGCTGGGACAATGCCTGGTGGCCGTGGTGAAGAACGTGCCGCTGGAGGAAGCGCAGAGGGAGGTGGACCAGCACTTCAAGGAGGTGATTCCCAGCTTCCTCCTCGTGTCGCAGAAGATGGACTTCCTTATGTTCACGGAGGCACTTTCCAACTTGGCGAGCCGTTATGTCCCCGATGAAGTAGCGGAGGGACAGGCTATGTGGATCGCTAAGGTTGGGAGAGGAGGCACCGAAGGGCTGCTGACGCCTTCCTTGCAGGTGGGCAACCGGATCATGAGGAAGGAGGAGAAGGAGGAGGAGGAGGAGGAGGAGGAGCGCGTCAACGTCTTTGATCTCATGCGGACATGGACGAGCAAGCACAGGTCAAGCAAGCAGGTTGACTACGGGGCCTCAATCGACATCTGCAAGATGTTCGACGAGGCCGCTGAGCTTGCCCACCATGTCGGAAGGTACTCGCTGAAGGCGTTCTCGGAAATTGAGGCCGACCCTCAGTTCTTGAGGTACCAGGACGACTGCATGTTTGGGGAGGAGCCCGGGTACTTCACGAGGTTCGACAGGGAGCATGATGACGAGTGGAGGTCGACGACTCTCGCGCGGTGGAAGCCTGGAGTTTGCATCGTGGAGGAAGAAGACGGCTCGCTCTCCGTGAAGCCCAGGAAAGGGAGGAAGAGAGTAGGACCCAACGGAGAGTTGCTTGATGACAGTGATGAGTCTGAGAGAGGGGAGGAGGAGGCGAAGATGCTCATGCTGAAGAGGTCAAAGTCGTTTCGTCGTCGACCTCTGATCAAGATGCCCTCCATTCGGCCCACCACAGCCTACTGGGTCTGCCACTTCACCCGAAAGGTGTTCCAAAAGAATCAGTTCTACTCTGCCTGCTCCCCCGGCTCCCCGGCCCGCAGTGAAAGGAACAGCTCCTCCTCCAGCTCTCTAGGAAGGAGGCGGAGCAGCAGGAAGGAGTCGGTGGTTTCGAGGGACTCCTCCTCTCACTTCCTCTACTTGGACGGCAAGGACAGCCTCGAAGTCGACAAGTTCAGCGCTGCTCTCTCCCGCTCCAGCTCGCACAACCGCGGGCATCGAGGGTCAGTATCGTCCTCGGGCCCGGATCGGGAGCAGGAGGAGGAGATTGTGTCGGCGTCAGCACAAGAGGAGCTGCTGCAAGACTACGAGGAGGCGTACAAGCAGGACCTGCACAACCTGTTCTCTCCTACTTCCATCGATCAACCGAAGCCTGAGGCCGATGCCGGGGAGGCAGAGGAAAGTGCGATGAAGCAGGAGACGCCGGAGGAGGAGATGAGGAAGGAAAAGATGCCGGAGGAAGAGACGAGGAGAGCCAGGAAGGGTAGTGCGCCTCTTGTACGCGAGTTGCTTCGCCCGACTCGGGTGATGTTTGACACGTCGCAGCGCGAGAGCGCACGAGGATGCAGAGTTACGTGGCGAGTTGCCGGCACAAGAGGGGAGCAGAGGAGAGACCCGCTGCGACCGAGAACCAGAAGCGTCGTGATGGCAAGAAGCATGAGCAAGAAGGAAGGAGAGTCCGTTGACGACCTCATCACCCTGTACGCTCAGCTCAAGAAGGATGAAGAAGCCCGTCAGCGTCGAGGCCTCGTGGCGTCTGGTACATGTAAAACTTCCGAGGATGGAGGGAGCATGTAGTGTATGTACAGTAGCGAGAGTTCAGAGCTCAACTCTGACCTTCCTCGCATCGGAAAGCTTCTTCCTCCTCTCCTCCTCTGCTCTTGATACCCCAGCAGATGCCTCCTGCCAACTCGCTCTAAGATCCTCATCCCTCAGCTGAGGATCGCGGTGGACGTGGAGCAGAGCCAGCCGCTTCCTGACCTCCCTGCACAACCTGCGGACCCCTCAGCTCCGCCCGGTCCCTCCCCGCCTCCTGACCTGCACCGCACAGACGAGCCTTCGATCGACCTCATCGTTCTCCTCCACTCCACCCAGCCGGGCATGGAGGAGTTGTAGATCCACTCGCGCATCCCCTCTCGCATCTCCTCACTCTGATCAACCTGCGCTCTTGTCACGGGGAGGGAAGAGGCGGCAGGCGGCAGACCTCGAGGATCGCGTCTGCGAGCTCCTGCGCTGAGGAGAAGTCTTGCACGAAGATGGAGCTGTTGGGAGGCGCAAACTGGCGAACGTGCGAGCCGGCGGAGACGACAGGGATGGAGCCCTGGGAGAGAGATGAGAGGAAGAGAAGAGAGGATGGCAAACTGACGGCTCGGAGACAATCAAAGAGCTTTTCTGTGACGTAGTCTTGGTCGAGGCTGTTTTCAAAGGCAAGGCAAAAGCTGGGAGGAAGAACAAAGTACGAGATGGCGGGAGAAAGAGAGCAAGTCGAGGTCAAGGGAATGAGGATGGAGAGATAAAGAGAGGAAGAACCAGATAGGATGAGAAAGAATTCAAGCCAGTCAAGGCAGGAAGAGAAAGGGACTAGTCAGAGTTGGAAAGGCAGGTGAAGTATGGGGAGGATGGGAGGAAGAAGGAGGAGGAGGACAAAGAGGAAGGAGGAGGTGGAGGAAGAGGAGGAGGAGAGGGCTGCGTGGAGAAGCAAAAAGTCGAGATGACGTACCGTGAGTTGCTACTCACATGCCGCTTGTCCCTGTAATGATCCTTCGGCCACTCAGCGTTGTTGGCGCACTGGCCATATGACCGCAGCTCAATGAGGCCCGAGAGCTCCTCCACGAGCCTCCTCCTCTGCTCCCTCCGATCCCCGGCGTCGCTTCGGTTGCCGCAGCGGAGGACGACGGCAGACATCAGGACGGGGCGGAGGAGGAGGGGAGGAGATCGCCTGGCGTCAGCCAGCAGGCTCTCCACATCGTCGAGGTAGCCGTAGGAGACGTGAGGGACGGCAGGGTCAAGGCCTCCGGCCCTCCTGTAGTCGATGAACAAGTCGTACTTGCCCGCTGCCCTCCGGGGGAACTTGGAAAGAGCCTCGCGGAACACAACAGCGTTCAGGGGCCCCGCGCCCTCCTCCTCGGACCCTGCTGCCTCCCCCTTCCGGCGTCCCTGCCCCCCCTCCTGCCCCCCCCTCCTCTCAATCCTCCTCCCCCCGACATCCTTGCGGTAGACCTCAGCGTCCCCCAGGTAGACCACAACGTGCGCGTCGCTGGTCGCCCGGGGAGCCAGGAAGACGCACGGGACATCGCACGCCTGCGGGCCGAGCACGGAGAGATGAGGATGATACATCTCGACGTCATCGGCAAACCCCACCCTCACCACCTCCGACAGGTTCGCTGCCCGAGCAGCCGCCCTGCTCCTTACATGCGCAACCCAGTCCTCCCTCGCTCTTCTTCCCTCGCGCAGGAGAGCCTCCTCTGCTGATCGCTGAGTTCGCTCTCCTCCTCCGGGGAAGAGGTTCTCCCAGAACTTGGGAGGATGGGCCCTGCCCCTGCCCCTCCGCGCCTCTCTGGCGGAATGAAGCCATGGAGCACAATCTTTCACCTCCCGCGGGTTCCCGAGAGACGAGGAGCAAGCGATTCTCCCCTCCACGTCAGATCGCAGAGTGCCAGGGGGACAGAAGAACTCATCAGCCTCGAGAGGAGCAGCAGGAGCAGAAGGCGAGGTCGTGGCGTTGAGCGAGGACTCACGCTCGGAGGCTGAGAGAGCAAGCATGGCCTGCAGCAGGTCCTGATCTTGAAACAGGAGGGGCCTCCCGCCCTCGAGGAGGATCGACAGGGCCCAGGGCTCGCAGAACCTTCCCTTGTGAAACTTGCGGTCGTCATGCAGGTGAACCTTCATCGACCTCGACAGCTGGTCCACTGACAGGGCGGTCGCGATGTCCTCGAGGTGTACCGACCTCGCCATCTCCTCCTCCCCACCCTCCTCCAGCAGCTTCTTGTTCATCCCAACGATCCTCCTCGCCAGCGGCAGCGTCAGTGCATAGGTTGGCCCGGACGCGTATGCCGGGTAGACATCCGCCGCATGCTGCCTCTTGCTTACCGCCCACTTGCCGTTGCGATGCACCTTAGCTCCTCTCACGATCCATCCTGCGTAGACTCTTGACCGGGGCGGGTACATGGACGCGACGGCCTGCAGGTGGAGGAGGAGCGAGTTGGCCCGGATGAAGACGTCGTCGTCCGTCTTGACGATCCATGGGACCGACACATTGAGGGAGAAGAAGCTCAGCATGGCGAGGGTCTGCAGGGGGAGCGACGAGTAGCTCTCCTGGCATGGGACGAGCACGATGTCCCGATGCTCCTCCATCTCTCGCAGTAGCCTCTTCCTCCTCTTCTCCTTCGATGGGGTGGCGATGAAGAACCGGGCGACCATCGCTCCCCTCGTCACCCCCTCCAGTTGGAACCAAGATTGGCGGATAGCCTCCCTCCTCCTTCTGTGGGAGCTCTTGCTAAGGATCCCTATCCCCACCTGAGCTCGTTGAGCTCCTCCGCCCTTCTCATGCTCGTCGCTGCTTCCTGCACAACCCACCTGGCCATGCACAGACAGAGCGGCAAAGAGGAGCCCGAGGAAGAGCAGGCGAGCCATGCGCAGCGATGCTCCTTCACCTCTCCCCACAGCTTTCCTCCTCTACTGCTCCCTCTCTCGAGTCATGGCAGGCAGGGTCAGGCAGGTTGTGAGGAGCGAGGCGAGCAGGGCAGCCATGCAAGGAAAGGGGATGTACAGAGGTATTTTTTTTCTAATGAAAACTTTTGCCGGGAGCTAGGGGGACCGAGGGAGGACGATGGGGAGGAGACGGGAGAAGGGAGGAGGAGACGAGCAAGGGAGGAGATGAAGACAACCATGTCTGCGATCGCAAGCATGCCTCATAGAACGGACGTGAATGGCTGCAGAGGAGTGGACGGAGAGGACAAGGGAGCGAGGGGCTAGTGACGACCTCGTGGGAGAGATGCCTCGGAGGTTTTCATGCAGGTCGAGGACGAGGAAGGGAGGCTGGAGGAAGTGCATTCTACGTTTATCTGTGCTTCATTTTTAATCTTAACATCCTTGGATCTCATCTCCTCTGGCTCGATTCGAATGTTCCCTACCCCTCCTCCCCCTCCAACAGCCGAACATTAACATCGCTGCCTTCCTCCAAGTCCCCCTCCCCCTTCCTTCCCCCTTCCCACCCCAGTTTTCCTTTCCTCCTCCTTTCTACTTCCTACAGCCCCCAACCCTCCCCCCCCGGCAGCTTCAAACTCCATCCTAGACGTCTTGAACCTGGAAGAAGAGAGCGGTGAACCTGCAGCTTGTCATTCACCAGGCGAGCGCGAGCGCGAGCACTGACCAGATGCCGAGGTTGAACATGGTGGTGACGATAGCATCCCCTACGAAGAATGCAGGAAGGGCGACGTTGGCCATGAGCACATTGGCGAGCATGAAGCCCAGACCGCCGCCCAGCATGCACAGCACAACAGTCTGCAGCGAGTCAGTATGCGTCGTTGTGGGCGGATTGAGGCAGCCACCTTGCCAAGAGCTCCATAATTCGCCGGCCTCATCTCACCAGGGTTGCCCGCGTCGTCCCTGCGGATCTGCGTGGGGGTCAACAGGCAAGACGGCATTGGGGCAACGCGAGGTTTCACCTCAGGGGTTCCACGGTTGTACAAGAATCCCATGCCCTGACGGACAGTCAGATCGCCTGCTCGTCCTCAGGGTTCCAATCGCCTCCTCACTCACCGAAAGGAATCCAAAGCCCATGGTGGTAGAAGCAAGCTGAGGAGCGGCGATGCCTGGCAGAGCATTAGACGCTGTCAGCGCTGGCAGAGGAGAGGTCACCGGCAAGGATGAAGACACCCATGAGGGCAGACACTTGGATGGCATACTTCTTCTCTGGCATTTTCACCAAGTTCTTCAACCAAGAGACTTTGGTCCACCAGGGCTCCTTCTTCACAATGAGTTTGGCCTCGAAGGGCGAGTCCTTGACTTTGCTCTTCAAGGCTCCACTCATGCGCGCCTTGAGGCGATCATCGAAGATGGCTTCCTTCATCATCTCAAGCTTGATAAGGTACTTGTCGTTGCCTTCGTTCTCAGCACAGAGCTCTTTGTAAGCAGCCTCGACCTCCTCATAAGGGGCGTCTTCAGTTACACCGAACACACGATAAGGGTTCTCATTCCCCCAAGGCTTCTTCTGTGCCTGATCGTCTTTCTTGCCCTTTCCAAAAGGGAATGAAATCATCTGTACCTTGGTCACGGACGCTCTGCTACCAGGTCACTCCCACAAAATCCTAGGCAAATCCGTCCAACCTGAGGGGGCGAGCAGAGCAGGTTGAAGGGAGAGCCCTTGACTGGAGTCCACCTACGCATCGGAGTCACGAAAAGGTGACTACGCGATAGAAACATGAATGCGAGAAGACAACAAATTGAAACGCGACCATGTTGCAAGGAACTGAAGCTTCTGCTCATATAATGGAGGCCGAGGTACTTACAGGGCGCGGAGGGTTGCAGCGCAGGGGCGAACGCAGCTGAGACCGCCAAGGCGGAAGCGAAGATGATGGAGCGCATGACTGGCGGTGGGAGGGGACAGGAGTGTACAAGCTCAGAGGAGACGAGGCGAGATGACGAGCAGGGACGGGAAGCTGTCCTAGCGGAACGAAGGAGGATGGATAGGAAGACTCTCTTTTTCAACCAGGGGTACTCAGGCTTCAATGGAATGAAGTGATTGAAATATGTATGGGCAGTTTTCAAATTTAGCCATACATTTATTGTATGTTTCTGAACAATCTTCAACCAAGAACCACATTCAAAAATTTCAGTAACTTGTACTATGTGCTGAAAACGTGGGTGGCCGTACGATCCTCCCTGGTGGGTCATCACCCCTACCCCCCAAGTCAATATTCTCTGTTTCAACTGGAGCCATCACGGGTTGTCGCAAATTTGTACGCTGGCAACGAGTGGGTAGGGGTGGTTTCACATGCGTCTGATGGAGCTATGGAGCACCCGTCGCTCAGCGCCAGTCCGGTAGCCACCGCCGGGCGGGCCCCGGGCAAGGTTTCCCTGAGGTGAGCCTGCCAGCGATTGCGCAGCATGGGGGTGTGCCGTCGCAATGGTGGGGAGGGGGGACGAGGAGCGACCGAGGAAGTGACTTGATCTCCTTGCTCCCCTACTGCCTATCTCTTGAGAGTGCATCTCGAGCAGAGCTCATCTGCCTACACTGCTACAGGGCCATGCTGCCCAAGTTCCTGAGTTCTAAGGGGCTGAGAAGGGGGGCTGCAATTTTGCAGCCTTACAAGGAGTACTTGAACATTTTCTCCTTCATCAGCTGCCTGCAGGCGACCCTGCTTCTGAGTGAATATGTTTATGCCGAACATGTTGGGAGCGTCCTGTTGAAGGCGCATTCCTTCCATGTTGCCATCGAATTCATCGAAGGAGCATCAAGGATATTGTCATCCTTCTATCAGCGGAAGCCGGCAGACACGGTCTTCACGTACGGGTATGGCCGATTCCCGATCCTCCTGGAATATTGCTGTGCTACCGTGATCGTCATGCTGTGCTCAACCCTTGCGATCGACGCGTTGGTGCGGTTGAAATATACGACACCTGCACGAGACAACGCCCCTTGTGATTTCGAACAGAATCACCTTCACACCACTGATCTTACTGTGCCGTCCTGCCTGTTTGCCACTTTCTTCCTTGCTATCGTCACTATGGCACACAGGGCAAAACAGTTTTCAAACCGTTACAACTATGTGTATCAAACCAACACGGACACTGGTTCCAAGTCGCTGCTCGCAGTGTTGGGAAGGAGGCGCTTGATCTTGAACTTTCTCACATCCTTGATGATTGTTGCTTCATCGTTCATGCTGAGATGGACCAAGCTGAATGCTGTGGACTCGATTGCTGGATTTTTCCTAATCCTCATGGTCATCCCAGCATTGCATCAGATTGTCACCCGCACTTGTCCCATCTTGCTTCAAAAAGCCCCAGCTGGACCGAGAGCAGCCTTCGACAAGGCCACGAGGGAGATAGCTACGTTCGAAGAAGTCGTCGAGTGCTCTAGCGAGCATTTCTGGGTGCAATCGCCCGGAGTCAGTGTGGGGACTGTCGCTGTCCGACTTCGCAGTCAGGTCGACACACAAGAAATCTTGAACCGGATTCGCAACCGATTTGCAGGGGCCGTGACAGAACTTACTGTGCAGATTGAGACGGCAGACTCGTTCGGCTCAGCCCCGCGAGTTTACACAAACAGGCCTTACGATGATACCAATCTGACAGCAAGAATTTAGGTGGACTATTTTAAAAAACAATACGATTTCAATATGTTTGTAGCTGATACGTTCGGTTCCCTTTCATCAAGAGAACCATGTTCAGGTTCAATGTCTCAATGATTTCATCTGCTCTCCTTATTCCTATCTCTAGAGCTATCTTTCGCAATTCTTCAACAGTGAACAAAGTTTTACAGTCTCGCTCAGCTGTTCTGTGAATAGCTTTCAACATCTTCTGGACCTCCTTGTTCCTGCCCATCCCGCTGGTCCTGCCGAAATCTATTTTTCCAAGATCATCTGTCAATGTATCCATCTATTTGAAGAAATGTGTTAGAGCTTCTTGAAAGCCAGGTGGTATTACTCACCAAACTTTCTCTCAATAAATTTACAACATCCATAGCGTGTTCCGCTGAAACCGTTTCTTGCAATTCAAGTTTAGCTCGTGCTTCAGCTAATCTGATCAGAGCTTCCAACTGTCTCGTCGTTATAGGCGTACTGTCCATTTGATTTTTTCTCTTGCGAAGTTCCAAGTAAAACGATTGAATGACAGACTTTGCACCTTCACTTAACCTTGGTCTGCAGTATTTTCTTGCATAGGCTATATATTTTCGAAAAATCACTGGTGGCAATGGATCCCAAACCTCACCCGGTTGAATTTGTAAACGCTGTGACAAAGATGGGGACACTTGCGAGCTGCTACTTTCCAAACCATACTTTCTTGGGTTGTTTGAGTTTTCAGTCTTTGGGCCCCGATGCATTGCCATGACATGTTCGGAGAGCATTTGATCTCTTTCCATATCAGGATTGTCCAACAAGATAAATATCACATCAAATCTTGACATGATTGCCCTACTCATTTTCAGGTTTTCGCAAACCGTTTTCGCCCGATTGTAATGTCCCCCGATTGGATTGGCAGCTGCAATAACCGCAGATCTTGCAGACAAGCTACAAACAATACCCGCTTTAGCCACAGATATACTCTGTTGCTCCATTGCTTCAAGGAGAGCTTGTTGTTCTCCTCCCATCTTGTCGAATTCATCGATACAACAAACACCTTGATCCCCTAGTACCAGAGCACCAGCCTCCAGCGAAAAGTCTCCTGATCCAGAGTCCTTGCCCACTGTCACCGTAAGTCCGGCCGTTGATGTTGTGTTGCCACATACATAAACACCTCGAGGAGCTAGCACTGAAACAGCCTGCAGCATTTGACTTTTACCAAGGCCTGGTTCACCAACTATCAGAATGTGAGGGTCGCCGCGAACCGCCAATTTGTTCTTTTCTTCGCCGTTTTTCTGGCATCCACCAAACAAAGCAAGCGCTAGGGCCATCTTCACAACCTCATGCCCATAGATACTTGGGCAAATCGAGTTCACTATCAACTTAAATGTATCCGAGTCGTTGGCGATTTCCTTCACTGCCTTCAAGTCTTTTGAAGTGAACACGAGTGTGTCACTCTGTAATCAACAATTAGAAGATATCAAACTACACAAATTTTGTGAAACCTTATCTCCTGAGGCCTTCTTAGAATTTGAAATCGAGTTTGCCTCAATATACAAAAGGAAGAGGCATTTGTTCTTTCCCCGGTGCCCTCCATCGCCATCCGTACTAACAACCTTGACGATTCCAGATATTGCTATTTCATCGCCAGGGATACATTTGTCAACCAAATCATCTGTAAGCTCACACTCTATTGTTCTTGGCATCCTGCCGTCCTCCCTGCTCTCATCTGTAACGATTTCTTGAAGTCTCACCTTTTGCCAGTCTGTAGTGATGGCAGAGTTTCGATCTGGGATCATCGACTTGTTCTTGCAGACGAAACAAGAACCCGGGCAGTCAAACTTCCCATCGCTCATTGCAACACTTTTTTCTCCTCCACATTTTGCACAAAGAAAATTCATCGACAGCAATATCGGCTTGATGGTGCTGACACGGATAACTGTTCCGCGCACGCAGACAAATTTTCCGATGCAGTTGGACTTGAGAAACTTCATCGGTGTGACTGGTTCGTAGTTTACGAATCGGACTGCGATTTTTCTCGATGGAGCAGGGTACAGATCTTGACTGTCCTCGACTCCTCGTTCACTTACAAAGAGTGCTTCAAACACTGCCAGTCCCAGCGCGGCAATCGCTTCTTGCGGCCGTTCATTAATGGCCCAAGACAAACCTTCGACAGGGCATTGGAGCAGCTCGTTATATTCAAATGAAACCGAGGTCAGGTTGTCGGGATCAATCTACATGTATCCGTCAAAAGATCGGAACATGTGCCGAACCAGCAAAGATCTTGTGCACCTGCTTTAAGATTCTTCTTCCAGGGCCGCGGAACCATCTAGACAGACCTTGTATAATCGGAACTAGGTGATGGTCCTGCGCAGATGATTAAAAGCTGAGCTTCCATGCATCTGAGTCAAACCCTGGAGTAGCTCTCTTGCGGAAGATACAAATCCCATCCTCGGGGCGCTGTCATGCTCTGGATGAAATAATACAGTTATCTTCAGAGACAGCAACTCGAACGACCAAACAGAAAGATCTATATTGTGCTTTGAGCTACATCTACGAATGTACTGAAGTTTCAATGGTTGGTACGATAACCAAGCAACATCATCAGATTTGCTGCACAGAAGAAAGAACGCAGTGTTGAATCTTTCTCGTGAGGTTGATATCCATATGCAGACACTTCACTGTCATTGAAATTCTTTCCTTTTTCAACCTAGGTATCCCTTCCCTCGACCTCACTCCCTCCCTCCCTCCATTTCCCAGTCTGGGGCTCCCTCCATTCCGCACAAGCCATTTGGCGGGAAATAGCCTGGTTTGTGGCCTGCCAGGCTCGAAGCCTTGAAGCCGGCCCGGCGGGCTTCGGAAACTTGAAACCTGGCCTGATGGCATAGACGGCGGCCGGGAGCCCGGCGACCCGAGAGTCCGAGTCCGAGCCGCCGCCGCTGGCCCGGCGACGCCGGGACGCGCGCCGCGCTCAGCTGCCAACGGGACTCATGATCATGCATAGGCTATCCGGGCCGAGGCGGATCCGATCAGTGCCAGTGATCGGATCATACTATGATCGGATAGCGGTGCCGGCGGGGCGTCCGACTCACAGTCAGTCGCCGAGTCACTGTCCGACGGTACCGTACAGTCAGTGTGACGCGGCCGCACAGCGGCTGAGTCGGTCACTAGTACCACTGAGCCTCGGAGCCCCGCTCCGGCTGAGTACGGTAGTGCCTAACAAAGTAAGAGTGTCGGAAATAGTCTCAGTCCTTGATTAAAAATTTAATGAAAATACAAGAAAGACGAATGAATGAATAAACATATGTACATCTCTAATTATCCTGTGGCTTCACCAATCCAATCCATTTCACCAATTGTGACATTCCAGTCAAACAGTTCTCACGCTGCACAAACCCGTGGGATTGAAGCTTCCGTGCCGATGGCCGCAAGTCAGGGTCTCGTTCCATGCACTTGTCAACAAAATCGACAAGCTTGGAGTTCTCGGAGATCCTTGCAATCTTTTCTGCGGGAGTAGGTCCCGATATAACGAGGTCCAGAAGATCCCAGAACTGCAGATCTTTGCTCTTGCGCAAAATCGCACCATTGTCTTCTACTTCGATGGTGTACGGATAATGCGACATCGCACACTCTGCGATCACAAGACCAACACTCCAAATGTCAGATTCCATTGAGTAGGATTCACCCGTCATCCGCTCTGGAGACATGTAGGTCACAGTCCCAACCCATTCAGACAAGGAACTTGTGTTCTCGACAGTTGCACTGACGCCAAGGTCTCCAAGCTTGACGCAACCATCGCGTGACAAAAGCACGTTACCTGGCTTGATATCACGATGAATGACTCTTAATTCATCATGCAGGTAGCCAATCGCTTGCAACATGCACTTGCCGACGTGGGCCAAGGCCAACTCAGGGATCCTCCTTCCATTCGCCGCCTTGAGCAAGTCCAACAGGGAGCCAGCATCCATGTACTCCATGAGCAGGTGAAAACAATTATCAACGTAACGAACTGCATGGCACTTCACGATCATCGGGTGCGCGATTCGATAGTTGACTTTGGCCTCGTGAGCAATCAATTTCATGCGATCCTCACCGCAATCAGTTGGAATTTCCTTCAAAGCAAGCACAGATCCTTTGCTTTGCAATTTGTTCACACATTTCCATACTTCTCCGCCACATCCACGACCAATTGGTTGAACCTTTACAATATCATCAAAGTTCGCGTTGTTATCAAACCTTCGGTTCCAGTCTGTTGCATTGTGGGAGATGATCGAATGCGAAAATGCAGACCCATGCAAGTTCTGATTATCACGTAACCTCATCTTTTGATCAAAATTGCGAAGCTCCAAGACATCACATGAGTCATGCATCCCAGTTGAAGCCTCGGAAAGCGCATCGTCGTCGAATTTAGGTGCATTCTTGGCAGATCCTGACGGCGAAGAGTACTGCAAACCGTTCCCGTCGACAACAATGTCATCGTCCTCATACCGATGCCTAAAAGCCCTGTAAAAATGTGTAAGAGATCTATGTATTGCAAACATGCAACAGAATCACCTTTTCCTCTGTCCAGAACAGATGTCGTTGAGATCCAGTTTGACGGGGTTGGGCTTTCTTGCGCACGTGATCCAGCGAAATCCAAAAAACTCACGCGACACCATTTCTTCAAACATGATGTTGCTGGTTTAATACGCAAGGATTTCTTGCCTGGATGCACCCAAAAGACCCGTGCTTCACGTGCTTAAACAGGTAGGAACGCAAACTGCAAACTGAGGAGGCCTTGCTGTAACGCTGAATACGGCACTGACCAGGGAGAGAACAACAAGGCAAGACTAAAAGGTCGGATTCGAGAGCGTCGATACTTCAGGGACAGGCTGCTGGTCCCCTTTCCCCTCTTTCCAGGTTCCTCTGCTGCGCACGCTTGCTTGTGTCGTTCCCTGCTTCCGTGCAAATCTTGCCTCAACCTGGGACACCTCAGTCGACGACAGCTTCAGTACGGCTACGATTCAACGAAGATCTTTTGAAATAGCCCACCTAATACCCATCAATATACCATCCTGAGACTGAAACATTATAGTAATATATTACTCAATATAATGATGTCATTTTGTATATTCTAAATTTTGTACCTCAACCTGGACTCTCGCTCTCTGCAGGAAATCCCTGCGGAATTTTGGTGGTCATGCTCTCGTCCGGCGTCGACGACGTTAACTAAAGTAAGCTATACGACTGTCTATTAAGACCTGCAGTCCCGAAATGTTCTGGATAGTCGACCATTTGTACCAGAAATAGTCGATAATTTGCTAAGTTACCTGATTATTTGCGTATTTGAGGTTAACTACACAGCTCAGTGTGGTCTGATCGTTTCGTTTGTCAGGCTGTCTTAAAAACTTTGTAGAGTGTAACGTTGTTTTAAAAGATCCTTTCGCTATACAAGTGTTTTCCGTCCATCTGGCAGTCTTCCCGAAACGCTGTGGTTTCTACTCTTGCTTTACAACACATTTGACTAAAAGGTGTAACGCCCCGTCCCCCGTGCCGTACCCACCCATGGAGAGCCCCTTCAATCACCCGAGACATGAATTGCCTCATCGCGGACCCTGTATGTCCAACCATCATACGAATAGATTGGATCTCGATATAATAAATATCTCCTCTTGGCACAAGGCCATTTGCTACCGCTCACCAGTTCAACATTCCACCGGTGCAAGGCAGGATGAACTTCCTTCATGTACCCTGGTGAGAAAATTCCTTTGATCTGGTACAAATGTCACCACCCCTACCTTATATTGGAGGACCCCACCCTCCCCGAAAAGTTTCCAAATTGTCAACATTAATACCCCCCTCCCCCCACCTTCAAATCACTAATCTACCCACCCACATATAAGAGTCTCAATCACAGTACCGGGGATATCCTCCCACTATACCGCTTCACAGCACCCCGTACCCGTCTACACTACTGTGTCTATTCCTCCTAAACACTGGGGTGGTCACCAACGTACGTTGATATCCTTCCACCGGTCCCTTTCGGGTTGTTTGATCTCGATTCCCGGGGAACCAGCTGCTGGGGTGGTGAACTCACCAGTACCCCATGGTTTCATACTTTGTCTGCTGTGAATATGGTGGGTGGGTCAAAAAGATTTGATAACTTCGAGCACCTGAGGGTCCCCTGTACCCCACCCCATTTTGCCGTTCGGTACAAATCTTGGTAGAATATTGGTAACCTGTCGGTCGGTACAAATTATGGTTCAATCACTACCCCGCCCCCCCCTCCACCCCCTTTCAAGTCACCCCCATCCTACCACCCCTCATGAAGTGGGTGAAAGTTGCATCGACCATGGGTAGTCCCATGGTGACCTCAGTTGTCAACCCCCACCCCCATGGTGCCTGTGCGAAGAACGATCATTACAACCCTATAGGGTCTACCTCACCAAAATCATACTTGAATCATTATGCTGATATCATCAAGGTAGATTTCTCATCGCTGAGGAGTGCCTTGTGACTACACCCCTTGACTTGGACCCTAGAGTGATAGAATCTTCTCTCGTCACCAGCATGGAAGTGAACAGAACGGAAAGTGGTCGGTGCGGAACGGTTACAAAACAGTTACCGTTATCTGGCATCGGATCATGAAAGGGTGGGCCGGGGCCCGGTCGTCGGCCGCCCGGCAACAATCCGGCCCAGTCCTGTAACCGGCCGTAACGATCTTTGTGCCAGAATTAGAGACCGCGGCGATGGCGGGAATGGAGGGGGGGGAAGGGTGCGTCTTCCGCTATGAAGGGCACGAAGACGACCAGCCTCTGTTATGGCGAGATCCTCTCAATGATCTCGTCGGTGCTCTCAACGAGGTGAGTCACGGGCCTCCTCTTTACTTGCTGCACTCTGACGCCACGATGCGTCGTGACTTCGCGCGACGAGTGCGTTGCGCCCCTGAAGTTCTCGCAGTTGATGGTCAAGAGGAAGAAGAAACTCGGCCCGGTGCTGAGCCAGGTGATACTTGGATGCCTGGGATGTCTCCTCGGACGGAAATCATTGAGCGACAGGCTGCCAACATGGAGGACATCCCCCTGGACGACGAAGAGGATTACCGGCCGAGATCTGTGCGCTCGCGCCGCCCGCGCTCAACGGGTCTGGAATTGAAGACTTGTGTGCTATGCTCATGAGTCTGATGACTTGGCAAAACAGGAAGAGACCGGCCGTCCTCAATCGGAGTGAGATCCATCACCCCCGAGGGCCGCGCCTCCAGGGGATCGACAAGCCCGAGACGGGTTTCATCTCGCACGAAGCTGGGTGAGCGTCTGCCGTCAGGGCCTCGTCCTCCTGATTCATCTCGTCTGTCCCCAGGTGCGGGTGGGCCCTCCTATCAAGACCGGCCCAGGAGCGACAGGCCGTACCTTGCTGGATCCAATGCGCTGGGAGGGTCTCGACCAGGTTTGAAGGTTCTGGAGCGTTCCTCTGCAGCTGAGCTGCTTGCTGCAAGTAGATGATGATGATGACATCGAAGACTGGGAAGACATCGACTCTGACGATGAAGAGACCCCCATGGTACGCCAGTTCTGACGGCGAGGATCAGGATGACCTCGGGTTGAGCAGGACGAGGAATGGGAGGCTCCTCCTGCTCTTGGCGAGGATGGCGATGAGTATGCCCCCCAGGAGCCACAAGGAGCCATTCTTCGCTCACAGGTGTGGAGGCATGGAGTGCACCTGTTGGATATTGACATCTCTACAGCCGAAAGAAGACGCTAAGATGGCAAGGAGGGAGCAAAGGAAAAAACTAAAGCAGGAACTGATAGAAAAAGAGAAAGAGCTTCAAGAAGTTCGATCTAGGATCTCTGCTGACGAGGTTTTGCTGCGCCTGAGGAAGCAGCAGAGCAGCGAGCTTGGCTCCTCCATGTCGGAATGCCATGAAGGAGAAGAGCAAGCAAACACCTGGATCAAAGCACTCGAGGAAGTGTTTCACAAAAGAACAGCAAAGGTGAACAATCTCCTCGATGATATCGTGCCCTCACTCTCTGTCTGTCTTATAGCTGCAAGAGCATGATGGAAAGATTTCCCTTACGAAAAATCACATTGAACAGTGCGAGCACATGCTCTCAGACCTTGACCTGGAGAGACGCGCTGCCGTCTCAAAGTACATCTCGGATGAGCAGACTTTCAGCAATACGGTCAAGGTGGAAAACAAAACGAGCGATATCTGGCGAGCTCTTGAGGAAGAGATTCGTACTTCACACAAGAAGGTCCTTCCAAACTGTATCCTCGTGTTTTTTCGTGACTCGCTTCTTCCCCGCCCAGTCGGAGGAATCTGTAAGCAAGCGACAGCGAGAGCATCTGAGGCTTAGCAAACACTTGCAAGATCTCGTTGTTGGTGAGGTAGAAGTTACAAAACGTGTGTCCACCATGGAGAAGGTCGCTTCATGATTTCAACCGATGGTTCTCGTGAGACACAATATTGCAGACTTTGAAAGAAGTGCAAGACGAGGGGAAGGATCTCAATAAGTACTGGAAGCGCATCTCCATCGATCAAGAGATGCTTGTGGGAGGGGCGGTAGCCCAGGTGGATGCAGAAGAAAGGGCGAGAAGGTCTGGAGGATGGTGGTATGGAGGAATAAGGATGTGACTATTTCTGCCAGTCATCTTGTGGGTCATGGGGAGAGAATCCGATCAAAGCTCGAGATTGCCAACGGCAACCTGAACGCGCAGAAATCGGTCATTGAAGATCAGAACAACATGGACGAGGTGTGGGCGAGGACGAGGGTGAAGAGCGAAGGGGGTTGTGAACCTAGTGGCTGTTACAGGAGCTCAAGGAGAAGACAGACGAGGTTGAGTCGAAGATCCGGACGATACAGATCGAGATCGACGAGCTGGAGGAGGCAAAGGCTTCGCTTGAGCGGCAACGCGACGAAGTGCATCAAGTCTGTCAAGACAAGGTCTTCCCCCTTGCCCCCCGTGTTCCCTTTCTTCTTCAATCATTTCCGGGGCTGTCCATGCGATTTTCTACCGGTGAAACTTGTCGCAGGTTGACAATCTGAACTCCAGCCTGAGAGCCATCGAGACATCAGCAAATGCTGTGGCGACCGAGCAGGTTCGCGAGAGGAGGAGTCAAAGGACGCTTGCACGGGAAGTGCTGATCCCGCCGTAGGTCATCGCTCAGAGAACTCTGGCGAGCAGCGAGGAAGCTCTTGAGACGTTGGAGGAGAGCGAAGCGCGAGCTCGCCTCGAGGAGGACATTGAAGCCCTCAGACAATCACTGCACTCCATCGAGTCTAGGTAAGCTCATCACATGCAACTGCTCAATCCCCACACCTCTCAAACCTTCTCCCGCTGTACTCACCTCCTCCTCATTTTCACTTGTTCTCTCAGGCTGCACGAGGTGCAAAAAGAACGAGCAGCAGTGAGAGACACACGAGGGAAGACTCAGCGGGAAGCGATGAACGAAGCTGCTCGTCTCAACTCCAAGGTCTCCTCTGCTGCCGCCTTGCGCCAATGCCCCATTTGACGATGGCCATGCTCTTTGTGTGCTCCTGCAGGTCAAGGAGATCGATGAGAAGGTTGAGGTCCTCCTAGCTAAGAGGGTGAAGCTCGAAGGCGAACAGAGACAGTTGGACGGGCAGCGGGTGGTCGTCCATGCACGTGTGAAGCAGGTGCCCACCAGCTGGAATGAGAGCGATGCTGATGTGTCTGGCTGCAGTCGAAGAAGTCTGTCACCCCCCTCGAGCAAGAGCGCAAACTTTATGAGGCCGAGCTGGAGTGGGTGAGGGAGTTCGAGGAGCACTCCTTCATGCGCCTACAGGTGAGGCAGCGAGTCGGCGATCCCGCTGATGATGACTTGGCTGCCGTGTAGGAGAAGCACGAGGAGAAGCTCCAGCTGGAGGAAGAGCTGGCGGAGCTGAAGAAGAAAGGGTCGCAGCAGCTCAACGAGCAGAGCGAGGATGAGAGCATCGTGCAGGATGGGCTGAAGGCTGTCATCGAGCTCAAGGACAAGGTCTTGCTAACTCTCTCAGCGTCTCCCCAGCTGACTCCTATGCATGACAGATCGTCCTCCATAAGCAGCACGTGGAGAAGAAGCTCAGGGATGTGCAAGAGAAGCTGGCGAGCAGTGAAGCCGAGGTTGCGAGCCTAGCTGCCACCATGCAGGCGCTGGACGGCAAGATCTTGGAAGCAGACGACGCGGCATCAGAGTTTGAGGAGAAGTCTGTCACTCTCAAGGCTGACTGGGAGGTTCGAAGGACTGGCTCCTTTTAATCGAACTGATGAGATGGCGCAGACAAAAGATCTTGACTGGAGGAGCAGACGCAAAGAGTGCCAGGCTAAGTTGAAGAAGGAGGAGAGAGCTCTTTCTGCTCTCATGGAAAGCCGCCAAGTCCTCCAGGAAGAGCTCGATGAAGTGATCCAGCAGCTCTCCGACCAGGTCCCCAACAGCCTCGTGCTCTACTTGTCTCCCTCGTGATATCAGTCGCAGAGGCACGCCGCCAGCAACGCCCGGGAGCAACAGGGAGTCCTGAGAGCAGAGAAGTCAGAGTTTGACAAGCTGATCGCTGGCATGGAGGTGAACTCACTGACTCTAGCACTCTTGCCCTCTCCTCTCGCTCCCTTCACTTTTCTTGTCTTGCTTCCTCGCCGACCTGCCTGCAAACCACGAGCTTGGCATTTTTTCCTCTATCGTGAACATTCGGGTGACATAAAGTTGTCTCTACAGGCTTCCATCAACAAGAACTGCGACAGGGAGGACGTTCTTGTCCGGCAGATCAAGGCTCTCCGCAAGTCCATCGTCCAGTCGCGCGTCGGCAACAGGTGCTGTCACCATGCTCCTCTGCTTCGTTGAGCCATGTTTGCACAGATATCGAGAGAAGATTGGGGAGACTCGGCACTGATCTCGAACGCGCGCCACATCAAATCAAGCACAGCAAGAGAGATAGTGATGGATGGATGGATGGATGGATGGATGGATGGATAGGAGTGAGATGCCTGACGTTGCTGATGTTCTATGTTTCATTTTTGTCAAGGCGCATGTATGAAGTCATGTCACCAAGTCTTTATCTCAAACGAGCCTAAACCCTACATCTGCACTAGCAACAGGTTGCCATTGATCTGCAGCCTCGCCGGCTCGTCTTTGGCCTCCAACTGAGGCTTCCTGGAATGGATCATCCCTCTGGTCTGGCTCAGCTGCACCCGCAGATATCGCAATGGGGGTATGAACGTCTTGTCCAAGTGCAGGCAGCCCGGCAGGACCCCGATGACACCCTGCCGCTCGATCCTCGCGATCATCCTGGACATGCGCTGGTCCACCTCCTCCAGCAGCTCCTGGTGCAGGAGAGCTTTGCTCGTCAGGAGGAGGATCTCGAACTCGATCTTGGAGTAATCGACCTCAGCGGGCTCGGGGCTGCCCGTTCCCTTGCACGCGAGCATCGTCTTGATCAGGCACTCCAGGAAGCTTCGGCTGTCCCTTATCTTCCTCGCCACCAGACTTTCAATCAGCTTCTTGACGAGCAGGCAGGAAACCCTCGGCCCATCCTTGAGCCTCGTCTGCTCTGAGAAATCCAAGCGCGCCCTGCGCATCGGGAGCTCGTCGTCCGAGCCCTCGTCCGCGGCGACCTCTTGGTAGGTGTCTTCTCGGTAGGGATGGTACCGGTACTTCCGTATCGAGCATGTGTGGCTAAACTGAACCTCCTTGCCGTCAAGCTTCCTCTTCCGTCCTGGTGAAGCTGCTGAGACTGCCTTGTGGTTGTCAATCATCCCTGGACTCTCACTGCATCTGAGAGCGATCGTGTCGTGTGCAAGGAAAGAATGGTTCCAGATCTTAGAAGCACACATGTTCACTGCTTTATCGACTCGTGAGGAAAAGAGAGACGCACGCAAGAGAGAGGATGTTCGATATCGAGAGGAACCTGATCTGTGAACGAAGGAGAGAAATTAAATGGAGAGACAGGAAGGATGAACAAAGAGTGAGAAAACGCGGGAAGAGAGGGATATATATCAACACAAGATTGCTAGGTTTATGTACAGGCAGGAGGGATGGACTAGTCGAGGTCTGACCGGTGCTGATTCCAGGTCAGGAAGGGGTGGGGGGAGAGGAGGGGGTGCTGCATGAAGAAGTTTGATGACTCAACACGAAAGACATAGGTATAGGCAGAAGGGGGAGCGGGGAGGGAAGGGAGGGGGTGGGGTGGGGGTGGGGTAGGCGGATGTGAGGATGGAAGGAGATAGGAGCAGGAGTAGGCGGAAGAGATGAGAAAAACTCAGGGGGGTAAAGTAGTGGTAGGGGTAGTAAAGGAGGGGGTTATGATTGTATGATTTTATGGGAGTATAAGGGGTAGGGGATTTAAGACTGAAGAAGGAATAGCAGGGGGTGGGGTGACTCCTTTCTGTGTGATTTCTGGTAGGCAACAGCACCCTGTCACGTTTCAGCTGAAGATCCGAGGAGGGTGGGGTACTTACAATAGGTTTAGAGGGGTCCGTCAAGATTTGTGAGGGTGGGGTGGACTTGGGGGTCGAAAAGTAATAGATTTTTTACGTGGGAGACTGGGAACATAACCGGTTGAATCTAGGGGTAGGGGTGAAAATACGAGGGGTAATGCTCTTTTATGAGGGGTAGGGGGTATATGCTGGATGTGATTGTGTCAGGGTAGGTACCATGATCAGGGGTACTTCGACACTCGGGCCGCTCTTTTACTGTATATTTGCTGGGTGGTGAACAAGTGTACGCAAGTAAATCAATGTGACTAAGTTGAAGGAGGGGTCATGAGCGAAAAATTGGGGTACGTGGTGTTAAAAGGGTTAAGAATGAGGGTGGGGTGGTGGCTACGGTTGATGGAGTGTTTGATATTATTGCAACGTTCCAGCGGCTGACCGCAAGAGAGCCTACGGGACCACCCACCCTCCACTTTCACCGGATGACCGTGGTATACCAAGGGGTGGTCAGACACCGGGAAGGCAAATTGAACGGAGGAACTTCCGAAGTCAAGGCAGCGTAACGCGAGCGAGTCGATTCTCGTCAGCCGCTCTCAAGTCAGCCGACGGCCTCCCACTTGACTCTGACCTTAGTAACAGATAAGCCTCTTGACTCGGTGATGCCGGGCACGTTCGGAGTGCCGCTCAGCGGCTGACTCAGTGAATTCTTTGACTCAAACGTTTAGCGGGCCCGGTTGAGTAAAGGCCGTAGTGTTCGTAGTGTTTCCTCTTTACTCAAAGTGAAGTTAAAATCAGTACGAGGACAATCAGGAGAGTCGAGGAGTGTTTAGTATGACTCAGTGATCCGATCCGATCCGACCGGGCCGCGGCCCGCCGCCACTGGCCCGGGTGTGCAGCTGGCAGCGCGGCGTCCGATCACGGATCGGGCGTCCGACCGGGGGCAGATAGTGCGGCTGGCGATGATGCCAGACAAAGGCTCCGTGAACTTGCCAGTTGCCAAGTTGTTTGGCAGGCCGCGGCTCGCCGCCACCGTGCCCCCCGCCGGGCGCCGGGCCGGGCTCAGCGGCCAGCCTCAGTGAGTACTAGTCACGGTCACCGGGCCGGGTGCCCGGCCCGGCCGGCGAAGGCAAAACTTTCTAGAAGATCAGAAGATCAAAAGTTCCAAATGAACCTCAAAAGTTCAGAGAACAGGATGACTCATCCAGGAGGACACCGGTTCATCGGTTAACCCCTACCCTCTTACACGAGTCACTCTGGTGCATGACCCCCATCAGATTGAAATGGATTGACTTGGTGCTCTAAGATAAGAGATTTCTCTCTGATAAAAGATTAAAATCGCACCTAGATAGTTCCCTACTCATTCTGCAGGCTGTTATTATGTACCCCTACCCCTCAATTTGGTTCAGCTCGCTACACAACCCCTATTTTCAGTACCCCACCTCCTTGAAATCCTTGTACACACAAAAGCAGCCTCATCATCCTTTCCCCGTTCCCTTCGATCCTTGCCCTCCTGTATCTCCCCTTCCTCTCTCCCTCCTCTACCTGCTTCTCCTCCTGCCTGTCTCCGTCCTCGTCCTCCCTCCTCCCTCCTCCCGATCCCAAGATCATCCACAGCTTCCTCCTCCTCCCTGGTGTCCCGATCCACCGCCGCTTGCTCCCCTTTCTCTCCTCACCTCGCAAGATCTGGTGAAGTTACCTCCTGCGGGCGACAGAGAGGCGTTTCAATCCTGAACAATGCTTCGTCGTGGGCACCGAGGAGAAGTTGACATGGAGGGCGGGGCCGCGAAGCCATTCCACGATGACGAGGGGGGTGGCCTTGACATGAACGCGCCGACAAGTTTTGGAATGCCGAGCATGTCCAGTGGAATTCAGGTTGCACTGATGAACATTCTCATTCTCATCTCTTCCTCCCCTCCCCTTCTGCACCTTCGCATTTCAACCAGTGCGAGCCTTACTTGCCCTCACACTTTCTCCTGCATCCCTTGCCGCTGACTTCAACTCTCTTCAGTCTCTCAACGAACCTGACCCAGCCACGTTCGAGTCGCTCAAGCAGGTCATCTTGGTCGCAGGGGCGGCTGGCTCCTTGCTCGTGCTCTTCATCGCAGGGTTCACCATATCCTTCGTCTTCCTCGTGTGCATGGCATCCTTGTGGTACGCAGCCGACATGACAAGGCAAGGCCTGCTCGCGTACTGCAAGACGCTTGCTGACTCTTCTCTCCTGTAGTTGGATCCTCTCCTCCCCGTCAGGCACGCGGGACATGAAGGTCGTGGCAGACGCCATTCGGGAGGGAGCAGAAGGTTTTCTATCCACTCAGTACGGGACCGTAGGTAGGTGGTCGCTGGTGGTTGCAGGAGCTCTTTTCTTCATCTACCTCATCCGGCCTGTCGGGGAGGGCGCGCACGTCAGCAGCTTCAGCCTTGCGCTGCTCACCGTCCTCGGGTTCCTCCTTGGGGCTGCCTGCTCGGGCCTTGCTGGGTGGGTCGGGGTCTGGATCTCGGTTCGGTGCAACCTGCGGGTGGCAGGAGCGGCGGCGAACAACCAGGCGGGGCTCGCGCTGAAGCTTGCCTTCTGCGGAGGAGCCGTCTCTTCCATCATCTCTGCCGCCATGTGCATCCTTGGGATCTCGCTGCTCTACTCTCTCCTGTACGCGAGCTTCGTGCTGGGTGGAGGTATGAAGGTTCACGTAATCCCCCTCCTGCTCGTCGGGTACGGCTTCGGCGCCTCCTTCGTCGCGCTGTTCATGCAGCTGGGGGGAGGCATCTACACGAAGGCTGCGGATGTAGGGGCCGATATGTGCGGCAAGGTGAGTGTGAGGGGAGACAAGGTGGCAGGCAGGAGGGGGGAGAAGGGAGGAGGGAAGAGAAAGATCATTCAAGGAGGAAAGAGCAATGAAGAAGACAAGGGTCAGGGGAAGGATGAGGCAGAGGGAGCAGGGAGCAGGGAGAATGGCAAGATGTTGACCATCGTTCCTCCTGTAGATCGAGAGCAATATTCCCGAGGACGATCATCGGAACCCTGCAGTCATCGCGGACCTCGTGGGCGACAACGTGGGCGACTGCGCGGGGAGCATGGCGGACGTGTTCGAGTCCATCGCAGCAGAGATCATAGGGACCATGATTCATGCGGGAGTGATCATGAAGCATGTCGGAGCTGCTGATATGGAGGTAAGGACCCTCCTCCTCCTCCTCCTCCCCCCCCCTCCCCCCTCCACCCCCCACGCTCTTCTCCTCCTCCTCCTCCTCATCCTCATCCTCTCCCTCTCTCCCTGGCCCCTCCTCCTCACCGTGTCTCTCTCCCTCTCTCCCTCTCTCCTCCTCCTCCATCAGCTGCTGTGCCATGTCGACTTTCTCCCCTGCTCCACCTGCCTGTTCCTCTCCTCTTCTGCTCTTCGACCCGCTATCATTCTGTCATCGTGGCCCTCCCTGCCAGCCACCTCCAGCATGTCTGAGTACTGACGAGGAGGGCAGGGCTACATGTTCTTCCCCTTGGTCGTGCATGCCTTTGACCTGATCGTCTCCACCATCGGCATTGTCATTGTCAGGACAGCAGAGGAGAGAGAATGTCAACAACTTTTCGCTGCTGCGCCTTCCCCTCACGCTATCTCAGGTGACCAGCCGCTACAAGTCATGCGACGAGCATACGTCGTGAGTGCAGGTACACGCGCGAGCTGTTGAGAGGAGGGAAGGAAGGAAGCGTCATGGGGAGGTGGAGGGATGCAGAGAGCAGGAGGGAGGAGCAGGAGGCGTTCTAAGCTGGACATGGCAGCGCTTGCCCTCGGCAGCTATTTCTTCATCACCTGGAGCATGTTGTCGACAAGTGCAGCCCCCTGGGCATGGTGGAAGGTAAAACCAGGAGGCGGACGGGAAAGGGGAGAGGGAAGGGGAGGGGTTGGGGCTCAGTGGCAAAGGAAAGGACTGTAAAGACACGGACGCAGACATGACAAAGGGGGGAGGGAGGCAGGCAGGGTGACTGTTCCTTCAGTTCTTTCTTTGTGGTCTGCTGGGGATTTTCTCAGCCTACGCGCTTATCTTTATCACCCAATACTACACGGACTATGAAAACCCTCCCGTGAAGGGCATCGCCAGGGCGAGCACGACGGGACATGGTGAGTCCTCCACCACCCTCGACCCGTCCTCCCTCCTCTTGCCCTCCGATGCCTGTCCCATCTCATGTCCAGCGCTCCTGCTCTTCCTCCGCTTCCTATCCTTTCCAGTCAAGTCCAATTCATTCTCATTTGCGCTCCTCTTTTCTTGTTAGTCCTGCCTTTCTCCTCCTCCTCTCTTACAGTTCTCCTCCGTATCTCCGTCTCTCCTCCTTCTCACCCGCTCCTTCCTGTCTCCAGGCACCAACATCATCGCCGGTCTTGCGGTCGGCTACGAGAGCACAGCAGGACCAGCCGTCGTCATCGCCCTCACCCTCCTCCTCTCCTTCCACCTCGGCGAGTCCTCGGGCCTCGGCTCCGGCTCCGGTCTCTTCGGCACCGCAGCCGCGACCATGGGCATGCTCGGCACTGCCGTCTTCATCCTTGCCATGAACAACTTTGGGCCCATCGCCGACAATGCGGGAGGAATCGTCGAGATGTCCGAGCAGCCTGAGAACGTCAGGATGGTGACTGACAAGCTTGACGCGGTGCCGTCCTGACCTCTCCCTCCGTCCATACTTCCCTCCCTCCCTCCCTCCCTCCCTCCCTCCCTCCCTCCCTCCCTCCCTCCCTCCCTCTTCCTTTCTCTCGCTTACTTGCTCCTGGTCGTGATGTTGTTCCTTACAGGTCGGCAATGTCACTAAAGCTGCCACTAAAGGGTATGCAGTGGGAGGTTCAGCCCTTGCAACTTTCATCCTCTTCCGCGCGTACCTGGATGAGGTCTCCTCCTCCTCCTCCTCCTCCTCCTCCTCCTCCTCCTCCTCCTCCTCCTCCTTACTTTCTCCCGAAGGTGTCTGAATTTTCGGGTCACGACTTCGAAGTTGTCAACATTGCCAAGGTCAGACTTGTCGTCCCTCTCGCTGCTCACAGCGCGACAGGTGGAGGTTCTCGTCGGGGGCCTGCTGGGCATCGCCATGATCTTCCTGTTTGTTGGCTGGGCCATCGACGCCGTCGGCAAGACTGCGCAGGAAGTTGTGAGGGAGGTCAGGAGGCAGTTCGAGATCTACCCAGGTGACTCCACCTTCCCCCTCCTCTCTCCTCCTCTGTCCACCTCGCTCCTCCTCCTTCCTTTCCTCTGTCCTTCTCTCTCCTCTCTTGTCAACAACCAGTCTCCTACTACCTCTTCCGCCTTTGATCTCGTCTTCCTCTCCCTCCTTCCCTCTCTTCCTCCCTCTCACATCATCACATCGCCCTGTCTTCCCCTTCATCGCTCCCCTCTCCTCCTCTCCTCTCTCCTCCTCTCACTCCCGCGCAGGCATCCTCGAGGGTTCGCAGAAACCCGAGTACAACACCTGCGTCGCCATTGTCACCCGGGCAGCGCTCAAGGAGATGACGAGACCAGCCCTGCTTGCGCTGGGAACTCCCGTGTTCATCGGCTTCCTGTTCAAGTTCATCGGCTCCTACCGGTACCCTCCTCTTGCCTCCTAGATCAAACTGATCCTCTCCTCTTCCTTCCTCTCCCTCCCTCCCTCCCCTCCCTTCTCTCTCCTCTTCCTCCTCTCCCTCTGTTTCCTCCGCTCTTCTTCCATCTTGGCCGACTCATCACGTAAGAGGAGAGCCCAATCTCGCGCCTGAAGTTCTCGCCTGCTTCATGATGTTCGGGTCTCTTACTGGCCTCCTCGTCGCCGTCCTCCTCGACAACGCGGTCTAGTCACGTGACAGCGTTTCTCCTTCCTCACCTTCTCTTCCTTGTCGCAGGGAGGAGCATGGGACAATGCTAAGAAGTACATCGAGACTGGCATGCACGGAGGAAAGGGAAGCGACGCACACAAGGCGGCTGTCACGGTGATGCTTGTCACATGCTCCTCCTTACCTTCTCTCTCCTTTCCTTCCCTTCCCCCTTGTCCTTCCTCTTCCCCTCCCTTCGTCCTCATCCTTCACCTCTTTCCTTTACTCCGTCCTCTTCTATCTCCTCTTCGTCCTCTTCATCGTCCAGCCTCCTGCCACCCTTCGCTAACCGGCACCTGCTCCAGGGAGACACTGTTGGTGATCCATGTAAGGACACAGCTGGGCCAGCCTTGCACGTAATCATCACCACCATGTCCACCACCATCATCGTCTTGGGTCCTCTCTTCCTGGATCGTGCTTCTGCCTTGCGCCATTAAACTAGTTTTCTTCTTCCCTCCCCCCCCCCTCCTCCTCCCCCCTCCTCCCCCCCCCACTCCTCCTTCCCCTTCCCCCTTCTCGTTTCCCTTCCCCCTTCTCGTTTTCCCTTCCCCCTCCCCTTCTCCTTCTCGACATCTCCCCCTCCTCCTTCCGCGCCAATTTTTCCTGTTGCTCAAGAACACGAGGTTTGGGACGCGGTTGCAAGGCAGCTATCATTCATTGCTTCCTTCTACTGGTACATCTCTGCCGCCTCCCACCATAACACAGTCACATGTATCTCACACCACCTGATTGAACTGCGTCCCAAGCATAACCTGCACATCATTAATACCCTTCTCCTGCTGTCTCCTCTCGTTTCGTCTCATCCCCTCCTTTTCTCTCCTCTCCTTCTCTCTCTCCCTCTATCTGTCTATCTCTCTCCCTCTCTCTGTCTGCCCCTCCCCACATCTCCAACCCGCTCTTCCTCTCTCCTCCTCCTCCTCCCCCCCTCCCCCCGCTCCTCCTCCTCCTTGTTCGCCTTCAGGCTGCTCTCACCGAGTCGGTGGGGTCAGCCTTGCTGTGGCTCATCTGCCATGCGTTCGATCTCCGGCTCCCGAAGACGTTGAAGGGAGCTGCCAGCACGAATACGTCAGGTCAACATGAAGACTCCGTCCTCTCACCTCCTAGGCCGATGTCGAGCTTTGTCAGCTGAGCCAGCTGCAGGCCGAGCTCAGAGGTCGCACAAGGAGCAAGAAGTGCTAAGGAGAGACTCAGGCGAGCCTCATCACCTGGGTGGTCTTCTGATCCACATGACAGGCATAGCTGGTCTGCAGTTTCATCCTTCAGCTTCATCCTTGAGGAGCAATCAGAAGCACCTGCGCCAGGCTCTCTCGCTGTTGAGTCTTGTCTTCTGGCAGAAACTTGCTCCACATCTGCCGTCAAAGCGTCAAAACTGACCTGGCAGTCAGTGCGATGGTTCAAAGCTTGTGGAGTCGATGCGGCAGCAATCGTCGCCAACCGCCCTCCCCTTCTCACTCCTTCTCCTTCCCTTCCTCTCTCTATAACACTGTTGCAGCACATACCCATCATCACCACGTTCTTCCCTCTCCATCCTCTTGTTCCCACATACCCATCATCACCACGTTCTTCCCTCTCCATCCTCTTGTTCCCCTCTCCTCTCCTCTCCTCTCCTCTCCTCCCTCCCTATCCTCTCCTCTCTCAGTCTTCCTCTCCTCATTGCCGCTCCTTCCTCGCGCCACCCGGCGCACAGCCCGTTGCCACCCCTTGCCGCCGCCCCATTTATCACACCTAGCTTGTCGTCTGGGTGCTGTCGTACAGCTTTAATAATGGCGGCTCAGTTGCCTGAGTAAACTGGGCAGTCCGGGCCCTCCCGAGTCCGGCGGGCCCACCGGGAAACGGAAGTGACTCCCGGACTAGAACCCGGTCGCCGGCCCTGACGCCAGAAATATCCGAAGATTTGAGCTTGCGGCGATGGCGGCCGCCGATCACAGGGAGGGGTCGGAGTGAAGGGTAGGGGTCCGAATGGTATGTGAGTTATTTTGATGGGGTCATAGTCGGAATAAGGGGTGCTGTCGGGAGATTGCATGAGTCAGGGGCATATGTATGGATATAGGGCAGATGGAGATAGAGAGAAATTTATAGAGTCGGAGAGCTATGGATGCAGGGGGAGACAACTCGCTTTGATGCTGGTAGGGAGATGCCATAGAGGGGAACATAGGGGGTGGAGGTCAATTGAGGGGTGGAGTTGAGATCATCAGGGTGGGTGGTTGAAGGGGGAAGGGGTCGCGATCCATTGGAGGATTCAGCAGGTGACTGGAATAAGGGTGAGATGGGGGTGGGGTAGTAAAATGGACGGGTGATTAAACGGGAGATACCATGAAGGGATTGGGGGGGTGGTGCGACTGGAAGGATATGAAGGGAGGGAGGGAGGGGTGTAAGAAAAGTTTTATCGGTCTAGTTTGTAGGGGTGGAGTTCCAAGTAGTCGAATCAGGGGTAGGGGGTAGTGTGTGTAGACCAGCAGATATACGGGATGTCAAGTGACCAGCGGTACTCCCGTATCTAGAGATCAATGGGGGTGGTTCAGGTCCTGTAGGGGTGGTCATGAGGAAAGCAGTCGCTTTAGAACAAGGGTAGTCGAGATAAGACCCTCCGGAGTACCCCAGTTTTTACGCAATAAGATGCAGAGGGTGGGTAGAGTTTTTTTTGACAAGGGGTGGCAGATGAGTTAAAAGCTCACGGATGACTGGTGGGGTCTGTCTACCCACCCCTACCATCCAAATCGTTTTCAGGACTTAATCAGAGTGACTTTTTGTGTGGAGGGTACGGGTGATGGTGACGCTAGAGGGGTGGGGTGGATGGAGTATCATTACCCTCCGGCACAGAACAGCAGCGGGATGGGAACAAGGGTGGGTGGAGTGGTCCGTTCCGAGAACCAATCAGAGTTATATATGAATAGTACTTGACCCCTTAATACGCAATATATGGTGTTAAAACAAGGTTAAATTGCCTTACCGAGATATGTAATAGCAAATTATTGATCAATTAGATCATATATGGGCTGTATAAAATTGGGAATATCGGTTAAAAAAAAAAAACCTTGTGGCTTGCAGGTAGGACATCCAATGGCGCGATTTGGAACAGAACATGAGCGAAGAAAAGGGAGGGGGGAAGGGGGGGGAGGCGCGGATGGGAAGAAGCTTCAACCTCCCAGGATCTGCAGGACAAGAGAGAGGAGGAGAAATGATGGTGCGAGTCAGAGAGATGAAGGCAGCAGGGCGGAGGGGTCGGATGGGCACAGGACAGTTGCTGTTGTAAAGATCCATCCAAGTGCATTGGATATGGTCGGGGCGCGGCATGGAAGCGCGGCGATGGGGATGGATGGTTACATGACATCATGATAGAAGCATTCCTGTACAAGAGAGATCCTCGGGCAGACGATGGCGTGTAGACAAACGCAGGACGTATGAAGATAGCAGTTGGTTCCATGTGCTAATCCCGAGGTTGTGCAACAAAAGTCACACCCGATTTCGCGCATGAGATCAGCAGAAGTAGAACGATAGATAGACAAGACATTCCAGCCTTTTACCTTTGGTGTGCGTGTGAGAATAGAGTAGGTTATGCTCGGAGTTAGATTTCCTCTGCGAGCATCATAGTCACAAAAAGTCAACATGATGGAAGGATGGCCTACCTCTGTCTTGAGAAGTTGATCGTTTCTCTCAGATTGCTCCCAAAATATTTTCGCTCCTGATCCGACCTCAAGGCATCAGAAGCTTTCCATCACTCATCGTTTTGAAGTCCAAACACAGTTTTCGGTCTGCTGAAAAGCAGACTTTTTTCAGCAAAAGATGCGTCGGAGCTCGTGAGTGCTGACACTGTCTTAGACAAGTTCCTCTTTCTCATCGTGACTTTTCAGTCTGACTCCGGTCACCACGGCAAGGAAATCGTCGATCCAAATCGGCCAGGTGAGGAAGTTGTCGCGGGTGAGTCAGGCTGACCCTGATATCAGCTATGTGGAAGCAAGAAGTACAAAGTTACGAAGAAGCTCGGTATGCTTATCTCGCACTGCATCGAGAGGCTGAGACATGGTCGTCAGGCTCGGGGTCCTTCGGCGAGATTTACTTGGGGCTGCATGTTACAACCGCGGAGGAGGTTTGCTGATGGGCGTGATGGAGATTAGTGGAAATGATGTATACCTTGACAGGCAGCGATCAAATTGGAAGGAATTCGAACAGAGCATCAGCAGCTCTTGTATGAGGCGAAGGTGTCGATAAAATTCCCTCGAGCTCTTCCCGAGTGATGGCATGTTCGAACAGGTGATAAGATACCTTCGAGGTGGGGTGGGGATTCCGGAGCTGCTGTGGTGCGGGACAGAAGCAGATTTTAACGTGATGATCATCGAGCTGCTGGGGCCATCACTGGAGGATCTTGTAAGTGTCTTTGCGTCACAACGATATTTTTCTTTCTGGATCCTGAAGCTGCTTGATCAGTTCAACTACTGTCACAGGAAGTTCTCTTTGAAGACCGTCTTGATGATTGGCGAGCAAGTAGACATGCGGCTCGTCTTTCGGTCCTGTCTGAGGTTGTGTTTCAGATGCTATCGAGATTGGAGTACATTCATAGCAAAGGCTTCATTCACAGGTCCCCACTTGTCCGCCAAGACACTCTTGGTTCATTGATATTTGGGTGTAGAGATGTGAAGCCGGACAATTTTCTAATGGGGGCAAACCAGAAATCTCACCAGGCAAGACCATTTTCCTTACACGTCTCTGTTTGACATTGATTCAGGTTTACATCATCGACTTTGGGCTCAGCAAGCGATTCATAGATCCCCGAACCAGCATGGTGAAGCGAGCGAGTGAAGAAATGAGCTTTTAACCATGGACGTCAGCATATACCCTACAGAAACGGGAAAAGCCTGACGGGGACTGCAAGATACGCAAGCATTAATACGCATCTAGGAATCGAGCAGGTGATTCTGCGAGATACGCGAACGGGGGAGGGAGGGAGGGAGGGAGGGAGGGAGGGAGGGAGGGAGGGGAGGGGATGTGAAGCAAGATGAAGTAAAACTGATGCGAGAGAACGATTTTAGGGAAGGAGGGACGACTTGGAGGGCCTTGCATACGTTCTTCTTTACTTCCTGAGAGGCCAGTTGCCATGGCAAGGGATGCAGGTGATGGTAAGGAAATGAGCAGCCTGGGAAACTGAAATGCTTTGCGGTGATCAGGCATTCAATCAAAAAGACAAGTATCACAAGGTTGACTGATTTTGGATCAGATTGGAAAGTGCTGATGATTTACTTTGGCAGATCTGTGTAAAGAAGCAGAACATCTCTGTGCGGGAGCTTTGCAAAGGAGTGCCGGAGGGTAAGACGACTCCTTGCCGTCTTGCTGTTACTGAGGGTCTCCGCCATGGCAGAGATTGGAACCTTCCTGTGTTACTGCAGAAACCTCAAGTTCGACGAGTCGCCCAACTATAGCTACTGCAGAAAGGTTTTGCTCTTGGTTTGCTCTTGGCCCCAACTCAAGTCCTTGCTTCAGTTACTGCGAGCTGTGTTCGAGAAGAACGAGTTCACTCTGGATTACATCTATGATTGGACTAAGAAGCAGTCAGGATCCACAAATCCACTTCCTAAGAATCAAGAAGCCCTCCCGGAGGTAAAGTCATCCGATCCCATTCTCCTGCCCTTGTCGTGCGATATCCCCCCCTAGCTCATCCTCTTCCTCAGCTCATCCTCTCCTCTTCCTCAGCGAATCCTCCTTCTACAACTACTGCAAAAGCTCCTGCTGACCGTTTTTTTTTCAGGATAGTTCGCGTCAACCACAGCCATCGGGTGGAGACAAGACAGAGGGGGAGAAGCGCGAGAAGCTGGAGAAGTGAGTCGAGCTGCTAGAACTGCCATCCTGCTCTCAACCTCCTCCCCTGAACTCTCTCCTTCCCGTTACCCCTTACCCTCCTAATTGCAGAGACGTCAAAGAGCCCCCTCGTGCTCCTCGACAAGACGTGGAGCCCCCTCTAGTGAAGGACATGAAGGACGTCAAAGTCATGAGCAAGAAGCTGCCTACCACTCCACTGCCCTCTCAGCTATCCTCTAAGGTCAAACTGTCTCCTCCACCATACTGTGTCGTGGGGCTGATTGGACGCTTGCAGGTGGACAAGGATGGGCAATGTCAGCAACAATAGGGGGTAGGCAAGGCAGCATCGCAGCTTGAGTCACTGTGCCAGTTTCTGGGTCAGGTCGGATATTGACAGATAGATTGGTCCGGATGTAAGGATAGAAGAGAAAGCAGGAGGAAGAGAGGGAGAGGGAAAGGAGATTCTAGGCTGGTCAAGGAGGGAGACACATGAGGGTTTGCCCTCTTGTCTGTAGAATTTCCAGATGTTGTATGATGAACGAGATACTTTGACAAGTCAATTGTGATCGTCGTTTTCCTTCCCTTCGCTTCCTCCTCCAGCTCTGCCCCACACCAGCAAAGCGCGTCCTCAATACCCCGTAGGTCCTGGAGAGCGGAATAATATTCACCTCCTTGCACGTTAACAGCACCCTCCCTTTCGTTGCCCGTCTCCCCCTGATCCCTACGGCATCATCAGCTCACGCACAGCACACAAAGGAAGTGCAGGAGGACTTGGGGACTCACTTGGTTGGGGGATGTGACGCCAACACGGATGCCAAAGGACTCGTTGGTGACGTCAAAAACTCCTTCCTGGATCTTCGCGTAGATTTGCTTGGCGGTGTTGACAAATGCCTCCTCCACCTGCAATGGTCAGCCAAGGAACGAAAGCTCACAGGGATCACATTGTGCGCAGTCTTGGCGGAGGTCTCGAGGAAGATCAGCCCATTTTCTCTTGCAAAGGCCTCTCCCTCTGTTCTCATCCATCAGGCAACAGGGAAGCTACATGACCAGACAGCATCATCGCGCTACCGGCATAAGTGACGGCTCTGCGGTGCTCCAGGTCGCTCTTGTTTCCTGGCGTTGAGCATCAGAGCATGCAGAGAGATTAAAGTCTGAGACGTAAGTCTGAAACTGACCAATGAGCATGATCGTCATGTTGGAGTTGGAGTGCTGTCGGGCATCCTCAAGCCAGCTCGTCAGATGGTTGAAGGTGTCGCGACGAGTGATGTCGTAAACCTGCTCACAAGTTGAGTGCAGAATGCGCATCGGCCTCAGGGAGGACCAGCAAAGCCCCAGCAGCTCCCCTATAGTAGGAGCGAGTGATCGAGCGAAAAGACTCTTGACCCGCCTTGATCAAGTCCAAGTCAGAATAGGAAGAAAACACCAAGTGACATCTCACTGTATCCCAAATCTGCAGCTTGATCGGCTTGTTGTCGATGGTGATTCGCCGCGCTCCAAACTCAACACCTTGAACGGTGAATCTCAGACGCCGAGATCGCAAATAAGATCGAGAAGCAGCAAGGCTCACCGATGGTGAGATCGTGAACAGGCTGGAATCGTTTGTCCGTGAATTGGAGTAAAAGACACGACTTTCCGACACCTCCAGGTCTGGGTTCAGGCAAGATTGTCATCAAGAGTGTCTCTTCACCTGTGTCCCCTATGATGATGTACTTGAAGAGGTATGCATCTGCACTACAATCAATTGATCCACAAAAACGACAAGTCCTTCCACTCACATGACATCGGCTATGGAGATTTATATCTTTAAACAAATTTCTGTACACGTCAATCTTCCCAACAATTCCTCCAGTTCTGATATTCTCCGTCCCAAGTTCTTCCTGTCCAAACAAAGGATACAACATCACAATGCGCAAGAAGGCTCAGTTCCTCGTGGGCCACTATCTTTGCAGGAATCGCTGCTCACTCAAACTCCGTGAATGCATTTTTTTTCTTTAAGACATTTCATGTTCAACAACCAATAATCATATCACTGAAAATCAAAGCTCTTCTCCACAACACTCATCAACAGGGGAGTTTGTCCCTAGGGGAATTGCTGCACCAGATTCATCATGGCGATTCCAGACCCTTCTCACAAGAAATTTGATTCTTCTAAACAATTTGTGATGCTCACACCAACGATCTATCATAGCACAGCACGAGTATCATTCCATCTGGGCGTTACATATTGCACGTCACGCAAGATTGGGGCCATGTTGACAGGGGCCTCAATGGGGATACAAAGCTAGAATCTCATTGCACCTAGTGCCCTGACATCTTTGTATATCTATCTTTCAACACTCCAATTCAATTCGATCCTCTTTGCGATTTTAACAACATCTCGCACCAATGCAGTAAAACCTCGGTTTTCGAATCACTCGGACGAGCAGCAGAATCTTTAAGGACATTGAAAACGTCTAGGTTCAGCCTGCACTGAGCTATACGTATCTTGCCCTGCCGTGCCTCCAACGCTAGATGCCTGTCAGTTGAAGCCCCTCCACTCTCTACCGTTCCGAGTCCCTCAACGTCTGCTTGCCCCGCAGTGATTTGCTTTGGTTCCGTTCTTCCAAACTTTGTTCCTCTGCTGCCAACATCACCTTCCGATCCTCTTCTGCCTCGTTCAGACTTTCGTCTTGAAACATGTTTCATCTCCTCACTTTCTCTCCACCTTCCCCTCTCTCCTCCCTTCCTTTCCTAGCATTGTGCCCCTCTCGCTTCATACACCCGCACAGCCCAAGCATTCCACCTGTACTACCCCCCACCCCTACGCCATACACAAACTGCAGGTACCCACCCTAGCTTGTTCTGTAGTGCAGTCTCCCACCCCCCCGTACCAACTACCCCACTCAATTCCTTCTGATACCCCTTGTCCTGAACAGAATTCTTCCACCCCTGTTGCCATGTCCGCAACCTACCCACCCTTGTGGTGCAACTCCACTTAGACTACCCTACCCTTCAAATACGGTATTGTAGACAACACCACCCCTCATCCATGACCCACCCTCATCGATAGGCATGTGACAGTTTTGAAATATTGGTTCATGAATTCAAATTTACTTGAATTAGATAATTGTTTTACTTCATTCGAAGGTATATTTCGGGATAAAACACGAAATTTGACCACCGGTGGAATTGACAGGGTGTTGAATTGAGTTGAGTCAACCAGTGATTTCCCCTTCCACCCAGGGTAGGGTAGTCAAGAGTCCATCAAGAGAGGGGTAGGGTCCTTCCCGAGGTGAAGTGGGTATTGGACCCGGAGGGTACAGGCGTAGTGGAGAACAATTCACTCAAGACTTTACAAGGCTCACTAACACTGCTACACCGCCTCAGAAATGATTTAGGAAATATTTGAGGACAGCATATAATGATCGATTCAGATGCCCAGTGCGTCTACTCTTTCGTGAGGGCAGTACCAATCACTGCAACGGTATGTAACGGTCAGGGAGCTATACGACCCTGACCGGCCCGACCGTGCGGAGTGCCAGGTCGGTCGGTCGGGCAGTTTTGTCCTCATCCGCCCTACGGCCATGGCACTGCCGCACCCAGACTCGGATGTGACTGACTCTGAGTGAGGAGAGAGCAGCTCTGACGACACTGTGAGCTAGCAAGTTGCCAGCAGCACGTCATTGTGACTCTCAGTGAAAGACAGGCTGCTCTCGGCCCCAGTGAGAATGTGACTGGGACTGGCAGGATACTATGATACCCAGTGACAAGTTAGCGAGAGGACGCTGAGAGAAAACTATTAGTGTTGAACAACTCAGTACTGATGAGACAACGATTGGATTGACTGTGCAATTCTTGCAGATTTTGGGTTGGAATGGAGCCTAACGCAAAAGGCAGCAACTTTTTCCTCGATTGTTGCAATGGCGCGGTATGACTTGGTGACGAATTCACTGAGAGAGGATTGACAGCATGCGTCACAGATCTTCCAAGAGGATTGCTGCAACACCAAGAGGAACAGGGACAACCATCCGCACCTGAAGCCCAACAGCACTTCGCCGGGCTCAAGGTCCCTCCTGCGAGCAGCGAGGGCTGTCCTGACTGACTGATGCTCCCACGTCACAGCCTGCGGAATCAGATGAGCGGAGTTGGGATAGTCTGGCGCGTTGCCCATTCAAAGGGCATCCCGAATGACATCTTGGTGGATGATGCAGATGCTGTGGAGCTGGGTTAGTTCTCACTACTCTGAATCAGGTTGTGGACGCCTTCGATCCTCAAAGCAGCGCTGCGGAGGCTGACCTCCGCCCAGGAGACATCCTCTTTCAAGTGGATGGAGAGGAGGTAGGGACCTCGCCTGATCCGACTGCATCACTGAAGCATTCCTTCCAGGTGATCGGCATGCCCGTCACGAGCATCGCAGAAAAACTCTTCGGACCTGTCGGCACCCAGGCAACATTAGATGTCAAGCTTGCTCTCAGTGGTCTTCTGACATCTCCGCAGGTCATGATCACGATTCTTCGAGGAGGACTTAACGGAGAAGTTGTTCTTGTACAGCTTGAGCGCAGATCTTCCGCCAATGCAGCATGATATTTCACTGCTTGTGTAAACAAAGCAGCCCAGTGAAAACTACTACGTGAACTACCACGCTCACTGCACGCAGACGTTCGCACTCGACGTTTTTCACATCTGCAGCAGCAATGCACGTGTGTTTTACTGAGTTATTCGATCAAAAGACCCTCATCTTTGTATCTCTTTTCTATTCCGTCCATGTGCGCCATCCCAACCACAGCGACCACCCGTTGAAAATTACACCTCGCTAGAGTCTGCGCCATGATTTCATCCCGCTCATCCACAAGGGCAGAGATCATCCCCGAGGAGCAGGAGTCTCGGAGTCGCTGCAGCATGCGACGAGCATCGTCCCGTGTGATTTCCTTCTCGCTCTTCTGCTTCGCGAAAGGGGTTGAGAAGATGCTTTGCGAGGAGGGTGACATGGGAGTGGAGAGCAGCTTCAGGACGTCGGACAGGTTGAACTCCTCCTTCAACCTCCTCAGCGTCGTTTGCTGATCTCTGTCTCCGAGTATGACCTTGGCACCGACCTGCTCCGCTGCCCTCATGGCGACGAGCATCTCGTTCCCCCTGGTGTACGCGTCGATGAACTCAAGAATCTTGTCCCCAACCATAGCGCTGGCCTGCTGCCTTGATATCCCGGCCATTCTCAGGATTGTATCAAGGGTCGATGTTTGTTGTCCTTGGTCTATCGATACTATGGCCCGCTTTCTGGCTTCGCAGAGCTCCACCATGACGGCCTGGGGGCGCACCGCAAGGATAACCTCGTTTACTATCTCCGCGCTCTTCTTCGAGATGTGTACGCTACCCACCAAGTACACCTCCTGCTGCAGCCGAGGATGCCTTAGATACGCAACATGGCCATTCCAGAAGTCCGATCCTCCAAAGTTCATCCACCTCCTGGTCCCGTAGGCAACACCGCGCTCTGATGCGTGGAAGGGTGCCTCCGACGGATATCCGGGGCCGACAAACTTTGACCTCGATGTACCCATCCTCATGCTCCTCGCGCTCGATACGTCTTGAGTCGAGTATGTACACATAGCAAGCCTCCTCCCAGCATCGATCAACGTCCTGCCTCTTCTGCCCTCCCTCCCTGCCCATCGCCATGAAAGAACGACCGGCATGTTCCACAGCTTCCACCCCATGATCATGACCACCCCCGTATTGCCCTTGAAAGACTACCCCACCAGGAATCAGACGTTTTGAGAGGGAAGAGTTTCGATACTCTGAAAGTTTCTCTGAGAATTTCAAATTAAATCTGAAAAGTGCAAAAACATCGCGCCCCGACTCTACTACTGGAATGGCTCGGAAGGGGCTTGCGACGATGCTGCTGGGGATGGCGACATGGATGGCTGCTTCATCCAGCTCGTATCATGGCAGACATGGAATGTCGTCGTTTATCCCCTCCTCGCCCCTCCCTCACGATGCCTGGACTGACTTCCTGCCTCCTGGCTCCACCCTCATCCCTTGCGTCCCATTCTTTCGCGGGTTGTCGGAGGGTCGGAGTGGCCGGCATCGCGATGAAAGGAAAGCTCACAGACTGGCTGCTGCTCTTCGTCTCAACTCTTTCTCAAGAGTTCACAACAGCTCTCCCCTCGTCAAACGCTCTGAGGCTGTCCGCTCCTCCACGAGGACTGGCCCGACCCACTCGATGTACCTGAAGAGGAACGACCGAGATGCTCTCGGCGAGGAGGTTCAATCTATCAATGTCATCGAGAGCGATATCAGTGCTGATCTCACTGCAACGGAACCCGATGTGTCGTCCTCGCAGAAAAACTCAGGAAAGGTTCTCTTCAACGACGTCATAGTTGCCTACATGTTCATGATGACTCAGGTAACGCACCTCGCCCGTCGTTGGGGGAAACCTTCCTTTGCCTCGCATCCTCCTCTGCTCGCTCGCTCCCATTTTTCCCTACCTCCCCGTCCTCGATTTTTACTTGTCTTTCGAACGTGCCCTCTGCCTTGTTCAAGAAGACTGATTCACGACCCTCGTAGAAATTCAAGCAACCAACTCCCTTGCAGCGAGTGTACATAGACGCGGTTCGACTGCTCATGCTAAACAAGACAAGCCACGTCACCCTCTCCAGCCATATTCTACCAGCCATCGACCATGAGCTGCTGGTGTCGTCGAATGTTACAGACCTGTCCATGAGCTTTCCCCTCCTCCAGCGTCAGCCAGCAACGGCAGCCTTCGGTGAGTCAACCTGCAGTCTTGAAGGCTCATCTCAGCTTGTGCGCAGCTGTCGCAGTGCCTGCAGCCCTTGCGGTCGGCGGGCTCATGGACCTGGGTCTTGCCGACGCCATCATGACCATCGGCATGTCCGGCGCTGCCATCGTGAGGCATCGACTTGCTGCATGCTCGTGAGGATGACGCTTGTCTCTAGGGAGTCGGGATGGAGCTGTTCACCAAGTCTGCTGGGGTCTTCCTAGGCACGTCGGATCCTCAGCCAGCACAAGCTGGGATAGAGCCGGTGAACAGCACCAAATCGTGAAAGCGTGACGGGGGCAAACACACGTTTTCGCTGAGAAGGAGCAGCAGCATTGCAGTTCATTCGAGAAAGAGGAGCATTACTGAGACGGGTTGGAAGCCTTCACCGGGGGAGGAGGAGGAGGAGGAGGGATCTCGCTCTTGGATGCTTCGGCGGTGAAAACCTGCGGGGGTTGGGTGAGCAAGAATCCAGCTCGTGGAGCTCGACCTTCTCATCCCGGATCACGAAATCTTGTCCAACAAGCCCCCCCAGCCTCAGGTTCTGTGCCGCAGGATAAGGAGCGCTGCACGACCCCAGCTCGTTCTCACCTGGTCATCCTTTGAGGTCTTCCCCCCGGCTGCACCCCAGGAGGCTGCAAGGGCGTCTGCGTCAGCCGCGAGGACGTTGAGGCGGAACTGCCGGAGGTCCTCTGCGAGCAAAGGTTCAGCACGGGCGGCGTGAGCCGGGCTGACTCACTGGGAGGCTGCAAGTCCTTGGGGAACTTCTCGATGTGCAGGACGACATTCTCGTCTGCGTGTGTGTTGATTGTGTGATGCATGTATGAATTGAGGTCACCTTGAAACCGGAGGGACTTGGCGCCATCGCCGATGAAGGGGAATGGGAAGGAGGAAACCTGGGTTTCCGGAGAGGGAGGGAGGGAGGTGGAGGCACAGCAAGGGGAGCCGGGAGCGGCGTTCGGGAAGGGGAGAGGAGGAAGGAGATCATTGGCAGGAGGAGGGGCAGGAAGCAGAGTGAAGAGAAGAGGAGGTAGAGAAGATCGAGCCAGGAAAGAGAACAAAAGTGAGAAGAAGAAGGAAAAATCAGCAAGGGAACGTAGAGTAAGAAAGGCAAGAGCACTAACCGGTTTCATCCCAAGGGACTTTGACAAGGCTTCTGCCGACTTCTGGACGTCCTCAGCCATGAACGATACGGACTTGATCTGTCAGCTTGCTCACCGACAGCCATGGGGGCAGGGGTAAGAGCTGAGGATCACCGGGTATGGGATGTTGCTCTTGTCCTTGTTCATGAAGATACGAACGGTGTACCCGGAGGGCGAGAGAAGGTCGGTGAAGGAGGCAGTGCCTGCGGTCCCGCAAGTCACAACAGCCCGCCACAGAACGATCATGATCGAAGTTCCGACCAAACCATCTTGGGATTAGAGTCCCACCAGCCTGAGCCCACAAAGTCAGTACACCCCAGAAAACCACAAGGGGAATGAAGGAAAGACGCACCTCCTGTGCGCGCGAGATGAGGTAGGGGATGTTGGGCAGCTCGATCTCGACTCGTTGGGTTTCTTGCATTTTCCCTCACGAGGCTGAAAGCGCATGCAAGGAGCTAACCTGCTGTCTTCCTCTCCTCCCCAGCCTGAACCAGCTCAAAGGTGAAATGCCCTCCTCCCTCCACCATCCGGTCGCTGCCGTATCCTGATGAGAAGTACTCAGAATAAAAGAGCTGATGAAAGAGCAGGAGCAGCAGGAGAAGTGCACAGGTGGGTAGATGCCGGAGGTTGTGGTTCTTACCCACGACCACCGACTTGGCATTCTTCCTGATCTCCCTCATCCCGAGGCCTTTGATCCAGAACTCTGCCTCCTCCTCGAGGTCGTCCACCTCCATCGTCACTCCCTTCATCCCGTCGTCAAGGGCAGCAGGGGCAAGGCTCCCACCTCGACCTGCAGGAACGCCGTGAAGTCCTCGGGCCCCTTCGCCTGCTCCACCCGTGCGCCGGCTGGAACCGTGAATGCTCCGACGCCAACAGCCTTGGTGACAAGCAGCCCAGCCATCAGCTGGCTGGCTTTGTGCATGACCTGCGGGAGGCTTGAATGTGCTCGTGCATGCGATGCTGGACAGATATCACCTCTCTCCGCCCAAGGTTCATCTGCAGGCTCGGCGACCCTCTTCTCAGTCGCAAGCCACTGGGCAGGTTTTTTGCAGTCCGGCCATCCAAGAAGCGAGGGAGCTGAGATGATGTAGAGAAGGAAGAGGCCAGCTCGAGTGAGCAGGCAGCGAGCAAGACCGCTAGCTTCGTATTCCCCATGTTTCTATAGGAGAAAGTTCATCAGCAACTGACAGATGCTCATGGCTTTGTACCATGTATCCACCAAAGCGATCGATCTACGTTACATCAATCCTTTTGCTCCTCTCACTCTCACCGTCTGCTGCCTCACGTCCGTTCTATTCTATAATCCCTGACAACGTCTTAATGGCGGGGCCCTTGCAAGCTTTGACGATCAAGTCTTCACGGCATCATCACCATCATGACAACCTCTCATCTCTTCATCTTGCTCTCTCGTCTCCTGTCAATCCTCGCTCCCTCCTCTCCCGCTCCCTCTCAGCCCTCAAGAGACTCAGCAGATCCGCACGCCCGCAAACACGACATGGCGGCCCTCTTATAACCCCTGTACCCCTCCCCACTACCCCAACAATAAATTAACCCCACCCTATTTCAAATCATGTAATTGTTCATAAATATAACCGGTACTTTGTATCACCCACCCTGTTGGATTCGTTCTCGTTCAAGATGGAGCATGTTCATCCAACATCTGCGGTACACAACCCTGCCACCGCCGCCTCCATGGCACGCGCAAGCGGGGAGGGAGGAGGGAAGATCTAAGGAGAGAGGAGGAGAGGGAGAGACGGAGGAGCAAGAAGATACACAATACTGAAGGAGAGAGAGCTGGAGGAGAGAGAGGAAGAGTCTGAGACTCGTGCGAAACAAGAGTACGACTGCAACCTTGTGATATCTCAGGAGTGCTGGCTGTGGAGAAGGGAGACCGGCAACAGGCAGAAGCTGTGACGGCCTGGTGTGGACTTTGATCTCCAGCAGACAGAACACTGGTCAGCAAGAGCAAGGGAGGTCAATCCCTCGACTGGAGAAGATGGAAGAGCTCAAGCAGGTCCAAGGCTGTACCGAACACGGTGGAGCTGAAGCTTGGTTTGCAGGTGGACCATTATGGTGGGATGGTGCTGGACTATGTTCAAGTTGCAGTGAACAGTGTCGGGCTGAGTTATGACATGGACACGAGTCTGTCTTTCAAGATCACAAAGGTTACGACCTCCATTGCTCCCCTAGTGCCCTTACAATTTAAAACCTTTGTAGATGATCGAAGTGCACCGAAAAAGCGTAGCAGATGAGAGGTCTGTAGTCCTATCTCTTCCCCTTCCCCATCCTCGCTTCCTGCTCCCACTTCCCACCTACTCATCCCATTTCTCCTCGTGCCTCTTACCTGCTTTACTTCGCTCCGCCCTCCTCCCCCTCCCTCCGCTCACTCTCCTCCAGCACCAGCTTCGCATTCTTCGGAGTGGCGCTCCTGACCCTGATCTGCCTCGGCGTGCGGCTCAAGGGATCGACAGTCTTCTCCACGAAGCTCGTCTGCCTCTTCCTCAGCGCGATGTGGGCGAGCCAGGGGATCCTCGTCTTCTCCGACACATGCACAGTACAAGGAAACTTCAGGCGAGCAGGAGGGCTGGCGCTTGCCTTGACCTCTGACCGGACTCAGGGTCAGGAACGCGACCATGACTGGTGGAGATGTCGGAAACTTTAGAATGCCGGTGGAGGTGAGGAGGGGACGGCGCTGGAGGAGGCAGCTGGTCATGTTTGTGCTGACCCGCGCTGCCAGGGCTTCGTATCCAGCGTCTTCTTCGGCCTGGAAAGTATCTTGCTCACCATTCTCGGCAACAGCGGCTTCCTGCTGTTCCACCGCCCTGCCTCGAACATTCGCCGCTCCCCGAGCCAGCAGATGGCAGGGCCCGCTGCCCCCATCGCCCTCACTGACGCGCGCGCAGGGAGCTGTGATGCTCGCCTTCTCCCTCGCCTCGCCCGTCCTGTTCAAGTTCTTCCCCAATGTCGTCACCAAGCTCTCCTTCCCCCTAGACATGTTCACAGCAGGTGGGATGAGCGACCGCGTGCTGGGGGGGCTGAGCTGCTGCAACAGGCCTCTTCTTCTCTGCTGCCTGCGACTCGGGCTACTCCAAGCTGGCCATGCTAATCCCCGTCAGCTTCTCATGCCTCGACTACTTCCGCTCATTTCATTCTTGCAGATCATGGGGATGACGTTGAGGTCTACATTCGCCTGTACCGAGGTGCTGGAGGAGGGGGGAAGGAGGGGGAGGAGGAGGTTGAATTGTGAGCAGATGAAATCTATGGAAGAGCTTCCTGTCGTGTTCATCAGCCTCATCGTAAGGTGCTCTGCAAGTGAGAGAGTCTGTAATGGCCTCCTGCAGTCCTTCTATCTGCGACAGTCCTGGGGAAGGAGGAGAAATGCGTATGACTGGCCCGACCAGAGGTCCGCCTCCCTCCCTCCCTCCCTCCCTCCCTCCCTCCCTCCCTCCCTCTCTCCTCCTTCGGCATCGTACCTCCGTTCGAATACCCTCTGCCTGTTTTCCTCTTCCTCCCTTAGTTGCCTCATGTCTCTTCCTCCCTTAGTTGCCTCATGTCTCTTCCTCCCTTAGTTGCCTCATGTCTCTTCCTCCCTTAGTTGCCTCATGTCTCTTCCTCCCTTAGTTGCCTCATGTCTCTTCCTCCTCCGCGAGCTCCTCCGCTTATGTTGCCTCTGCGTGACTCATTGCCAGGGGAAGACATCCTCCTTCTCATCAACATCAGAAGGTGAAACCGCGAGCTCCTAAGGTGATGCTCCCCCTTTTTCCTCCTCCTCCTCCTCCTCCTCCTCCTCCTCCTCCTCCTCCTCCTCATCATCATCATCATCATCATCATCATCTATTCTTCTCCTCGTTCTCCTCCTCCTCTCATCATGGATCATGCTCGTTGCCTTTCATTTCCTTCATTTTCGATTGTGTATCGGTGCCCTCCTATCGCTCTTTCACTTCGCTGCTCCTGTCTGCTCCTGCCCCCACTCAAGTCCCACACGCTTGTGCTCGTGTGTTCCGACTTATCACAAGGTGGCTCCGATGATCCGAGAGGTCCATGACGGCAAAGGAGGAGTACAGGGTCTGTCGTTTGTGAAGGTGAAAGAGGAAGAGGAGGAGGAGGAGGAGGAGGAGGTTTTGCTTACAGGCGTGCAGGAACTTCAGCTTGTGGACGAGGATGGAGACGAGGCGATGGAATTCTTTGAGGTAGGAGGACGATGAGGAATAGGGGAAGGGGGGAGGTGGGTAGCTGATAGCATGCACAGGTGACGGACGAGGGTCTAAGGAAGAGAGTTCCCCATAACAATACCTAGAGGCCAAGAGGAACTTTGAGATTGAACCAGAAGTCTACCCCTCTTCCTCATATCGCCCCATCTGCCAGGGAGCCAGTGACGCAAGTCCCAGCTCCAGCTCCAGCTCCAGCTCCAGCTCCAGCTCCAGCTCCAGCTCCAGCTCCAGCTCCAGCTCCAGCTCCAGCTCCAGCAGGATGGGCTCTCCCCCTGCCTCTCATTCGCTCGCCGTGTGTGACCTCTCTGCACCCCGAAAGTTTCTCACGCTGTGCTGTACTCGGGAGGTGAACCAGCTCCTCCATCCTCCCTTCCTCTCCACCGACACCAGCAGCTTCTCCCTCCAGTCCAGGTACTTGTCCAGGCTCTGGCGGGATCGTATCAGGAAGTGAGGAGGGGAAGGTGATGGGGGATATGGAGTGAGCAGCAGCAGCAGCAGCAGCAGCAGCAGCAGCAGCAGCAGCAGCAGCAGCAGCAGCAGCAGCAGCAGCAGCAGCAGCAGCAGCAGCAGCAGCAGCAGCAGCAGCAGCAGCAGCAGCAGCAGCAGCAGCAGCAGCAGCAGCAGCAGCAGCAGCAGCAGCAGCAGCAGCAGCAGCAGCAGCAGCAGCAGCAGCAGCAGCAGCAGCAGCAGCAGCAGCAGCAGCAGCAGCAGCAGCACAACCTTGAGGATAAAGCGTTCGATCTCGCTCTCGATGCGGTAGAAGCGAGGGGTTTGCGTCAGCGGCTCGTTGACTGTGAAGCTGGCTTTCAGCTGGGAAGGAGCCGCGGGAGGAGAGTAGAGGAAGTGAGGGGTACTCACATCCGAGTGCGATCCATCCGTTCCCCATGCCGAGGCAGATGCCGCATCCTGGCGTGCATGAGTACAGGATGAGCTAGGGGACCTCCTTACCTTGTCCGATCCCGCAGACAAGACCGAAGCCTGCTCCAGCTCCTACCAGAGCAGTCGGAGGGAACATGGTGGCTCCGACTCCTGCATCAAAGCGAGAAGTGCAGGGAAGAGGAGAGGATGGTGGGTATGAGGACAGAAAGAAAGAATTTCAGCGATTCGACTTGATTCCGCTGCTGGTTGCCTGTTCCGAAGAATTGCCCCAAGACGCAGCCATATCCGTACCCCCATCCCAATCCACCGAACACGTCGTTCTTCGGCCTGAAGGAGCAGTGAGCCAGCAAAGGTGTTCATCCCTTCCTCACTACCACAACCCCATCTACTATCTTTACCTCTACCTCCAAACTCTCCTCGTCCTCTCTCGTCCTTGTTCCCCCATCTCCTCCTCCTCCTCTTCCATCACCACCACCACCACCACCACTTTTCAGCACTCCTCCTATTGCTGCTACTGCTACTACTCTCACCTTGAATGCCTTCCGTACGGTGCATTCGTCATGAGAAACCAGTTCCCTCGCTCGTCAGGGTCACCATACACGCCTGAGGTGTGTAAGGGAACAAGAGGAGGAGAGGGAGGGGCGACCTGAGCCAGGAGAATAGAGGGGTAGTCTGTTCCTGCAGCCGTAGATGATCAGATAACAGACAGAGCCAGGCACAGACAAGTTTACGGCACGACAAAAGGAGGCTTCCTGCAAAGGAGAGGTCAACATTCAAGGGAGGAAACCTAAGGCACTTACTTGTGTGGGCGGGTGCAGGAGGTTATCTCCTCCTCATCCGCAGCAGCAGCATCCCTGGAGGTCTCCTTGTCTATCTCGCGCTCTGCCGGCGTCTCGCGCACTGGAGCTGGATGCTGGGATGTTCGGTTCCAAGGCTCGAAAGGATGCCCACAACTTGGGCAAGCCTCCCTCTCCACAAGGGAAGCGACGGGGCTCGAGAACGAAGAAGGCTCAGGATGGTGATGGATGGGAATGCTGGCAATAGAATCAGACTAGTGATCAAACTCAAGTGTGTCGCTACCTCATGAGCTGCAGCCTCCTCCCTTGCGATACCCCGGCCATGGCCAGGATCCCCCGGGCGGTTCCAACAGACAACGACAGCAGCAAGCAGAGTCGAGACAGCAAGGGAGTCATCTTTGTCATCTATCGCCGCCTATCTTTCTCGATTCACCGGCGTGTAGTCCTGTCCTTCCATCTGCAATGCTTGTGGGTCCCACCGCCCATGACCCCCTCGGAACATCACGTTGCGTTTCAAGTCTCGCCTTGCCATGCTCGTACGCCATGCCGCCACTCTCTCGCTCGCATCCTGACTAGAATTTTCACATCAATCGCTACCTCAGCCCCTCTCAGCAGGTCCTCTCCTCTCCCTCCCTCTGCATCTTCCTCCCATGCTCGCCGACTGGCCGCCGCTGAGCCATGGCCGCATCTCCCACACCGTTACGAGCGGTTATCAAAGTAAAACCACCCACCTCTACGAGATATTTTCCCTGGATTTGTACCCGGTCCTTCATTAGAGCCTGTCGGGGAGCTGCTATGCAAGGGCAGGAGGAGTGTGGGAGGGAGGGGGAGGGAGGGAGGGAGTTGGAGGAGATCCCGACGAGGAGCGAGGATGAGAGACTTCGAGTCAAGTGAGTTCGAGCATGCTCTCTCGTTCGGGCGTCACTGGCGCTGATGTTTGCTCATGGCTCAGGTCTCTGATCGACATGTACCGGGCGCGCTGGGGTGGGGAGCCGTCGTAGGATCATCGCTGGTGAGAGGTGTGAGGAACTTTGACCTCTTGCCCTGCAGTTTTGTGTCAAGAGCACCTGGGAGGGTGAACATCATCGGTGAACACATCGACTACCACGGATATGACGTACATTGACGTGCTCGGGTGAAACGCGTTGAAGACTCTCCAGGTGTTGCCCATCGCCATTGACAACGACGTGGGGACAGGCTGTATTTGAAGGCTATCACATGACTTTTGAGCCTTAAAGATTGTGATTGTTGGCGGCTGCGACGGAGTCGATAGTTCGAGGTCCGAGCAGGAGCTCCAGTTAGAGGTAAGTCTGCTGTGCTTGTAGACTCATCCTTCGCCTTCGTGTCTTCCCTGTTTGCTCTCTCCCTCCCTGAGAAACATGAAGGTCATCAACGCATCTGAATGCTATCCTCCTGCCAAACTTTCGCCGCTCTCTCCCGAGTACTTTGAAGGGATCAGGTTGAAATCTCGATCGGTGGCTTGGTACGACTATGTGGCCTGCGGCGTTAAGGTGAGATTTGTAACAAGACAGCAACAGCCATGAGGTGTCGTTTCAGGGTCTCTATGAAGCAGCAAGAGAGGTCGAGCAGGTAGTCTTAGTTGCCACGTCGCTTTCCTTCTCCCCTCCCTTCATTTCTTACTAGCGTCCTGCAGCTCCAAGGGCTCAGACTTGTTGTGCATGGATCGGTCAGTCCAGGCTCGGGGCTTTCGAGCTCATCGGCACTTGTTTGTGCTTCTGCTTTAGCCGCCAGCAGAGGTGAGAGGACGACGGGGAGGACTGGAGCAGTGACATGCTGCAGCATGGGGGGTCGTGGGGCTGCCGCGTGATCAGTTTGCCTCTATCTGTGCCAACTGCGAACGTTACGTAGGGACTATGGGAGGAGGTGGACGAGACTGAAATCTCTTGCTGCCTCTGGGTGTGTGACGGTGAGGACAAGGTATGGATCAGGCAGCGTCCATGCTGAGCAAGGAGGGCGTTGCCCTCAGGGTATCTTTCACCCCGAAGCTGGCGGTCCGGCCGGTGGGTAGCACGACGAGAAGTCCAACGATGTCCATGTCTAAGTGAGACTGCCCGCTCGTCGCAGGTCGCTCTACCTTGCCGTGCGATGTTCATCGTTGCCAACTGCTTGTCCGAGTCTCACAAGGTGCCCACCTGACTCGAGACTTCCTCTTGCCATCGCTAACGACTGTCAACAGGCAGAGTCCGACAACCCATTCAACGTGATGCCCTCCATCATGCATCAGGCTCCCTTGCTCATGGTGCTGCTCAGGTGCGGGTAGTCGAGGGAAGGATTGCCTGCTTGCTCCTCCTTCAGTCCTTGGGGCTCGAGAGGCAGAGTCCTCTCCTGTCCCTCTCTCAAGTAGGACTTCGTTTCCCTCCCTCCTCCCTTCAACTCACCCTTGAGCTCGCCAGGTGCAACGCTGCGCAGACATCGCTGACCTGAAATCCTTCCTTGCCGCCGCCATGGAGAAATTGCCTGAAGATCCGATCACTTTCGCAAAGGTTGACCCTAAACCCTCACCCTGTCACTTCATCCATCTTTGCTCCCTCCCTCCCTCCTCTCCTTCCCTCCCCTTCCCTTCCCTGTTTCTCTCACAATCTCTCGATCTCACGACGATCGCCTGGCAGGCTGCAGAGTTGCTTCAACTCACCGTTGCTGAGTTGACCGAGAAGGTTTGCGCGCGCTGAATCTTTCGGACTCAAATGGTAGGACAGGTGCAGGGCCACAGGCTGAGTGACCGCGCTCTCCAGGGGAGCCTGCAGGTCAAGAAGAGGGCGAGACACATCATCAGCGAGGCTCAAAGGGTAGATGACTTCTGTCGAGAATGCGCAAGACAGACTTCGGACCCTCACGTCGACGAGGACCAGCTGCTTGCTAGTCTCGGAGGTTTGATGCTTGGAAGTCACGAGAGCTGCAGACACGACTACTCGTGCTCCTGCGACGAGCTAGACGAGCTGGTTGGCTGCTTCCTGCGCGCGGGGGCCAACGGCGCCAGGATGACAGGAGCAGGCTGGGGAGGTTGCGCAGTAGCGCTGGTTGACAGAACCATGCAAGACAAGGTGAACTTTGAAAGTTGAGATCTCGACTAACAAGAATTCCAAGGTCATTGGAGAGGTATGGGAGAGGTGACAATCATCGATTTCTTTTGCTATCCATCCACTGAGACTTGCGAAAAGTTTTTACAAGAAACGCAACGTCAAAGACGAGGATCGTGGGAGGTAAGCATGTAAGAGATGCCTGCAACTCGGCTCATCGCGTCTCAGGTTCATATTCAGCACTCTGCCATCAGATGGGGCCAACTTTCTATCGATCAAATCCCTACAACTCACGTGAAGATTCTCGCTCTCTAGAGTCAAAGCTACTCTGTTGGAATAGACTTGATGACTCGCGTCTTTAAACCTGGTCAGGGCGTTTTGGCATGCGCAATGGTTTGAGCTCTTCGCCTGTGATCGGGTTGTACCCGTCACCGGAGCTGTAACGAAACAACTTCTCAGTGCGGACGCCAGCTCTGTACTTGGCCATGTCATCTTCAAACTTCTGCTGGTCCCCTGCTGGGGTCGGGTGATAGTCGAGGCTGATACAATCGTAGGCGACGCTGGAGTGGTTCCTAGCGCCTTTGGTCGAGTTCTGCATGACCATGAGCTTCTGCTGCTGGTCGTCTCGTACTTGCTCCATCTGATTCCACCTCAGGTCCTCTCGCTCCAAGTTGACGTTTCGCTTCCGCTCGTACTTCTCTTCCCTCATGTGCACCGCCCGCTCCCTTGCTGCCTTCTCCTCCCCCGCCGTGTCTGTATGAAATCTGTCCACGTCTGCGAGGTACCCCAGCGCGCCAGGAGTCGCTTCTGTAACGGGCCCGAAGTCTTCGTACTTGACGAACTTCTCTCGTCGCTGCGCCAGCCTCATCTTCTCCAGCGTCGTCTTGTCTTGCTTTGCTGCTCGGTCTCCCCGAGTCTCAGCCTCTACTGCTCGAAATCCACTCATACCTGCGAGCCTGAGCTCAGACCTCCAACACTTGGAATGGCGCAAACACTCCACGCCCCTCCTTCTCCTCTCCTTCAACCAGCCGCTCTTCTCCATCCTCTCACACTTATTCATCCTTATGTAAGTTCTGCATGGCCTCTACGCCTGTAGCTCAGGCCACCTTGTTTCCTATACGCTACAGAAGCATCGAATAGACCTGCAACCCTCCAACTGCCTTTGCACTCGTTCTCCTCTTTCACTTCCATATACGCATGTTGATGTCCTTATCAGTATATCATTCCTTCTGCTTCTGTCACTTATCTCCTCTCATCTCATCTCACCACACCTCACCTGACCTCACCTCACCTCACCTCACCTCACCTCACCTCACCTCACCTCAATCTCAACTCATCTCATCTCATCTCATCTCATCTCATCTCAATCTCATATCATATGATATCATCATCATCTCATCTCATCTCATCTCATCTCATCTCATCTCATCTCCTCTCCTCTCCTCTCCTCTTCTCTCATCTCATCTCATCTCATCTCTCATCTCATCTCACGTCAACGGCAAACAACAGCTCGGCGGCTCTCATCACCCTCCTGATGATAGGGCCCGACAGGTTGTGCCAGTCGTTTACTCAAAGTTAAGTTAAAAATCAGTACGAGGACAATCGACCCTGACACCAGTCACTGAAGGCTCAGCATTGACTTCCGGTCGGGCCGCGAAGCCGGCAGGCCGCGGGCGTGGCCGTGACAGAGTGACCACTGGGAGTTACGGTAGTACCGACCCGATAGCCTTGAATTAAGTTAATACGGCGTCACAATTTTTAACTGCCCGGGAGGAGGCCGGGGAGGAACTGAGTAGTAGTAAACTTGAAATCCTATTTTTACTGTCACTATGGTAGTGACATCCCGCTGCCTCGTGCCCTAATCTTACTACTAATTTTACGGCTATTATTATTGAAAAAGTCAGCGTCCTCGGTACCGTGGGTATACTTTCGGAGTTCCGGTACCCGGCGCTGTCCAAAAGACGAGATTTCGAGTTCTCATGATTCAGGCCCAGCAGCCCTCAGAGTAGGGGTACATGAGGCTCTAGAAGCAGGGGACCCGATGACCCGGGGGTCCTAAAGAACCGATTTTGACCCGGTAGTACGTTGTGCTTCTAAAGTGCCCCATTCCCCCGGCCCTTCCGCCTGCCCTGTCCGCTCCCCCTCTCCCTGCAGCTCTGCCTGCCCCAACAGATTTCTCTTCATCGCCCATCTTTTGGGCCTCCTCCCTACAAGACGACCTGCTACAATGTCACTGTTCCTTTTCTGCTCTCACTGTGACTTGTTGTTACTCTTCCTGGTTGCGTTGGTTTCTCCTTCCTGCATTTGCCATCTGTATCTCTTCATCTTTTCTTCCACGGCTTTAGCTTGCTCCACAAGCATCCGCTTTCCCCAGCATCCCTTAGTTTCATGAGAGCTTCGCACAAGGACTTGATGATGTAACTGAAAGGGAGAACATTAGGGATGTCGAAGCACGCTGTCTCTTATTTTTTACCCTTGCAGAACATCCAACGCAACTGCACAGAAGATGCTGAGAGGAGATCTAGTCTTCCAAGATTCTGCCCATGCATCTCCAACAACTTCAGGGGAAGCAGAGAAGTTGAAGCATGACACTTTCAAGACTTACTTCCAACCTCAGGTATTTTCCGTCAAAAGAGAGGCAGTGTTGAATCGTACTGTGCCAGAAGAAGCATTTGTTTGACAATCTGAAACGCAGGAAGTGAAGGAGCTTCTTCTGGCTGGCCATGGAGAGGTCTTTGATGAGGAGGGAGCGATCAAGAGATCTTTCGTCGAGAGCGTTGCGGGAAAGAATGGAACCAAAGTTTTCGTCTCTCCGTATTTTCCCGAAGATTTTCCCGAAGAGAGGGTTGGCAGAATTATGAGTACACAGGATCTGGCTCAGCATGTACATCAGAATCTGTCTTGTCAGGAGAATATCATGCTTAGAAAGCTGATTCCTTCTAATGAGACTGTCGTTGCCGAGTTGCCCACCGTCGGCTTCATCGGCTTTCCTAACTCAGGCGAAGAGCTTGCTGGGTCAGGAAGTATCTTGCTGACAGACAAGAATCTCTACTTCCTCTGGAGCAACTACAAGTGGGAAGCCGCTGCTGAGGAGACCTTGAAGGGAACCACAATTTGCCCGTGTCCATGTGTCGGGTGCTGGGGCTGCTTTCAGTGTTGCAGGACATACTCGGGTGGATACTCGCACCTGGGCGTGCGAGAGTCGGAGGACAAGATCAGTTCTGTGCCCGTCAGCTACCTCACACCTGGAGGGGTGAAGTGCGAACGATCTGACAGACTGAAGGTTCTCCGCAATGTATCGTTGTCCAAAGAATGCTCCTCAAAGGACTGCTGCTGCAGCTTCTGCTGCAGCTGCAAGATTTGGTGCCTTTCACTCTGCACCCAGTGCCGCTACCATGGTGAAATGAGCTTCAAGTTTAGTAGCGATCAGATGAACGGCTCTTCCATCGAATCCAAGATCATCAATAACATCAGGAACAAATCGCATGATGAGAAGATCTACGACGGTCGCTTTCGTGTCCTGAGCATCAAATTCTTCGACGTTTCAACCAATCAGGTGTTCACAGCCTCTACCACTTGATAGCAGAGGGGGCGGGGGGGAGAGAACTGAAGATGATCGTGCAGGTGCATCAAGTGAACTGTGTTGTCGACAAGGATGCCGTTCCTCTGGAAGAGATGTACAAGTTCAGCATGACCATCAACTCTGCTTGCAAGGTGCAAGATTATCTCCAAGGCTATCAGCAGGTGAGAGTCTTGACTCGATGCATCCCTCGGACTGTTGTGCCACCATATCGAGGGAGAGTGAGGTGGATCTGTGGATTGATGATTCATACCTGTCTGCAGACCAACTCCATGTCGTTTGTCGACTCCGGCAGAGTGCGAGGGATCAAGGACTCGGTGATGGAGAGGAACGCGCTGCTCGACCTGTTGAAGAGTTTTGTGAACTTGATGCCTCTGAAAGTCTGCTGCTCCCTTGGTGCTCGCCGCAGCAGCAGCGCTTCCACGTCCTGCAACTGCTTCAGGTCTGGCGTCAACGTGTGAAAGTGAGGCTGTAGAGTAGGCAGCCTGCCTCTGACCCTCCGGCGTGCCAGCCAGTTAATGAAGGGCTTCAACTTAACTTTGAGTAAAGAATCAGGTAGGAAGGCCCGGCCCCCTTTGTTGAGCCTGTGGCCGCTCATCGTCCGATCCGACCGTACTGTCGGAGCCGTCCCGGGCCCTGGGCCCTGGCACCCGGTAACTGCGGCATGCCCGGCATGATTCTGTGAGCACCGTGACTCTTCAGCTACGGCCCCGTGCACGCCGGTCAGCAGCCGCTGACTCAGCCTGGCAGTGAGCGGCGCTCACTGTGCAATCAGTGAAACTTCGAAGCCCTTTTCAGAAGCAGGGCCTCGGAAGCTGGTTCAGAAGCAGGTTCTGAGAAGCTGGTTCAGAGTAAACGAGAAGGTTCAGAACTGAGCTGGTTCAGAAGCCTTTACTCAAAGTTAAGAAGCTGGTTAAGAAGCCTGTTCGGAAGCGGTTGGGTATGTGAGGGGACGAGGCCGACATATTTCAAGCCGTTTCCAAATGGCGGGAGGGAAGAGCAGTGAGAACGAGCGAGCTGCAGTCACTGAGGAGCCTGAACTTCAACTTCTTGCCGCGTGTTCATCTGAAACACCTTCCAGTAACCCTCACATCCTGCTAGAATGATGGAGCTATAGCTCAAGATTGCCAGATTGATTCATGATTTACTTCTCCTACCACAGCAATTCTCTTGAGTGCGACTCTGTTGTGTGTACCTTGTTATTTTGTATACAGTTTATATTAGAATGAGACTGAACAAGTTGATCGAATTGATTCTGAAGACTTTGCTGTTTTTCAGGATTGGGGCGTAAACTGCAGCGTAATGTCAGAGTCTATATTCAACTTAATTTCGCAGCACGATTATGCCAATTCATCCAGCCTCGCTCACTCCAACCCCAGCAAGCCTCGACCAGACCATGCGCCAAGTTACAAGCTGCACGGCCAAGCAAACAAACAAGGAGCAAAAACAATATCTGGAATGACTGCTTATGAACTTGCGATGGGGAGCAAATTCTCTGAAGCTGAAGAATACCATCGAGCTCCAAAGAATATCACCAAACCCGCCGTTCCTGTCTTTAAGAAGCAGTCTGACTTGGATCCCTCCGAAGTAGCAAGACGAAGGCAGCAAGCACAGATGAGGGGGGGTGCCATTGCCAACATTTTTGGAACAACCTCTGGCTCCAAGGGCCTGCAACGTCATGTCTCCGACAACAAGATGTCTGTCAAAGAGCAGTCAATCATCAACGGCCTGCTGAAGGAGCAAGAGTCGAACCCAATGACATCGCAGGTGAAGAAGGACAATCGAGGTGGCAAGGCGCCGATGTATCCTGGCCAGAGGAATTTTGTGGAAGACAACAAGAACTCAGTTGCCGAGCACGCAGCCAGGAAAGTAGCCTCGATGACACTGAAAGAGAATGCTCCTTCGAAGATGGCAGATTCTTTCAAGAACAGACCTGCCGGGCAGATCCCAAAGTACGAAACCTTAACGATTGCTGCACAGAGTCTTTGACTGTTCCAATCAGATATTTGATAGAGAGGAAGATAGAAATGCAGGTGGAGAAAGCAATGGCAGACGAGGAAGAGCGTAAAAGAAATGGCGAGCTTGAGATTATGCCAGAAGTAAGTCGTCATGTTTCATTCTTTCATCTCATTTGATGCTTTCCGGTCAGGCTGAGAGGCTTGCGACACTGGAGGAATTGAACAGGCAGAAGAACGCTGCGCTTCAGGAGCTTAACTCCATACCGCCATCGAAGGTTACTTCGTTGTGCCTCATTAGCTTGTGTGCATCTGAAACGTGCATGAACAGGCGGCCTTGGAAGGATATAAAGCGCAAGCAAAGAAGATTGAAGAGCGACTCAAGGAAATCGACAAGGCTGTAACATTATTCTCAAAGAAAGTAGTGTACATTCAATGATATGCAAAGGCGAGTAGTTCTAGTTCAGTTGAATGAATTCCGTTGCGCACGTGAGTTGTCCGATCGTCGGGGCTGAGTATTAAACCGTACCATCAAGTTCTACGCATTCCGAAGTTCGGATGGAACTTCCGAGTTCCGAAGTTCGGAAGCGCCGAGCCGGCCAGTCGCGCGGCCGTCGAGGCCGGGCTAGGCCTCACAGTGCCCGGCCGCTCCGGCACGCGGCCGCTGCGCCCGGCCCGGGGCAGCACTGTCCGATCCGATCACCGGGAGAGCCGCTCTCAGTACGGTACCAGGGCCCGGGGCGGCCGGGACTCGGCGGCTCAAGACTGTAGACCTTTTACAACTGGACCGATAATTAGGAAGGCCTAGTAGGAAAAGATATAGAGAGGGCGGTGTGGGGGAAAGGGCTCAGGAAGCAAGCAGCGACGTGAAGAGAAGAGAAGAGAAGAGAAGAGAAGAGAAGAGAAATACTTACCTGAGTTGACCTTGGAGCTTTGAGCTCGAAAGAGATCTTCCATCAGCATAAGACAGGCTGCAAACTCGTTCCCCTGTTTGTTTACCATTCTTCATGGAAACAGCGAGGTCTTCAATGTGTAGCTTGGCAGAGCCGCGGGCTGATGGGGAAGAGGATGCGAGTTTGATGCACAGCTTCTTCGTCAAGCTTCCTGTCGAGCTCCTTGCGAGAGTAATGAACCACCTGAAAGCTGAGGAGCTCCTCGCCTGTAGCTGTGTGTGCAAGGTGTGGAAGACCAGCGCTCTTGACCATGGCTGCTGGCTCAACTTGTGCCACAAACTATGGGAGGGGAGATCCTATGTGCCGTCTCGATTCCTTGAGATGGCTGAGACGCACGAGGGCGTGATCAGAGCGTACTTTGCCTCCATCAAGGATGCGAAACGATGCTCCATCACCACTGAGGAACTGTGCTCTTTTGAGTGGAGCTTTCGGTTCAAAAGATCTGCTGGTCGCTTCTGGACGAGGTCTGACCCCTACTGGAACGGCTCGCCGGCCCGCACAGTGAAGTTTCATCCAGAAGGCCTGGTGAAGTGGGAGTCGGATTGGACCAGGATGCGATGGAAGTTCGTGGAGATCCCTGACCAGACCGACGACAACGACGAGGAGGACAAGATTGCTCTGACTGAGGGCAAGGCGATCCGCATCGAGCACCTGGACATGGGGAGGTTCCCTACAGAGCTTGTGCAGCGGCATCGCTCCTGGGGCTTCATCCTCAACTCGCCGTGGGTTGTCTACGCCTCGTTCCCGATGGTGCGATCGAACCGAGACAGGCAGCTGTCGGACAAGGTTCTCGAGAAGCGCGTGAGACCGTGGCAGTGGATTGAAGCAGATGAGTACAACATGCTGCAGATAGAGTCTGGAAGCGACAGCGACTGAAATCGAGCAGCTTGCCAAGAACGTGTGCTGTGTGATAATCAATTCTTGTGAGTTTTTCTGTTACTTTAGAATTTGAGGGCTGTTGAAGTGCCTGTGCCCCAACAATTCCTTGTTGTGGTTAGTGCGTGTTTGATGATTGAACTTAGTTGGAATCTTACACTTGCTTCTCGCTCTTCTCGCTCATGACACTGGCAGGCGAGCCTGTGACTGCCGGCCGCAGTGCCGAGTTGCAACTCAGCGGCGATGATAATCTGCCACACTGACTGCTGCGCGCTGTGTCGGACTGCCGCACTGCGGCAGCCTTCCGGTCGGACGGCACGGTCCCTGAGTCCATCTGATCGGCGAGTCGAGTCCGGTACAGTAACACTGCCCCGTCAGCTGACCGTGACTGAGCCGCCTCGGGCGGCTCGGCCCTGGGCCTCGGAGGACTCGGTACGGTCGGATCGGACCGCCCGCTACCGTACCGTACTATCACGGCGGTACTGGCCGCCCCTGAGTGTCACCCGGCGCAGTCACCGGTACACGGTCGCAGGGGGGCCATCACCGTCGTGACAAAGTCCGAGCCGAGTCCATTCACTCACGCCGGACTCCGGGCTCCGCCGTTCCGAAGTTCAAGACGGTTGGCAACCGTTGCGGATACCTTACGGTACCGTACCTTGTGACAGTGTCAAGTCAGTAACTTCGGCTGGAAGGCCGCCCGCTGTCCGATACAGTGTGGCGTTCCGATCAAGTTCCGGCCCGAAGTTCACTGTCGGACTTCAAGGACTCAGCAGTAGCACTGAGTAGCCCGGGCCGGCCGGCGGCCGGGGCCCGGCCGGCCTCCCCGCGTGTGGCCCCGGAAGATGGGGTGTTTAGAGAGTCTCGAAGGGGTGGGGTGGTCTGGACGCCTTTGGAAAATGGCGAACCAAGAAGCAGAAATGGTGATGGCGCGAAGCGCAAACACACGATGCTCTTATGCTCTCCTTGGCACGTCGTCTTGACTTCTCTATTGTATCTTCCTCCGACTTCTTGTGTGTCCTTCTCCTCCCTAGTCTTCTTGCCCCATCGTACAGACTTTCTCAAGTGACTCCTCGCTTCGCCCTTGACCTCTGCATCTTCCTTGACTCTTTCTCTTCGAACCAAGTCACAAAGTTTCCTTCGCTGCATGTATCATTACCATCATTCTGTCTCTTAGCTGCCTTTGATCGTTTCCTCTCATGCGGTCGTTGACATGTTCGGTAGACAATGTGGCAACGGCTTCAGGATTTGTTGGACCTCGATTACAACTACGCACCATGGAACCTCGAGAAGCATGAACCCTCCAGGTGGACATGTGAGATGAATGGGCATCAGTTCACTGATGAAGGATGCAGGTCACTCCAAGAGTTCAGCGAAGGACTGCTCTCCCCAATCTACGCTTTCGTCAGCTTGTCACAATCTTTTGACATTCGTGAAGAAGCAAAGATCTGGGGTGACATCATTTCTGATGTGAGTAGCTGCTGTGTGATGAATCTTGTCTGATAGCGTTTCCATGCCAGGGCCTGAAAGGGACAAGAGAAGGAAACTCTCTCGGGTTCACCAGCAAGTGATATGTTCTCGGAATCCATTCCAGTGCCGCAAGGCTGTCAATAACTTTCAAGCAGTCTCTTGCGTTCAAGAGATTCCCCCCTTCTGCTTAGATGCAGCATTGGTTTCTTGGATGATCGATTCAGAACTGAAACACAGGCAGTTTGCTACTGTTTTATATGTAAACTACGTTGTGCGAGACCCCTGGAAGTTCTTGCAAGCTGTGTTGAGCGATGGCAGGCAAGACGCCATCAAGTACACCATTCATTCTCATCGGAGTCGCAGACAATCTTCATTGGTTCACAATGAGGTAGATGTTGTCAACAGCCCCTTCCGATCGGCGATAGCTGGCGCAAGAACGAGTGAGCGCCTTATGAACAGCAGGACTCAGTTTCACCTCAGCAGGAGGTCCTCCGTGCTCATCTCCCCAGCCTTCAGCTCCTCCATCTTCTCCCACCAACCATGAACCCAGCTGCAAGACGCAGCCAGCAAGGTCTCCATCCCCGGGGAAAACGCGTCCTTGTTGCAATCGCTGCGGGCTCGAGCAAACGCCTTGTCCCTAGCGACCTGAACGAGGGAAAATGAGGCAGAGGAGGTTGTGTTTGCAGGGCAGAAGCTACCTTCTTCTTGAGACTGGCTTCTGCTTTTGAGCTCATCCCACGAATCGTCCCATGTCTGGTCACCTGGAGGGGCTCAGTATCAACAACAGCAGGGCAGTTCGCGGGCATTTCTCACGAAATTCAGCCTCTCCATCACATACGCTGCAAGGTCGTCCCTTGCAGACACTCTCTTAGCATCTTGAAAGAAAAGGCTGGCGTGCCATGTGAGCTCATCGCACAAGAGCACGGCATGTAGACCGGAAGGACGAGCGGTCAAACTTGAAGCTTTTCCTAGAGCAGGCATCGCTGCAGGCCACCATCAGTCTCCACTCATCAGAAACAACTCCCTCCGACCTGTGCCAGAATGGCCTGTCGAAGTGTCCTGAGCGGTAAAAGTTGGTTGCAAACTTAGTAGGGTCGTAGCCACGTTCCATGCCGCTGAACCAGGCAATTCTCTCCACGTAGCCCATGAAGTTCTGCCCGTCCAGACGCTCAGCAGCAGTCTATCTTCATCAGTCCACCTACCGAGCCCATGTCGTTGACGTTTCGCTTCACCTCGACAATGGCCAAGACTGGATGCAGCAGTCGGCAACGAAGACAATCGAGCAGAAAGGCGATTCACCTAAGACTGGCTGCTCGGAGAGCCCCTGAAGCTGCGCCTTGGTCGGCTTTTCCCGCAAGGTAAGCGAGCGGGGTGAGCAGGGGAAGATCGAGAGACGAAGTCAAACATCAGCTCCTAAAGGATTGAAGCGATAGAGCACCTGCGGGTGACCCCCGACGCTCTTGCCAGCAGGAGCATCAAGCTCTCCACTTGGCATAGTAGACTTTGCGACGATGACGTAATCAAACTCGCCTCGCGCTATCCCAAGCGTCAAGCCCCTCAGCACAAAAATATTCTTCATATCGAACTGCTCGACAGGCACATCAGCTCCTGATGTTCTCATTGCGCTCCTCTCCTGGTCCCACCACGACTCTGCGTCTGCCAAGAATCTTGGAAGAATGAGCTCCTTAACGACTCGTTCAGCCTGCCCCTCGAAATCGAAACCTTTCTGCCACAAGTTGTAACATCAGAACAAACTCCATGTGACAGGCGCATCTACATAGCTCGTCTGCCTTCCAATCGCTCTCTCCGACTCCTTCATCCTCATCGAAGCCTCTTCTATCCCCACCTCCCTTCTCAGATCGAGCAGCGCCTTCTCAGCATCCTGCAGCTCCTTCCACTGTTCACAGTCAACAGGAGTTACAGCATCTCAGAACCGTCGTTACCTCTGCGCAGGAAGATATCTTCGACTCGAGATCTCTTGTCAGCCCGTCAAGCTCCGCGTACGCCGCCTGGAGCCTCTCGGAACTCTTCTGATTCTTTTCCCCGGCGGAGTTGAGCAACGCAGCGTCACCATTCGAGGCAGCGAGATTCTGCCTTTCTCGGCCCTGGCACTCCATCCTCAACTTGGAGACCTTGTCTCGGAGGCCGTCGATGATTGACCCCGCAGGGCACGAGGCATATTCCTCCTGGGCTCGCACCAGCCTCTGCGAAGCTCGAGATAGAACGTCTTCGTGCACGGTTTCCAAGTCGAGGATTCGCAGCTGCTCTGATATTGTGGGATCCAAAGACCAGCGTCTGTAACTTGTTTGCACCCACTGAGCAAAGCTTTCTTCACTTTCAAACGGCCTCTCCACGTTCGACTCCATGAGGAGACTGTCGATGGCTGCACGGCCGGCAACCGTACTGCCATCAACCGACGGACTGGAAGAAAAGTCCCGAGCATGTGCCATGAAGCTAGACGCAGGCTCTGCGGTGAAGGGGGCAAGGGGGGGCAGCACAGAACCGAATCTTCGAGAGACCAGCGAAAGAGGGGGGGGAGGAAATTTCGGGGAAGAAGAAGGGAGATATAGAGATGAAGAGAAGGAGAGGAGCTGGAGCGGACGAACGAAGAAGTTTCGCTCTCTCATCAGACCCTCTCCTTCTCTCCTCCTCTCCTCTCCTTCTCTCCTCCTCTCCTCTCCTTCTCTCCTCCCTCTCCCTCGAGGCTCCTTCGTACAGAGTGGATTTGCGGGATCGTAAAAAAATTCCTTGTAAAATAAAAAACTTCAGGTCGCTAGCGACCTTGAAGCGTTCATTCAGGCATGATGCGCCCTGTGGCTTCGTCGGGGTCGGAGGAGGAGCATGGGAGGGAGGAGGAGCAGGGCAGCGCAGAGGAGGACGAGGACGAGGACGAGGACGAGGACGAGGATGAAGTAGAAGGCGGAGATGAGGAGATCGTAGCTTCAAGCCAGCCTGGAGGTTCGCAAAGGTGAGTGGAGATGTGCCAGTGCACAAGGACAAACGCTGAACTTGAAGTGCATGGGGAGTAGCAAGCGGATATCAAGCATGAGCAAGGCAGCGGTGAGAGCAGCATGGAACTGGGCTCTTCTTGTCACTGAACACGTGTGCGGAGTAGGTACCAGGGATGAAGAGAAGCAAGCCCATGTGAGTGCCGGACATGCTGGCATTTTACCTGAGAGGTGACTTGAGCAGTGGCCCTCACAAGTGCGAGATATGCCAAAGGTGACTTGACTGCGAACAATGACAAGACCTGAGTATGAACAGATCTTTCAAGTATCCCTTCGCTCTTCGAGCCCATCTCCGCACTCATTCAGGTGCCGAGCAATCAGTCGTTGCGCGCTTCTTAGCTGACGTCCACCAGGGGAGAAGCCGCACAAATGCAGGAAAGGCTTCCTCTCTGACACTCTCCAGTTGACCTGATGTATGACGAGCGATCTGCAGTCATTGTCCCATGTCCTTCAATTATCCTTCTGCCCTAAAGGCGCACTTGAGGACCCATACAGGTCTCAAGGGCCTGTCCTTACACGCGTCATGATTGACTGCATGGCTAGGGGAGAAGCCCTTCGCCTGTGACGAGTGCGGCAAGGTGAAGTCCCGTACTTGTCGAGACTCTATGTCGTCCTGATATCCTTCGACCCAGAACTTCTCGTCAAACTCCTCCTTGTCAGAGCACAAGATGCTGCACGCAGGAAACAAGGTGCGACGCCTCGCGGTTGTCTCGTCGGGTTTCAAGGGGTTGACCTCTTGGCAGCCTTATGTCTGTGACGTCTGCGGCCTGAAGTTCGTCAAAGTGTCAAAGGCAAGCTGTTTGCTTCCCTTCTCCGGCCCTGACGTACGGCATTTCGTGTAGCTGCGATTGCACATGAGCGGTCATACTGGGGTAGGCCGCCACCACAAGTGCAGGTAGTTGTCTTGGTTTCTCTTCCACGAGGATCATTCGCGATTCATAGTCAATGCTCCAAGAGCTTCCACCATCTGATTCAGCTGCAGCAGCACGAGAGAACACACACAGGTACATCCGTTGTCGCCCCGAACCCCGCCTGAGCTCACAACTGGTGATGGTAGGGGAGAAGCCTTTTGCCTGCCCGCACTGTGGGAAGGCCTTCTCTCGACTTCTGGCGATGAAGAATCACCTGAGAAAGTGCGGCTGTTGTTCTCCTCTATCGCACTCCCGTCACGGTCATCCAGGCACATGGCTGGGAAGGACTATCTGAAAGTCTGCGCCAGTCAAGTTGACGTTGACAAGGAACATGGCAAGACAGTCTTGCAGCTCCTCCTGAAGCATTCTTTTCGAGCAGGTTGCTGCTGAGAACACCTACCCGCCGTGCATGACAATACCGGAGGTCAAGTCTTTCGAGATGAGGTGATGTGCTACTGAAGGCTCACGACTAGGCCATCACGTGTCACTGCGGAGCTGTTGAGATGTGCTTCACCGCGCCTCCCAGCTTCATTTGGATCTGTCACTGCCGCTCCTGCCGGGAGATGTGATGATTCCGGCATATGGGAGGGCCGGGAGACGTCGTGACTCCCATCCAGGCGAAGGGCTCCGTTCGCTACCAACGCCGTCTTTCTTGATGGACCTGCCGCTATCACGTGTTCGCGGGGTTTCGAAAACATCACGCACTACCGGGTGAGTCGTCACGTGCATTGAAGTCCCTTCACATGCATATCGGCTCCTCCCCCTCCTCCTTCTCCTCCTTCTCCTCTTCAACTCTTGCGGTGGTTTTGACGCGCGCCGTATGCAGCTCAGCCACATAGGAGCCGGGCTGCTTGTAAATAGGTTTTGCCGGTGAACGGACAGCCAAGGAGCAAGTGCTGCTTCGCTTCACTGATGCCTGCTGCCCTATAGGATATGTGGAATGTCGTGCTGGACGACGGATCGCTTCAACTTCACGCTGGTGATTTGAGTGGAGTCATGCAGGGAGTCTGAAGCATGTCAAGATCAACCTCGAGAGGTTCCGAGACTCCGACGGGCGCCTCCCCCTCGACTTCAGGAAACCTCTTCTCACCTTGACCTTGTTTGACCCACAGACTTCAGGCCGGCTTTCCATGTGTTCTATCCTGAACGTGTCGAGGATTACAGCGACTCCTTGGACAAGTACGAGGTCTGCTGACTCGACTCGTCGATCCCTCCCACCCTCATCCTGCTCATGTAGAACTTTCCCACCTTCCTTGGTGGAACAGGCAAGAGAATAACCAACGAGGTTGTAAGGTTGTTTGGCAGGTTCACATGCCTTTCTGGCTTTGCAACGTTTCTAACATCTCCGTGACACAGGGGGGCGGAGGACTGCGCCATTGAGATGGAAGCTTGTGCACGAGCCAATGAGATCTGTGACGTCACTCGTCACTAGCAAGAGTCGCAATCGTCAGATGCAGGAAAAGTCCCTTGAGGCTGTCATTTCCCGTTGCAATGCACTATTCTTTGACCTCAGACAAGTTCAACTCTTTTCTGTGTATCCTATCAAGCTTGCTTTATTTGACAAACTTGCTTATCGCTGATGAAGCTTCACTGCACGAACACAGAACCCAATCTTGCAAAACAATTTTACAAATCCCTGACAGAAAAGTCCACTCCACAACATCCGTTAGGCCGTGGTACGACAAGGATGTCATGATGATGAGTTTGTGTGTGGGCTTTACTGATAGTGGCAGTTTGGTCCAGAGCAGTCCTCGTTCACGTTAACCTGGATCAACAGTCAGCATCTCTAACTTTCGTCCCAGTATGAGCGCTCACCTGGATGGGCTGCTGTGCGGCGAGTCTTTGAACGCCAGACCTCTTAGCTCCCTTGGGGGTTGTGGTGTCCCCGAGCGAGAAGGTCATCGCAAGATCGTCAGCATTGAAGACAGTCGAGTCCCAGATGTTCGCGTTAGAGCCGAACCAATCCCATCCCACGAAGTTGATGAAACCGCAGGAGCAAGGATATCCGCGGGCCTCGGCAGCCGGGCACTCGATGACCTCAACCTTGAGGGGCAAGCCTCCCTGGGTGTAGGGGTCCTGCCAGCGAGTCAGCGAGGAGCGTGAGACCGCAGGTTTGACGTCACCTGGATCTGGCAATAGCGGGCAATGAAGCATGGGGTTCCAGTGGGCACTCTGGGCCAGTTGTTGTAGATGATGATGGAGGCGCCGGGAAGGGTGAGGGTGTCGACGGCAACCTACATCCCAACCATCAGCGTACAACACGACCAGAGTCAACGCATGTACCATGTCAGCAGTTGGCGCAAGCTTGTTAGGAAGACCTCCGTAGTACGTGGCACCAATCTGACGCTCCACAGCGTAGGCCTGGGGAACGGAGGAGGCCGTGGAGGGATCTCCCATGATCATGAGAGCCTCGCGGCGCTTGTATCCAGAAATGACGGGAACTTCCTTGATGTGGAAGCCGAAGTACCTGTTCATGAACTCGACGGTATAGCTGCAAACCAAAGCATTCAGTTCCTGTCAGGTCGAACTTATGTCATTGGAACCTGTCGGCTCCGTTGAACATGAAGGTGTTCCTGTTGCCAACGAAGTTGCGGATGTTCAAGGCATAGGGGCCTTCCAAGTCCAACTCAAGTGGGAGACGCTCTCCATGGCCAGGTGGAAAGAATAAGGTCCTGCAGCAAGAGTCCGAGAACTTGGCGAACATATCCGAGGTGAAGAAGGACAGATAGTCGATCGCCAATGCCTTCGCAGGAGGGGCCGGTGGTGCCAATTCACCGGTGGCATGCCACATAGGAGGATGCTCCTTGCGGACGTCAAAACCCTCAAGCTCTGTGGCATGATCGTTGTTAAGAGCAACTGCAAGAACAGCTGCCACAGCAAGGATCGCAGCAGCGGCAAAGGCCAACGCTATCCTTCTTCTGCATTGTTTCACATCGTTAGTCCGCAATCAACACAGAGGAGGCATCATATGAAGATATGTGCTACTACAAGAAGGTTGAAGCAACTCCATCAACATTCTCATACAACCAAAAGCTGCGCTGCCATATTCTGCGACCGCACAACAACAGAGGGATTTCGTCAACAAGAGGTACAAGAATGTGGTATCAGCATGTTCTCATTCAGAACAATGAGGAGCTCGCATATTTCGGCCCACGTTTCGCTTCTCCTCACCTTCCTTCGCCTCCTTTCACGCCCGCGCCATGTTCCACCGCTCCATAGGCGCGCACCATCTCGAAGTGGCGCTCACCGAAGAGGCATCCGTTACCTACGGTTATCTCCTCCTGCGTTACGGACCGTTAAGGTAGGATTTTGCTCAGAGGAACTTTTTTCTATGGCAACCTTTCTGTCTTTCAGCTGTGGGCCCCACAATATCTGAGGCGAGCTTGCCGAAGGAAGAATCAACCTCTCACCCCTCATTTTCCCCTGTAGACTATGACCCCCTATAGGGGGGTAGTAGCTCCTCCAGGCACCTGCTACAACCAGGACCACGCGCCCCGCAGGAGGATGGTCCACTGAAGCAGATCGCCTGCTTCTCCGCCCTTGCTCCCTCTCACACGGGAAGAAAGAAAGAGACAGATGATCAGAGTGAGGACCGCTGGGGTTACAAGGTTATGATCCAGCAATCACACTGAATGGTTTCTACATGCATGGCTGCCTCGTCAAAGGAAGAAAGCGCCAAAGCACCTCTCAAGGACGACAAAGACTTGCAGGAAAACGACATCGAATCAAATGTCGTCTGTTGTTGGGGATATTCTGCTGCTTGGCGAGGGCTCCCTGCTTGTTCTGCTCCAAGCTGGACTGTTCGACCATATATTCACTGGGGTAAGTGCAAAAAAAGTACTTGACTTCGATTGTCGAGAAACTGATGGTTTCATTTTTGTCTTTGTAGGATATCGAGATCATCTGACCTTTAAGGAATGCCTGGAAAGTCTTGCGTACTGTCACAATGAGGTTGGAAATATTTACACGCATCTTACGGCTAGCATTCTTTTCCTGGTGCTACTGGCAAATGACTCCATGCGAAATGACCTCAACTCCCACCATCGTGCAGTGGCGGTAACCCTTGACTGTTGTGACCATGGATGGAGGTCTCTTTGATTAGACTACAGGTGTTATACGATCTTGCATCGATCGTTTGTCTGGTCTCTTCAGGCATTTTTCACCTCCTTGGCCCAGTGAGCAAGAGTGTGTATGAGAACACGCTGAAGCTGGATATGACTGGGATTGCCTGCGTGATCGTGGCGAGTTTTCTTGTTGGCATTCACTACGGATACTGGTGTCATCCAGCTCTCGGGCAAGCATACTTCTGGATTATTGCCTGCTTATCTCTGGTTGCCATGAGTTGGCCACACGTCCCCTGGCTCTTCCACAACTTTAATGCAAGCGGTAAGTCGTGGACTTGACCCTTTCTGTTTCAAGTGTTTCTCGATTCTTTTGACTGTTTTTGCAGTCGTTTTCTTTGCTTGCTTTGTAGCGTTTGCCCTGGTACCCCTACTTCACTGGGTACACCTAGTTGGTGGTCCATCCAGCGAGCAGGTGCGACATTAGAATCGGGCTGACTGTTTCTGGCTCATTGTTGATTGCCAGGCGCTTCTGTTCTTCTATAAGCTTCTATTGACCATGTTCGCTTACTTTCTTGGATTTCTGTTTTACATCACCCGCTTTCCGGAGAAGAAGTTCATCGGTCGTTTCGATTTCGTTCTGCATAGCCACCAGGTGTTTGCAACTTGTAGAAGCTGTCACTCAAAAACTGACTCGCATATCTGAAAGTTGTGGCACATATGTGTTGTGATAGGTCAGCTGCTTTTCTACTGGGCTATGTCGACGTACGCAAGATATCGAATGGAGAATTCTTGTCCTATAACACCTCAATAAACATCATTTTTTGCACAGAAGGTTGCCATCACGATTGCTTGGCAGAAAGCAGTGCACGCCCTTGCTCTCAAAGTTTGAACACTTGTAAATTGCTGTCCATGGGGGACGGTTGGGTCAATATTCCTTCCCGTGTACATTCAGCCAGGTTTTCATTGTCTGTTTCTGAAGTTGAGAAATGTATGAAGATTGTAACAACTGAAATACGAAGTTGCCTTCCATGTGCATGATCGGACATATCCTGGTTCCACCATGTTCAATGCGGCTTCATGGTTTTCGCACCTGCATGGATTATGCGTGCGGCAGGCAAGTTCCCGATTTTCGAGGACCCTCCCTTTACGAAACTCCCTAGGAGCTACCACCCAAAAGTAATCATAGTAAAGTACCCCTTAATTTTAAGAAACAAGAACCCCGACCCCTCCTTTTTGTCGTCCCAACCGAACGACTACCCCCCAACCCTTCTGAATTCTTGGTGTTGGAGTATCAGGGGGTTCTTTACCTATGGATTGAGGGGTAGTGCAAAGAGACAACCACCCACCCAAGAACTCGTTTGATATGGCTGGTGAGTTTGATATCAATGGTGTTGAAGCGATAAGGACGCGAGAGCAAGAGGAGGAGGAGGAGGAGGAGGAGGAGGGAGGAAGGAAAATTTCAGCGAAGAGCTCTTGTTTCAAGCAGCTGATGACATATCACCACTTCAAGTCAGATGATTGGGTCTGCACTCTAGTGTAATATCAAAACATAACAAATTCGTAACGTTTGTTCTTCCTGAGCCTGACTTGTTCGTTTCTTGCCCTTCAGGCTCTTTCATAATGACGGAGAAAACAACAAAAAAGAAGGCAGAAGCTGATGAACTAGGAGAGACATATCAGCTGGCCGAAGAATCGGTTGCAGAAATCAACGACGAACTTGACGAATTCGAAGCGAGACTGAGTGGAAAGAACCCTGCTCCCCGTCCAAGCGGACAGGCAAAGTCATCCAAACCCACACCTCAAAGCCATGCACCGCCTATGTTTGCTCCACCCAAGAACTATGTCAAGGTCAAATCGACAGCGATGAGCGAGGAGAAGGAGGATGACATGGAAGCGATCAAAGCAGTCTCAGAGTTGGAGGCTTTCGAGCTTCGCATGGCGAACGGCAAGAACTAAGTGTTGACAGACAGGTGCTACCACGAACTCACAGAGGAATCTTGACGAATGTCTCACTTTATTGTTGTACCTCCCTCAAGTTTTAAGTTAAAGCTCGAAGCGTCGGGCTTCTTGTAAATCGCTGACTTGTTGCTTCTTGAGCTGCTGGGTATGAATGAACTCATGAATTCATCCATCGATCGTTGCAGTCCGAGTGAAATGTCGGGAGCATTCCTGCTCTGCTCGTGCTTAGATTTGCTCTCTTGCAGAGTTGACGCCATCTGCAGCACCAGGGCTTCAGTCATTGCCCAGATGGGTCGAACCAGACCTGTATGATCGAATGTTGCAGGTTGTCATCTTCCGGCAATCCTTGAGCTGCCTGCACGAGCTCTTGCAACACCTGCGCGCAAACCTTACGTTGGGGAAGCTAAGAGGATTCTGACTTGCCTGTATCTTAAGCTGCCTCCGGCGATTCCGTTGCTGGGTCATTATGAAACCCCTCCACCTAGTTAGAGAATCAGCACGATTTCCTGGGCCGAGAAACATGGACATTCCTCAAGAAACCTCTCAGAATCTGACACATTCTTTCATTCGAATCCGTTGATCTTGATTGACTCCACCTGCCGGTGTTGTGAGCAGATCGTTGTGCGATGGGTCCTCGTTTAGAATTCGATTACCTCATCCACCAAGCATATAACGCATTTCTTCTCCTTATCAATCAAAATATATCAGTTCTGACTCTGTCGAGGTTAATTTGAGTTACCATGACTTTGTAGATCGCATTCCCTTCCAATGACTCCAACAAGATCGCAATGCCTGAGACAGATTTGTCACTTTTTGCAATGATTGGTTCTGCCTGCTTGCCGATCTCAATGATATCGACCGAAATTTGTGAACCCTTAATATATTTGCTTTCCAGCTTCTTAATGCATACAAGGCAATCCGCTGAGCACAGAATCATTATGAGAACATGAAAAGCGTGTCTGGTCTTACATGTTCAAGGCTTTTCTTCAAACGGTTGGTATTCTTATCAGTATCGGGTCGAATATTTACAATGGCCCATTTCTTATAATGATAGACAAGGCTTCTCCTCCATGTTCGTCGATGGAAAAGGGAAATAATCCTTGACTAGAACATTTCAAAGCATCGTCAGAATGCAATATTTCCGAAGACAATGTCCATTACATTTTGGTTCTTTTGGTCTCTCCACGAAATCAAAATTCTTCTTGTGCGCGCAATTCTGACTTTCTGAACGATTTTGTGATTGTACTTGTTTACTTGCCAATTCATCACCATGTACTGCATGAAATGATTCAAACGTCACTCTAGGGCGAGGTGTGCACAGGAATTCAACCTGTACACAAGCTTTGAGCTTCCTCCTCTTCATGTGAGCAACAATCCATCGGTGCAACGACTCAAGATTGGATTCATGAAGTATCTGCGACATCGTCCGATATCTTTGTGACAACATGCAAGCAAGCGATTTGTCAGATTTCTGACCTCAACGGAGATCTCAGATGTTACCCACCGCTTTTCTGCAGCTTCCATGGTCTCCGATATCTTCTGGTCAGTTACCTGCAGAATACATGCTCAGTTGCAACATGCTCTCTTCGCACCATCGACAAATGCTCACATCGATGTCAGACACTGAGTAAAGCGGCGTGCAGCTTCCACTGGCTGCACTGGAGCCCCGCTGCTACAACAAGAGGTTTGAGCGCATCTTGAACATTGCTCAGTGTTGGGATGTGACCTCAATATTCTTGTCGAGATATCTCAGCATCTCTTCGTGTGAGCGACCATGGATAAGTCTTTCACCTTCAGATCCATCAAGAAGCCTCGACCTCAATCTCTGGCTCGAGTTACCAAGTTCATGGCTGCGAGCTGGTCTGGAATCCGATTCATGGGACGATTTCACAACTAGGGATGGGAATGCTGATGACGAAATCTTGCTGATGGGACTGGTTTGCACCTCGAAAAGAGATCCTTTCAACGGAGATATCTCAGCTCTGTCTGCTCGTTGTAGCCCTGGTGAAGCTTGCAAGGAGTCAGGACTGGCATCCTGTTCTCGCACTTCCCATCCTCCTCCAGCCATGGAGAGAAGGGAAGCGCCGGACAACGCATATTCCCGTGCAGCCAACAGCGCTGCAGCTTCCTCTCCCGCTTTCCGAGCCATCTCGTCTTCCCACAAAAATGAAGAAACCGGTGCCCGCGGCCGTAATGCGGCGGCGGCGTTTGGCTGTAAGGTTGCAGGAAGAGGAGGAGAAGCGAAGGAGGCTGTGAGGGCATAAGCAAGAGCCTTGTCTGCATCGCCATCGCCCCCCATCAACCCCTGTCCTCGTAGCCGTCGCGATGTCGCCATGCTCCTCGCCATCGGACCGACGGCCAGTCAAACTTCAAGTTTGAACTCTGGGCGGAGCCCTCATCACTCCTCAGGCCCATATCACGGTTACAACGCTCTTTAACGGTTGTAACGCCGGATCGCGGAGGTTTTTTTTCCTCTCCTCGGTTCGCTCGCTCCCTCCCGCCTGCTCCTACCCCTCCATTGGTGCCGCATGCGCGGCATATCCTGCCTTCCTGCATGGTCCCCTGGGCTCTTGAGAGTCATTGAAAATCCCAAGACACTTGATGATGCTCTCCAGCATGTTTGGAAGGCATATCTTGACATGCATGTCTGTGTGCTCCATGTTCTGAAATGAGGGAGGAGATGTTCTAGATTCTTTGATATTCGGGCCCTTCCAACTCTGAGCGTAGCGATGTGCATCTAGGGTACTTATCTTGGTGTTTTCGCTGTTATGAGGCATCCTTGCATGTCGGCGAACACACAGTTTGAAAAATTCGTTTCCTGTGTTCCATGTGCTCATTATCTATGGCACTTGCCTCGCTCAGAGAGGATCAACCTATAGGTCTCGTCTGGGAAAGCAAGCCATATTCTAGACCCCATTCCGAGAGATATAGAAAGTGGAAAGTCAAACCTTGAAGATTGAATGGCGGAGAATACCCTTTTTTGTTTTGGACGAATCGCATGCTGCGATCAGTCAGAAGTGCAAAGAAACCAGCAGTGAAATCCTAGACATGTGCTTGCCTGATATGAGCTGAGTAAAGCATGTAGAAATGTCTATTTGTTTGTTTTTTATTCCACGAAGCTGTATCCATTTGTTCTGACTAGTTCTTTTCAGCTACGTTTTGTGCTGGCCGGATTTCTGGCTCTTGAATACAGCTCTGGATACCGAGTGAAATCGTTCTCGAGCTGACATGAATATCGTACCGCACATAAATGCCCTTTTTGCTCCAAGGCCTCCACTCGAGTTCAAGCAACCCTACTCTCAGCAAGTTGGCAAGAAGCGTAAGCTGCCGTATGAAGGTATTGCCAAATGTTTGGATAGTTTTGAAACGCCGGATGAGTACGAAGAAAATTTCAAAAAGTTCAAACCAATCGAACAGCGTAAGGAAAGGAGAGAGAGAATAGCTGAGGAACGCAAGACTCTCAGCCAAGACACTGTGAAAGCCAAGGCGGCGGCATGGGATCCGAGCAGCTACAGCTTTGAGAGCGATGCATATAAGACACTCTTCGTGGGAAGGCTTAGTTTCATGACTGATGAACACAAGCTCAAAAGGGAGATGGAACAGGTTATTACTTGTTTGATATTTTCCTTATCTTGTGACTGATTTTTGTTCAGTACGGCCCGGTCAAAAGCGCAGTGCTTGTCTATGACAAGGATACGTCGAAGCCTCGAGGATATGGATTTGTTGAATTTGAGCATGAGCGGGATATGAAGACTGCGTACAAGCATGCAGATGGACGTAAAATCGATGGTCGGCGTATCCTGGTAGATGTTGAGCGCGGGAGGACAGTGAAAGACTGGAAACCGAGAAAGATTGGTGGTGGTCTAGGCTCAAGCAGGAAAGACCGTCCAAAGAAGACAAAGCAAGAGAAGGCGGAAGCTAAACGCGCAGCTGCTATGGCAGCTAAGGCTGCTGCCAGGGCTGCGGCAGCCAAAAGAGAAGAAGCAGCTAGAAGAGAAGAACGAGAGCGGGCTGCCAACGACAGCAGGGATCGAAAGAGGGATGACAAGGATCGCGAGCGAGATAGGTCTCGAGAACGTGACAGGGAAAAGGACAGAGATCGTGACCGTGATAGGGACAGGAACCGTGACCGGGACAGGGACAGGGATCGGGACCGAGACAGGGACCGTCGCCGCGATGACCGGGATAGGCGATATGACGAATACCGAGGGGACAGGAGGTCGCGATAAATGTTGGTTGTTGTCTTTGATGAGATCGCAAGTTCTTAGCTGTCACGGACTTCGTGCCCCAAGGGACTTGCAATTTTTAATCTGTCCAATGAAAATGGCGTTGAAACTTTGGTCAAGCTGTGGTGCCTCGGGATTCATTAGTGAAAGAATAATCAATTTACAGATGCAACATTGTTGTATGTTTCTGTATGAATGCTCTTGTTCCAAAACGGAACTTAGCGCTCAGATGTTCAATCCGCAGGAGCTGATGAAGAGCTCACTTGAAGGGACACCAGAGGTTGTAGCGTATCTGTCATACGGTCAAGGAAGCTGAAGCAACATCTCGCAAAGGCGTTCAACCTTGCAACCATTTTCCTCAAAATTTCGTAGCCTTGCATTAGTTTTCCGACCACTACGTTCCTACCATCCAGCCACTCTGCCCTGCAGAGTTTGAGCCATAGCTTTTTGTAGCGTGCAGAACAGTCACCTAGCAAGTAGAATAGCAAATTGAGAATTGTTCGAATCAGGGCCGTTGTTGATCATGGTCAAAATACCTGGCAAAGTCACAAGTCAGTCTTGCAGAAACATGCAAGAGGCGCGTAAAGGAAAAACAGAGGGCAAGAATGTGGTTCAGGTTCAGGGAGGTTTGGCATTCTTGCATGGAAATAAAGCGGGTTCAATCTTGCCTGGCCCGACATGGCAGAGCTCGAAACTTTCGTCTGGAAAAGTGTCTCCATAGACTGATCTTCCGCCGGATCCGTCCCCATTCGTAACATCCCCCGATACGACCATGAAGTTTTCTATGATGGAATGTACTCGACATCTCCTGTAGGTCAGCTCGTCCTAAAAATCCCGGAGAAGGAAAAAGTTACGACGTGTTTGCCAGCTCACTCTTGAAACGATCCATCAACTAGATATGATACCTTGGCAGGATCACCACAACACAGCGAGATAAAATTCTTGGCTGTCCTAGGAACAATGTCTTCGAATATCTCGAATACGAGCTTACCAATGACAGTATCTTCCGAAGAGAATTCAAGGAAAATCATCTGACCAGGCATCCATGGAGTTAGTGGCGTCTTAAACCTTGTTGTAGGCCACAAGGCACTCACCGGATTCTTCTTTTGCAGAGCAGGGTTTAGTGCTTGAATGGGATAATCATATATCGTGGGAGAAGCATAGTAATCCTCCACAGTTTCAACGAAGGCATTGACCGACTTGAGGGTCTGTCGTTCCCTGTACGCCGTGCTTCCTGTTCCACTCCTATGCAGAATGCACAATCCCAACTCGTCGTCGTTGTCTACCGACTTCTCTTCACCTTCTACGTCGGGAACCTCCACCTGCACTGCCCCATTCTCGACTAAACCGGGGCGCGAGACGTCCTGTTTCGATACTGTTTCCCTCGCCTGTGCTTCGCGAGTGCCTATCGTGCTTGCATTTTCCGTTCTGACAACATCACTTTGAGCCTCTTCCTGGGCAATCTCTATCGGACTTGCATTGACTTGCTCCATTGTCTCTCCTTTCCCCACAGTCTCCTCCTCTTTCTCTGTCTTTCCGCCCGAACTTCCTGAGAAGTTGTTGTCCTTTTCACTATCCCTTGCTCTTTCGTCCTCTCCACCATCTCCTTCGCACTCCTTCTCGTCTTGCTGCTTCTGTGTCTCTCCCTGGCTGCTCTCCTGCCTATCCTCCTCCACGCTCCCCTCCACCCCTGAGGGTGGCGTCAACGCCATCCTCGACTCTCCTGATTGTCCTCACTGTGACATAGCCGTGCTTGGCCTGAAAACTGCAGTCCGATCATCATCGGCGTCAGTAGTTTCAATGACCCCGGCGCTGCGCTGCCCGGCCACTGACACGGTGCGGGCCGGGCCGCCCGGGCCTCACCGTGGCACGGCATTTACTGAGTTACGGTGGCCGCCCGCCGGCAACTTGCCGCAGTGCAGCCGCGCGGCCGCCGGACTCTCCGACACTGTGACCGTCCGACAGTGCACCGGCGCGGCCCGGGCCGCGGCGCCCGGCGGCGTGACCGTCCGACGGTCACGCGGCAGCACTGCGGCAGGCCCCCGGGTGACCGGGCCGGTCTGTGCTCCGAGGCTCCGGCCCGCGGGCCCCGCCACCGGTCGCGGCACGCCGAGTCCACCGCGCCGAGCCTGAGCCTGACTCAGTGTGACCGTACTCCGACACCGGCCCGGCCCCGGGCCCGGCCCGGGCCCGGCCCCGCGGTCCGGCGTCCGATCACAGTTCAACGGTTCCGACGTCGGACCGACTCGCCGGAAGGCTTCGCGGCCTGCTACCCGCCGCCGCCGGCGTGACCCCGCGTGACCCGGCGTACAGACTTACTGTCAGTGTCGGACCAACACTGGCCGCTGTGGCCCCGGGGGGCGTGGCAGTTCCCCGCAGTGCAAGTCTGAGTGTGTCACGGCGGCACGCCGGGCCGGGCCCGCCGGCCCCGGGCCACGGGGCCGTCGGCCGGCGGCGCGGCCACTGTCACAAACACGCCTGAACTTCAGTCACCTCTACCCTAGTTTGCTGACCAAGGGGGTAGGGGGTGGATGTTGGGCTATCGGCCTAGTGGATGTCAGGGGTAGCTGATGGGGGGAAGGAGGGGTTAGGTGAGGGTCAGCCACTTTCGTATCCCCGGCCCCACCACCCTCAGACTTAGCGACCCACCACCCCCACCCCCTGATTCTATAAATTCTTTCCTTAGTTTGATAGGGTGCATTACCCACCCCTACCCCCTAAAGCAGTATTTGTTCAAACTGGCGTGTAGATAGCACCTGAATCCCAAGCCGCAGCACCGTCACCGCATGCCACTGCTGTGAACGATTCTTGTTAGGGCACGGATGCACAAATCATCATGTACATGCGTCCTTTCTTCATCATGATCAGGATAACATGCGTCCTTTCTTCATCGTCATTATGTTCATCACCATCACCACCATTATCTTCAGCACTATTACCACCTTCACAACCGCCACCATCATGAACATTCTTCCATCGATCTTGCACACCGAGATTATTCGTTCTCACTGATTTCTGACACGGTTGCAACTGCAAGGTATAAGCAGCATTGGACTCCAAACAGATGCATCTAGGGATGACATCCCTCCTGCGCTCGAGCCTTTTCTTCCTCTTGGTGGTAATCACCAAAGTCTCCGTGGGTAGCTCTGATAGCACCCACCCTCCTCCTTCCTTGCTCTCTCAAAGTGTCCTTCGAGGTGGATCCCAGGTAGAATCCCTGGGCCCCAAGGGGGGTGTGAGGCTGCCGAGAAGGCAGGGGTATGCCTGTCATACAGCGCGGCCGGACGTTTGTTACAACGAAGAGTTTGAGGAGGACGGGGATTCGAAGATGGGAATCCCTACCAGACAGTACAGGGAGTGCCTGCAACCCGGAAGCGACCCGGCGACAGTCGCAGGAGAAGCCTCCTACAATGATGATGAAGTGAACCCTCCCCCGCACAGGACAGAGCCCCCGCAGAGCGCTAAACCTGTGGAGTTCGGACACGTGTGCGGGAATCTGAAGAAGATGCTGATATCAGGAGGGAACCAAGCGCACATTCGGAAAGAGCTCAAGGAGATGTTTTGCACCATCTTGGCCTCCAGTCCTGACGACATGACCGCACTCTTGTGCTTTCTTAGAGATCAGATCTCTTCGCCGACACTGGCTGGTATCGAACTGATTCCCTCCAGCATCATCGTCAAGGCGCTGGCTGAGTCTTGTGGCAAGACCTTCGACGGCGTGCGAGATTGTATCGCCCAGGCGAGCCCTCCTCTCCTCCCCTGTTAACCCCTCCCCTCCTCTCCTCCCTTCTCCTCCCCTCTCCTCCCCTCTACACACGTCAATGCGACGGATTATCTGCCCGACACTTGGATAATATTTTTTCAGCATAAGAATAATAATGAGATCTGTAAATCTGGGGAAGAACTGTACACAATTTGATTGAAAAGGTCACATGTGCGCTGGGCCACTTACTTAGTTTTGTGGCCTCGCTCAGTTCCACTCTCAATAATCACGTTCAGACATGATGATTTCTTGTCTCACACGAGATTATTCCGATCACTACTTATTAGTACACAGAATGAATCTACCACCTGCACTGCAACACTACACTGCTTCCATCTATGAAT